GTGCGGCGAGTGCGTGTGAGTTAGCACTCACACTCATCTATTGTAGACTCCGCAAAAATGGAATCGATCAGCATGTTTCACCCGAATTTTCTTCCCACTAATCAACTACTAAGAAAACTGAAATTCAATAAGTTTAGGAAGTAACCTATACTTAGATAGCTAAAAGAGACAGAATGCAAAGTACTTGACCACTCGGCAGTTTTGACCCGTTCTTAAGTGACCCACATGCAAGGCAAATCCTCCGCAACCTCACTTTGAGTGACCCAGAATTAAGATGGATGGTTCATTAGCATAGATGCCTTTGGGTATGGCGTCACTGGTTTGTTGTCAATCTGATGTGATGTGATGGGCGTGAAATACCTTGCGGTGTTGTCAGAAATAGCAGCAAGGCATTATGTGAGGCACATAAACGGGGAAAAATGTTGGGTAATGTTAATGATCGAAATTCCATTGAAATTACCAACATAATGCTGCATATTATACGTTCGGAATATAATTATAAGGAACAGAATATCGGATGGATCTTAAGTTGTTTTTACAAGAAAAAAAGGCTAGGTATTGCTAAATCATAATAAACATTAGTTAATGTGGATAATCTTTGTATCAATTTTGACCGTTATCGTAACAGCTACTATCAGGTTGTGCAAAAAAAAAAATCCCCTGTCGTTGAGTATGCGTAAAAGAGAGAGACAAGCTAAATGTATTGACACTTGGATGACCTGCTTTTGATATCTCTGAAGGCTTATAATCAAATGCGCTTAGTATTGATTACCAACAAAATGGGTTGAACCCAAGTCTCCGCGACCTGATTTTATTTTCCTACAGGACAAGCAGGGTATATCAAACGTAAACCTTTCCAACACAACTGAGGTTATTGTAAATGACAACACATTACAAATTGTTGGTTCATTTTATTTATTCTCTTAAAACTTTTACAATTTTGGGAGAAATCTTAGTGGTCTTATTTATCTCAATTTGATGGCAATATCGGGTTTTTCATCAGTTTCCTTTTAGAATTTTCCTTTCTTTTTTAAAGCATCTGAATTGAAAGGCCACAATTTATCATTTTTCTTTTCGATTAATTTTTCTCCTATAAAGGACAGCCGGTCATCGAGGTTTTTTTAGTTTCCATGGTTATAACTGTATCTACATTTACTACACCTTAACAACATAACTATATTATGCGTTACTACAACATCATTACATGATGTATCATATTCATCTTCATCCCAATGCACGGGTCACCATGGTAACTGGATGCAGCCATGCGAGCAACGTGATTCTCCGGTGTTGATCTGGAATAAGCCTGTCTATTTTAACAGACGGACTTTGAAGCTTTCTAAATCGGATTATAAGCCCACACCTTGCCGAGGCGCGATTCATTGGGTCGGTATGTCTACATCGGTAGCAGATGAATAATGGTGGCGCCTCAAAATAATTATGGTAATGCGCATCCATACAAAAGAGCTAATGTTTCAGTAATCTCACGGCATACAATATGATATTCATGGCTTTAAGCGTCCCATACAGCAATACATTAATAATCAGTTTAGATATCGAAATATTAAATGGCTCAATTCGGGATAAAATGTTGTTGTAGCAACATTACAGGGATGGAGATGGTGATATTAGATTAATCTAAGGCTACGATTTTTGTTCTCGACACATCTACATCATCGGGGTGAAACCGCAATGCGTAGTAGTAACAAGTTGATAATATGAGCGCGTCAATGATGCTTGCAATTACTAGACGATGTACTGGCCAACGATTAAACATACGATGTAACCAGTTGAATTTTCATTACCGACTTTCGCTTGTGAAAGAATGGGTGAAGCATTAAATTTATTAGGGAAATTTTCTCTCTCTAGCATCGCTTTCGATTCAAATGCACGAAGGCATATAGTCTTTTTCTATGATTGGATTTAATGAATTATGTAATTTCTTATCCTTTAAAAAAAAAAATTCATTTCAAAAGCATTCTGTTATTGGAAATGTGGAAAACTTTATATCTAGTCAAACCTATATAACCTTATTCCATAGATGACATTAATCTGATAACATAATGTATTGAAAGTACGAATATGTTATCAGATGCTATAGTGACTGATTGTGTTAAGTATTATCATTATTTCTTACATAGTCACTGAAAACCTCATGACCAGGTCATCACCAAATTAAAGGCTCAAGGTCACCTTGACAAGGTGTGTATGGCATGCATGAAAATGTACGACGGCGCCACGCTGCATCTACATACTGGTATCTTTCTAACCGAATCGGTGAACGCATGACTTCTGCTTTCGCGCCCATTGTTTGCCTGTGATGATGACTCATCGTCATCATCCAGGTTTTACTCAAGCGCGTGTCGTCTGCAAAAAGGGCGAAAACAAGATTTGGAAGATGAAAATCACTCATTATGTTCCTTTCGCCACACTTACTGTCCGGAATAATGAGATTTGTTTCTTAACTAGGATTATCAGCTCACGATTTGGTTATGAGAATGATTTTGATACTTAGTTGCATTCATGTTTCGTCAGGCGAGCACGCGATTTTACGCTTTGCACTGAATGTTCGTCTCTTATGAGTCATTATTTGTTAACTATTTTATAATCATCAATCCAAGCCGATGTGTCTCTGTATATATTACAAGCAATGAATAAATTAACATTTATTTGTACCACTTCAGAGCGTGAGCCAATAGAAGTTTCTAAATAAAGGCAGCTTGTTACCAATGCTGCAGGTACACTGTACAATTATGTCAAGTCTTTTCCAGTTCTGTATACTTATGATACACAATTATAAAATTATTATAAACACGACTGTTCTTGTAAGTCTAGCGAAATGTATTGGTAAAAGAATGATTTTGTTTAGTTGACTAATGTTAAGATCTTGACAAAAAGGTGTACTTGTATTTGGAATACTTTTTTTCGGGTTCGCAATCATATACTGACAAACCTGTTCGTGAGAACCGAGTGTCTGCCTGATTGCGTGTATAATGTACCTGGGCGGGGAAATCGATTTCAAGTTGAACGGACGCTGGCAGTATAATCAAATTCAAATTATTCAAGACAGCAGGAGGAGCCTATTGTCATAATTCCTGGAAACAGGGAGGAATCACCGGGAAGCAAAGTCTCTCCCTCTCTTCAACCTCCATCTCTCTCTCTCTCTACTCTCTCTCAGCTCTCCAGCTCTCTCTCTCTCTCTCTCTATCTCTCTCTCTATCTGTCTTTCTCTCTCTCTTTCTTTCCCTCTCTCTCCCTCTCTCTCTATATATCATTCTCTTCTATCCATCTCTCTCTCCCCCTTTACCTGCTTCCCCTCCTCTCTATATCTTCCATAATTCTTACTTTCTCTCTCGAACTCTCTTTCATCTGCTCTTTTCTTTATCTTTCCCCTCCTACTCTCCCCCAATCTCCATCTCTCTGTCTCGTTTTTCTCAAATTTTCTCTAAATCATTATATCGCTGTCTCCATCTCTTCTCTCTTTTTTTCTCTCGCACAATATTTGTTTCTATCTCTTTCCCCCCTCTCTATCAATTTCCATTTCTGTTCTTACATTACTTTCTTTGTCTTTCTATGTCTATCTTATGTTCATCAACTTCATCTCGCCATCTCTCTCTCTCACACACATACACACACACACACACACACACACACATACTCTCTCTTTCTCTCCCTCCCTCTCTCTATCTCTCTCTCTCTCTCTCTCTCTCTCTCGCTTTGAATTCCCTCTTTCACTCGGTCTTTTCTCTGTGTATCACCCCTATGCGTGCCATGTATATTGCCTTCGCACGTGTTCCATTTATTTCCATCACTTATTTTTGATTCAGTAGGCTCGTGGATTCCGAGAATCGAGGGTCGTTGGCAGAATCGGTTTCTAATATTTCTCTGGTTTTATCCATCAGCTCTAATAGCTCCATGTATAAAGATATTTATGTAAAATAGGGACTTATATTGCAGCATAGTGATTGGTATCCGAGGAGAGTAACGGGAAATCGTTTGAAAGGTTAATGCTTTCATCTCGAGTTGGTTGTAGTAACTTGCTTTTCCGTATTCGCATCATTATGTTATAAAAACTTACTAGCAGAATAATAACGCTATCTTCACGTGTGTCACAGTACGGTTTTCATTTCACTGTTCAGAAGCAAAATTCAATGAAAAAAACAAGATAAACCGACTGATATATAGCCAACTATATAATGAAAACGGGTAAAGCAACTAACAAAAAGATTTTTATTGTTATATCTTATAAAATAGGGATAGTAGAAAAAAGATTGCAAATGTGAAAAGGATTAATAACAAACATTTGCTATTACTCTGAAAAACTTAATGAGAGGGGAGAGTATGATTGCATGGGTGAACGACCGCATGAGATCAATGCCATTGACGAAACGAGTGTAACACCCATAATACATGCGATGGTATAAATCAATTAAAATGGCCAGCTGGGACTATTGTATCAAGATGATATTAATAGCGCTGGGACGTATTGAAGTAGTATAAATCATTGATTGTTATGTTGATATATTTTTTAATGTCTCAATGACGTTCCACGCTTTCAGGGACTGTGATGTGAGTCATACCACAGGGTTCACTAACATATAAGCATACTAAAAAGGGGTTATTGACACTTCCTTTTTTTTTTACCATCACATATTTAATTTGGATGAAAAACATATATTACAAATTCAAAAGGAACAGCTTTAAAAATGTAATATAGAATAGAAAATTCCAAGAATGTAATCAACATGGTCGCCAAAACTTTCGAAAAATTAACTTTCAGTAGTCTTGTTCAGCACCTATTCAAATGTGCAAACATTATAATGACGAATTCTATAACCAGAACATGATTTCAATTGGATACCCATTGAGTTTAATTTTTGAAAGGCTTTGCACGTTTGTGCAATGGTAATCTGAATAGACAGGTACAGATTTGGAGGTACGTGTACATGTATAAGCAACGTTTGTCTAATTGTTGTTCATTTTTTCATATATTTTGACAGTGTATCCTGCGTGGGCTGGTGTGAATGTACAGGAGCTGACATCAACTTAACGCAATTCTTAGACCCGTTCGCTTTGAATGCCTGCTCACTTGGTGATTTTATAGGTAAGTTAGAGTACTTAATAGCATTCAACTTAAGAGAAGGTGTCCTTTTTTGCCCGCACACTTCAACCGGTCGCAAATTTCAGAATTTTATAAATTTTATAATGCCAAAGAAGATCAGCCCCCTGTGACACTTTTGTTTTCACTTCTTGATGGGCATGGTGAATTAATCGGGTGGAGATACCGCGGTTTTTTTTCGTATTAAAATAAAAAGGATATAGTCTTTTTTAGCGGGAAATTGACTTTATTTACTTTAACATTCATGACCTACTTTGACATAAGCCTTCCGCACCATCTGGGAGATGTGTGATGGCTTCTGCTTCATGACCTCAAGCCAGATCTTCCTATCTTGTGACGTTCTGGTCGCTTCTGTGAGGGATCTCAGACATCTAGTAGCACAATCAGCCTTTACACAATCAAGCCATTTCTTGGCTGGTCTGCCCCGGGGTCTATCACCATGAATATTAGAATTTAGGAGTATCTTTAGGTATCGTGATGGTCTCATCCTGTTGACGTGGCCAAAGAATCGCAGCCGTTTTCGGGCTATCTTGTCCAGAATGGTTTCATCCAGTCCTATAGAGTCCTCCGAATTGTTGTGTTTCTTATTTTGTCTAGTCTGGTTAAACCCAAGATTTTTCGGAGGCAGATCATTTCGAAGGTAACATCCATGCTGTACCATATCTGTTATTGCATTAATACTTAATATGTTCTCTCCGAAATACCATTGTCTATACAGATTTCGGAACGTGTCCCAACGACCCAAACAAGGTGGTTATCGCTCAGAATCGGGAGGCTAACGTAAAGACTTGTCTTCAGACGAGACCGAACCCTCTGGTCTTCTTCAAGAACGAGACAAACGGTACAGACTACGCTCTCAGAGCTTGGGACGCCAGTCAACCAGACAGCTACGTGGTGCTCAGCGAGTTCTGTGCACCTCAGTGTAACCCGATTTGCGGCATAGCCTTACCGCCAACGCCAACGCCATTTGTTCCAATGACGTAAGTATCAATGATGCCCATTGCACACGATGCGTCATCTCGATTGCGTTATACATGCGCTAATTATACCTGCGCTAATTAGACCTGTGAGGTCAATCAACCCATGCGCCAGCAAATCAACACAACGTATGCAATGCTAATGTTGCATCCACGCTTTGAACAATGTCACACTATCAAATGATGCGCCAGACAAGTTGCTGACGCAGTCTTAAGTCACACATAGCTGACGTAGGACAGTGTCAGCATACAACACGGCCTGACGCGCTGTGCGAGAGTGAATGCAAAAACAGTGCGTTAAATTACACACGCATTCGCTAATTGCATCCATAGGCTTGAATAGCGCATGTACCTAATAACGCAATCGAAATGACGCCTTGTGCGGCAACGGGCATAATGTATATTTGACATTTTTAAGTGTTAACAACAATAACAATAACAACAATAATAGCCTAATGGTCCACTCCAAATTTTATTAAACCGAAACGGAAATTCTTTTTGCCCAATTGATCGTGAGCCCGGCAGCCACTGAGCAGCGCCAGATCGACGTTGCTCTATCCCTTATTGTTATGTCGGATTGACTTTTTTCGTCCCATGCACGTAAACATTTTGTCTTCATTTGTCAGAGTATAACTTCATATTCAGGAACAACTTTAGAGGAAAACACAGAATTTGTATATGGCACTGGTCCCACTTGTAACACTCAAGTCACACAATTGCTATCAGGAATTTCGATTCCATGATTGGGGAGGGCATAACCACACTGATGAAAAACCCCACAAGCTCTATAGATACACAATGCTGTGAAACTATTTAGGGGGAGCTGCCCCCATGCACATCAGGGTTTGATGCCTCTCCCGGTTTATGATGGTTATGGACAAAATATTTTAAATAAATTTGATAAATAAATAAATAATAATTCTTAATTACTCATGTATAATCTTATGTGCGATGATGATGTACTAAAAGAATTTCAAAATTTGTCATCAATCTTTCACAGGACCCGAATGACGACCGGTCGGCAGATTGACGTAGTTATTCCAAGAAAACCAGAACCAACAGGTTAGTCAATTTCCTGTCATCTTTGTGTGAGTTGCCTGTTGTCATGGTTACGAAGAAACCATTGTCAATGTATTCATGAGATGTTGAGAGCGTTCTCTTTTGCGTTGATAGTTGCTATCCTTTTATACTATATCGCATTAATACAATTTTGTAAAACAAAAATCGAACTGTAGCACGATTTCCTACTCGTAAACTTTTCGTATTCGTATACAAAATAATGGAAAATAATATTATTAATGTATTTTACTTAAATCAACATATTATACTTCGTCAAGATATCATCGATGTTATGACATGGGATTCAACTTGTGGGTTGCTTTTAATGTAACAGTATGCATACATTTTGATAATTGGACACCAGAACATGGTACTGAATATGGGAAGAGACTAGTATAAGTCGCTTATGTTGTGATACCCACCCTCAGTACATTGTCATTTCAACCAGGGGTAATAATTGTTAATATGATACAGCAGTGTACGACACGTGTAATACATTTGAATGATACGAATTGTATTTCATTAATTATTGAATGTCACAGAAATATACTTCCAACAGCAGCGTATTGTGAATATCGTACGCAAATAAGAATGAGTAGTGAGTCTGGTGGTTGCAATCAGGCGCATACGCAGGGGGGGGGGGGGGGTTTGGGTTAAACCCCCCTCCTGTGTATGTTTTGTATATGTTTTTTGTGTAAATCCCCCCTCCCCCTTTTTTATTTAAAAAAAAAAAAAAAAAAAAAAATTATGCCAATGACTGACCTAAAAAAGGTGACCTTACCCCCCCCCAACGGAACAAAATGTCAAATTTTTAAATTTCGAGACCCCCCCCCAAAAAAAAAGTGTTCTCTTACCCCCCCCCCCCCCCCCCCCCCCCCACTGAGCGACTTTTCGGCTGGCAGAGACGTTGCGATTTTTTTTGGACTCCAAAAAAAAAAAAAAAGCGTTCGCTTACCACCCCCCCCCCCCCCCACCACTGAGCGACTTTTCGACCGGCGCGTTTTTGAAATTTTCGGGAGCAAAATAATAAAGCTGAGTCGTTGCGAAATTTTGGCCCGATTTTAACCCCCCCCCCCCCTTGAAAAAATCCTGCGTACGCCACTGGTTGCAATAGATTGATTATACCATACCATATTGACCACAGTGGTTTATATCAATTTAAAGGTGTGATTCAAAGCAAATAAAGTTGACAAATGATTTACGTATTCTTGAAACAGGTTCAGGCCTCTCCCCCGCTGATGCTCGAATTTTGGGAATTGCTGTGGGCACCTTTTTGGCCGGTCTCCTCATCTGTCTCATCGTCGTGTTCGTTTGTTATTTTCGAAGGAAAAATAACAAGAATCGAGCTCCAAAACTTCCTCCCAGGTAAGACCAAGTCATGCCCCTTATCATCTCCTTTCATTTAAGTCTGGGATAACAAAAAAAATCAAGTTCATATTAGTCACATGTAGAAGATTATGAAGGTCTCTTCTAACTATGATAAGTGGAATGGAAACCCTAGAAGGTATTTTACTTTTATGATTTATCCCTTTGTTTTATATGCAATATAGGACCTGGTATGACGATGTGGATCTCAAGAATGGACCAAAAACCCTTCGTTCTTTGATGTCAATGTTTATATCTCAATTTCTCTATTTTGGTTTAGTTATAGTGTTTAAAAAAATGTGTAATCTTCTAAACACGTACCTGAGTAAAATCACTCCCACTTTGTCAGAGGATGTGCTGTGGTAAGCTGTTGGCTCCTTATAGCTAGTGGTAAAATGTATTGACTCATAAACACTTTGAATATGTCCTCTTGAAAATTGATGCAAAATTTAATGGTGACGAGCTGACATGTGCACCGGACTGCGCAATGGACCGGTTTCGCGATAATTTTGTATTGTTTTTATTATATTGTTTGACTCTCAATAAACCAGACATGATCTCTGTGTGTGACAAACATAAAATGCTCTTTTGAAGTATATATTATGCATAAATTTAGGGAGGCCCTTCGAATTTGAACTCATTGGTAAATATTCTCAATGTTTACATTACAGGCGCAACATGCCCACTCAGAACCGGGATTATGCAACGATCGAAGAAATCCAAATGACATCAGCGAACAACAGTAAGTAGATAGTTCTAATTGTTTGAGATGAACCTCTAATGTTAAAAATGATTGAGGTGTCATGACACTCAGATTGGAGTTGTATCATTGTCTGAATTTAAAAACCAAATATTTCAACTGTTGTCTGCAGAATGTGAACATAGCTTCCATGTGAGATACACTGTATATTTTAGCTCTCATCGCTCTGGGAATAATTATTGTTTAAAGGTGATAGGTCCGACAAACAGTTTTGATGTTAGTGATTTATTCATACTTTGCCTTTTAACAATATTATATACCACTCAATTTTCTAATTCGAATATTTTCCATGAGCTTTAGGTTACAAAATGTGAAGCACATTTAAGATGAACTTGTACAGAAAATTTATAAGATATAAACGAGAAGGTAGCATTTGATATGATTAGGAACCTAATTCGCTATGTTTCATCAATCTTTCATCTACCAGGTCCTGCCAGACGAGGTGGAGCCTATCCAAACGGGTTGTATCGAAGTGAGAGTCTGTCTGCAATCAACTCATTCAACCCAGATCCATCAATCCATCGGTCAGTATCAGACATCGAGCTCCTAGGCGACCCTCCCCATCCACCAGTCCGGCAAATGAGCCTTCTACCAGGGGTCAATCCAGCTTTGGCCGATTGTACAGATGGTCCTGGTGCACCCCAAGATGACTACGGATATACCAAGTACCTACCCGAGAGTGACCAGCAGGGGTTGCCTTACATGCACCTTAAGGTAACGCCTTCCCTGTCAGATCCTGAAGGTCAGCACCAGGCTTCGAAACCCCACCGGTACAGGAGCAACACAGCCGATACGCATGCTAACAGCGCAGATGTAGGAAGGGCTATTGATAGGATCCGGGCTCGCCAGGCGTTGAAAGATGGAGGCAACAGGAGGTTTGTACCAAACCAGACAGGAAGGGGTCGAAGCACTACGCTAGGGGAAGATTACAATCGCTTGAACAGGAATGGACATAAAGGTGTTCCTCGCTCGAAGAAGAACGATTCCGCTGCATTCACACCCGTTCCTGTACATGGACAGTACCAGTCCAGACCAAGAAGGTCTCCTGAGAGTGTTCGCAGGTGGAGGTCTCTACCGGATATGACAGATGGAGGGCAGGCCCCACCTACCATGCAAGCTGATAGTGTTGACGAAAACGCTCCAGTTTATCAACTCCTCGAAAGGAGTCCAGCCAGCTCAATTGGAGACTATAGCAAAAGGAAAACTTATCAGCTACCCTATGGACGTGACGAAACGGACCTTCCAGAGTCAAAAGCGCGAGATAGCCGAGGAAGTGGACGTACCGCATCCGAGTCAGGTCCATCTTCATACGGCTCGCAATCTCAGGGTAGTACAATGGATGATCGATACGACCCTGTTTATGAATCTCGCTTGACAAATAACACAAAAGCTCCACAGTCTCCGGACGAATACCAACCCCTTTCGCAGTCTCGTCCGGTGTACCTAGAGTTCGACGATCATCCAGCCGCAGATGAGGCGGCGTTAGATAGCGATTCGTATCTTAAACCAAACAAATCGCACAGATCACCAAAGGAGAATTGTAAACTAAATGGCGGCAGGAGTGGGATACATGCACCTAACGCACCAAGTAACGGCCATCTACGCGATAGCATGCAGGATACGGCATACATCTACGGGGGTGATAACAACAACCTCTCATTGAAGAAACAACCATCAAAGTCTGTCGGAGGAAACACATACGCTGCTCTAAAACTGAGACAGACCGAGGACGGTTATGATAACCCGAACGATGAAGATGAAATGGAAAATGGAGAATACATGTACCATCCGGCTGGTCCTGATGTCATGGTTTAAAGCTATCCAGATCATGCATAATTATGATCTACCATAAAGTATTTATGAATATTTATTTATTGTTTAGGAAGAATGTTTTTATTACCTTGGGCGCTTTGTTAAGTAAATGCAATCGACGAAACGCTACGAGGGATACGTTAAGTATTCCAAAGAACTATTTGTTATTGACTTCATAATTATGTAACCTGAAGAAAATGGGAACTTATAATTTAAGAAGAGATGATGTTGGCTAAACGGTGGTACGATGTATTCTTCAATTGATTTGTGCACGTTTTTTTTCCTTGCGATACTTCTTCTTCTTCTTCTTCTTCTTCTTCTTCTTCTTCTTCTTCTTCTCTGTTTTTGTCTTCGTGCGCATTTTGAATAATTTCGTTATTATGGGCTTTATTTTTTTCCTCCAAAGCTTTGTCATGTTGTAAATCAAAATGTGCCTCCCATAATTTCTTTCATTTATGATATATTATTAGTCAGGATTATATCTTTCATGATAAAATCCTCTTAAAAGTGCATGAATATATTCAATTTTAGTGTTCGACAATGCATTACAGCTGTATATATAGCAAACACATTTTATATATCATAGAGGCGATTGAAAATTATGCTGCGTTTGTGTGGGTATGACGAAGGGAGACAGTTGATACTTGTACGGTCAGAAAAGAAAGGTTTTTCATGGGCTTATCTTGTAAGTTTGGCAGAAAAATAAATGTAGGTTGATTTAAATGAATGAAATTTAAATAAAGAAAACAACATGTCTAGTGAGTGGACTCATATTGAAAAGAGTTAGATTTACAGACGGCTCAACAGGGTTGAATAAGTTTTATATATATTTTATTTATGTGCATAATTTAGATTGCATATTCGCACTTCTAAAGAGGGCTACTTTTAGTATTATTCATAGAATTGAAGGCCTTCAAATCCGTTAAATTGTACAAGCTGCAGAAGTATTGAATTAATCTATTGATATCATAACTGATGCAACTGAAGTCTAAAAAGGTATGTTTTGTTATGTGGTATTCATTCAATAAGGGCCTTCAATTTGGACTGTTTTCTACACACTCGGTGTTGTAGATAATGTTGATGAATCAATACTTAATCGCTTATTTGACATTGATAATTTACTTTGCGACAGTTATGTTTTGTGAAAATATCAGTTACTCTTTAGATTAACACACAGATCGTTTGTCATAACGTAACTCATTATTTTCCGTGCAAACGAATTCAATTTCATTCAGAATCCCACAGTTGTACGTATGCTTCATTGCGCTTGGAATGATCATTGGATGTACAATAACATATCGTAACAAAAAAAACTTAAATTGATTTTATAGTCTAATACTTTCGCATTTTTAAAACTTAATTTTTTCCAAATTCAACCACAGAGGAACGGAAAGCGTCTAAACAGCCTTATCAATGCAAAATTGTCGAATCTCAATTGGTGTTCATTTTCAAACCATTTGAGATAAAGACATGAAACTTCATGAGCATATTTGTTATATAATTCTCTATCTATGTGCCAAGTTTCAGAAGTTTTCGTTGATCAAAGGCCGAGACAGGAGAGTATTCCCGATAATCCAGTCTTTTTAGGATTAAACAATCTACATTCATTTATCAAAAGAGTTATTACGTTTCTCAGTGACAGACCTTATACAGGCGTAACTGTGTTTGGAGCCATGTGAATCTTATTCACGTCGTTAATCATGGTAATATCACCTGTTATAAATGTATCATTATTATATACATTAAATCACACTATTTTCTAATGTAATACCATAAAACGCACATGAATGCCAATATTTACTTAATCATTGCTTACAGCGCACTTTCGGATGACTAAAAGTCTTATTTTGTTGTAAAATAATTATATTTGTGTACATTTGCATCACTAAGCCAAAGTCGTTATTTTCTTGTGTATGTGAAATGTAATGAAATAAAATGTATCAAATTCGTTCTTGTGAACGCGTCTCAATTGTGTATATTATTTTATCGAAATAATGGAAAACTTGTTTTCTATGAATGCAAAGTAGGTCAAGCAGTTTCATTTTCCTCCATCAAATCCAGTTATACAGTACATGGAAAATAGTAGCTATATAGTATAGCAAGCAGCACAGATATATAAATTACGTATTCTATGACAGCTTGATGAATAGTGTCAGAACAAAATGAATACGGATAGTGAAACAAGAGACGGTGCAGGTTCTAAGGGAATCGAAAGAAAGAAACTAAGTGGATGCATAATTATGTATATGCATGAGTCGGTGAGAGAATCGGGATTTTTTTTTGTATACGAGAAAAGGAAATGAAGGATAAAGAGAGAGAAAGAAAAATGTACGTGTGTGTGTATGTGTGAAGATCACAAGAGAGAGAGAGAGAGAGAGAGGGGGAGGGAAAGGCAGAGAGGGGGGGGGGGGTAGGGACAGGACCAGGAAGGGAAGAGATTGATAAAAAAAAAAAAAGGAAATAAAAGATTGGTCAAGAAAAAGCATTCAAATAATGAATCGAAATGAACCCTGAACAAAATAGAATCTTATCCAAACTGATAGTCAAGATCTTTACTATACCCCGTCGCAATCATTCGAAATCATATTTTTATACAGAAAATATTTATAGCTCTGCGTCAATGATTAACAATATTTGATAAATAGTATTGTAACAGCTGTTGTATTTCATAAGAACACACATAATTATGAGATATCATTATAGGTCATCTTCTCTACCACCGTACTAATAACGTTACTATTTATGTCATCTCCAGTCTTGTGTCACTAAAATAAGGAATCATTGCGAAGAGGTCTTCTAAATTCTTTATTCCAACCTAATGGTAAGTCAAATAACATTCAGTGAAGATACAAATAAAATGTACGATTTCTACGAACCCTTGTTTGATTTGTCATGACAGTCTCATATATTCTGGGGTTCAAACGGCAATATTTTGTTCGTAAATTGCGATTTGTGTAAATTTCTGTAAAAAAAAGAAAAAATACGTGGCGTAGTTTTTATATCACTTTAGCAGTTTTGTTTGTTTTTTGCTGTTGTTGTTGTTTTTATATAATTAGAAAATGGACAACAATCTAGGCCTATGGATCATAAATTAATTGACTCTACCCTGTTTGAGACTGAAACAAATAATTTAATAATTTATACCCCCCCCCCTCGATTTCCGCTTAACTTTATAACAGATTCACATTTCTCTGTCGAAATTCTCCTTCACTATTCCATACATCATGGCGTTTGTTTATTTGGTATCTTTTTGTTGTTTTGTTTTATATATTATTTTCTGAATTTATAAAGTAAGGCTACCTTGAATCTGTATTGCAGGCCTTTACAGTATATTTTTAAAGACAAGCTTGATTTCTGGTAATGATAAGCCCGACACTATGTGCAAATGAAAGTTGTGGTTTTTATTGATGATGCGTGATTACCAGCAAGTTTTTGTGAGGTTGTTTTTATTTAAGTGGTGCAAACAATCAATCTACTGCAGGACAAACAATCCAGAATGAATTATAGCCATGTTCTCTCGACATTCGATTCCCGTACCAGAGCTCAAGATTAGCTTTAACCCCGGCTTTAACCAGGATCAGGATGATTCAAGCTCTAACCCTACTTCTGCTGGCCTCGGCGGTCATTGCCGAGGAAGCCGCTTTATTGGAAGCCGCCGAACCGATTGCTGGTAGCTACATCGTAAAACTCAAGGTAATTCGAAATGATTGATATTTACTGGTAATAATTGATGTTGATTGGCCATACATTGAGATAAACAAATGATAAATCTTATCATTATGTCGTCTTATGAAACGACCAAAGTGATCTGTCACTAACGGCATGTTCATATAGATTAAACCAGTGGCGTACGCAGGATTTTTTCAAGGGGAGGGTTTTCAAATCGGGCACAAAATTTCGCAAGAGGGTAAGAGGACACTTTTTTTTTTTTTTTTTTTTTTTTTTTTGGGGGGGGGGGGGGGGGGGGGGGGGGGGGGGGGAAATTTTGAAAATTGGACATTTTGTCCAGTTGGGGGGGGGGGTAAGGTCACCTTTTAAGGTCACCTATTGGCAATTTTTTTTTTTAATTATTTTTTTTTTAAAAATTTTTTAAATTTATTTAAAAAAAATTAAAAAAAATAAATAAAAATGAGAGGGTTTTCCAAAATAACATACAAAAAACATACACATAAAAAAAACTCGAGGGGGGGTTTTACCCCAAAACCACCCCCTGCGTACGTGCCTGGATTAAACAGCTGAATACGACCACGGTGCACACTAATTTACTTGCAAATATATTTTCAGGTTTTATTCCCTTCGTGATATAGAAAGTGATAATGACATGAAGCAGGGGCGGTGCTCCCGGGGAGAGGAGGCAGGGGGCACAATGCTCCCCAACTTCTTAAAGAACCCCAAAAGTGCCCCTTTTTACATTGGAGAAATGCCCTTTTAACTTTGTAAGAAGTGACCCTTTTTGCACAGGAAAAGTGCCACTTTAACTTCGTGAAAGTGCCCTTTTCCCTTTTCACCTCTGAAAAATGCCCCTTTATTTTGACACGTACCCCTTTTCCTTCGACAAGTTCTCATTTTTTCTTTGCATAAGTGTCCATTTTCCATTCTCATCAGTGCCTTTTTTAAAATCTCTAGTAAGTGCCCCTTTTAAGGTACGAGAAGTACCCTTTTTAAATTTTGATAAGTGCCCCTTCACCTCTGATAATTGCCCTATTCAAATCTGAGAGGTGTCTCTTTCCCTTGACAAGTGCTCCTTCCCCTTCTGATAAGTGCTCTTTTCATCTTTGATGTGTGCTCGTTTTTCACCTCTAATAACTGCCTTTGTTATATTGACACGTGCCCTTTTTCCTTCTCATGAATGCACTTCCCCTTCTCATAAAAGCCCCCTTTCACCTCCGATAAATGCCCCTATTAAAATCTGATCGGTGCCCCATTTGTTTCAATCTAATCTAATTTTCCTTTATTATAAATGCCCCTTTTCAGGTGCGATAATTTCCCTAACAATGGTACGTTCCACTTTGCCTTTCTAATAAGGGATCTATCCCCTTTTCATAAATGCCCCTTTTCAACTCTTATAAATGCCTTTATCAAAATCTGATGGGTGCCCCTTTTCCGTCGACAAATGCCCATTTCCCATTCCTTTTTTCCCCTTTGCCCTTTTTTCATCCCTGGTGAGTGCCTCTTTGTGGTGTGAGAAGTGCCCATTTTCCCCTCTGATAATTACCTTTTGTACTTTGACACGTGCACCTTTTCTTTTCTAATAAGTGTCTACCCCTTTCCCATTTTCCTCTCATCATTAAACGTGCCCCTAATTTAAAGCAACTAAGAGCAATTTCATCAAAACTCACTCGCATTTATAGATGATACAATTATGTTACTTATCGAAGGTCTTTTCAGTCTACCGTTATGAGAATGTGCTTATAACCCCATCAGGATTGGGTTTTTCCTCTTTATGAGATGTAATTTATCGAATTGCTACCTCACAAATCTTAAAATTGTCTTCGCTCTCTCGCAAATTAGGGGTAAATAGCCATGTCTAAAAAAAAATATATATTTTCGCTTTGAGATTTCCCTTTGAAGGTGGCCCTTTTATTTTCTCCAGAAAGTGCCCTTTTTTGTTGGTGCCCCCCCCCCACCCCTTGGAAGTCGCTCTGCCGCCCCTGGAAGGAAGATATGCTCTTCAAATTCATACATGTATAAACTACAAGTCTTTTATAATTCTGCTTCTAATATTGATGTAAACAAGTTCTGTCTTAGTGTGCCCAGAGTTAGGTAAAATCGTGACGGCTAAATGGAATAACGCGATGGTGTAATTTTCTTAAGTCATTATGGCTCCGGGTCAAGGCTCCACATAGTACCTTGACGAATATGAAGGTACCAATACTTCTTCGAATCTAAGGTGGATCAAACAATGGATTGACGAAGTTGAAGCTGGATATCAGCTCCACATGAAGGGAATATTTATTACCTATTTTGTAATGACTTATTTCTGCTTACAGACCAACGCCGATATCGAGTCTTGTGTATCTACAATCAAACTTGCTGGTGGTCATGTGGAACATCGTTATAACCGACTCTTCCAAGGATTCTCGGCTCGACTTTCTGATACGCTCTTGAACATGGTAAGCTTTTACCCCATCCCAGGGCATCATCCTCTGGGTCTACGGACTGACACTGGGGCAAGGAATCACCCCTCCCCACTATAGAATGGCTATGAAGCAAAGAACAACAGAAAAACAAACTAGGCAAAATGAACAACAACAACAAAACAAGAAAAAATGACACTGAACTATAATCATAATTAATTGCTTTAGCAGGCTAGTATTGCCCATTTTTCTTCGTCGTCGCCACCCTCCCCCCTCTTCCTTAATCAAACGAAATCCTAACTCTGATGATGGTGTCCCCTCCCAAATGAGAGGGGCCCAAGTTTAAGCCATTTGCTATACACTAAGCCATAAAGTGACATCTGGTATCCTGTCATAACCAGCAAAGGTCTTATTTAGATGACGATGGTGATGGTGATGGTAATGATGATGAGGATGGTGGTGATGATGATGATGGTGGTGGTGATGGTGATAATGATGATGATGACTGATGGCGACGACGAAAATGACGCCAATGGTGTTGATGATCATGAAGATGACATTAGAGATATGGTCAGCTTGTGTGAAATGCGATGATAAGAATAATATGACGGCGATGATAATAGTCAACAATTTATTCTATTCATGTCAGCCTATGCTTTACCTTAATTTTAAAGTATTAAAATCCTCTTTATGATAAAAAGAAGGGTGAAATCAGTTACAGGATACCATTTTACTTACAGCTATAGATTCAACGTTCTTTTGAACGCTGGAAAGCTTTTTAAACGCAATGTTTTATATTGAATTAATGCACTATTCCTTTTTACAGGTACGTCGACTGCCGGATGTCGAATACGTGGAGCAAGATGGTGTAGTTCGAGCCATGAATGTTGGATCTTGGGGACTTGATAGAGTAGACCAACGCTACCTACCCCTTGACAATAGCTACACACCTTCTGGTAGATATAGTTCTATCTGTTCAACATAAAATGTCACTGATCTTCTCATTATGACGATCTTTTAATGATATCAATGTTTCTATTACTGAAAGAGATTATTTATATGATTTTTTCCTCATTTTCATCATCATCATCACCATCATCATCATCGTCATCATCTTCGTCATTGTCATTATATCATTGTTTTTTTTTTTGTATATTGGTTTCTTGAAATGGTCTTTGCTATGTTATCTGTAAAATAAGGAGTTTTTAATTTGTTGATAATTTACACATATTTTCCTTTTATATCAAACCATTCCCCCGTTTCCCTGTTTCATTTTTCGCAATGTCTAATTCCTTTTCTCCCGATGGATACAGCCTCTGATTGCTTCTTTGTTTTATTCTTTAGTGTCTAATACTTTTCTCTGATTTATAATTCATAGTCATTAAACTTTTGTTCGATTGTTTGTTCATTTATATATTTATTTACAATGCCTGATTCTTATCCCATTCCCATTTTATTTGCTTTTGCAGCTACTGGGAGTGATGTTGTCGTCTACGTCATAGATACAGGTGTAAACCAATATCATGTTGACTTCGGAGGTCGTGCAATCCATGCCTGGACATACACGGGCGGCACAGCTGTAAGATGATTTATTGTTCTTTGTTTCACAATAATTGTGCCTGTTGCGCCATTTCGATTGCGTCATTACCTGCGCTAATTGAACCGTTAAATGGATGAAATTTTAGTGCATGCGCTAGCAGTTCAACACAATGCTTGCACTGTTCGTATGGCGTTCACTATTGTACGAAATCGCTCTCACAAGGTGCGTCAACGACTGCGCCATTCGCTGACGCAATTCTGCGTCTGTGAAATGACGCCTTGTGTGCAACTGACATATTTTTGTCCAATTATTTTACGTTACAGTTGTTGTTTTAATGATAAAACACGGTATAAAAAGCATACAAGTAGGTATAAAAAGTAGTTATATCGTAAATAATAAATGAGTAAAGGAGCACAGCTCATAGATAGTGACTATGATCTTGAGTTGTATTATAACTTGACACATGGCTGCAACAAGCCAGTCACAAGTCTCCGGGAAAGAAGTTTTTATCATCAGAATTTCCGTATATAGGCCTATGACTCAACATTCTTGAGAAAAGATAGCTAGACATGGTAAAAATGCGAACATTTGATCTGACTTCTCGTCACACATTTCATATCATAGCTTTGTTATGAATTCCTCTTATCCTTTCTGTACCATCGATTGTCTACAGGAGGATTGTCAGGGTCATGGGACCCACTGTGCTGGTATTGTTGGTTCCAAGACGTATGGCGTAGCCACGGAAGTCCAGATCAAAGGAGTTAAAGTACTCAACTGCTATGGTAGTGGATCATACTCCAACATGATTGCAGGTAAAGGGTTATGAAAATGCTTTAAAAATCTACCCATTGAGTGAATGTATCCTTCATTTGGGAAAAGAAAGAAAAAGAATGTTATGTGTGCAACAATTTGCGAAATTATGATATAAAGAACAATGAACACATGCTATAAAAAGATTCTAATTAAGAACATAAGGGCAAAAGGGCACTATAATTTGCCCGGAGCAATTAACCCTAATAAGGCCGGGGGGCATTATGCCCCCACCCCCCTCCACGATTTTTCCGATTGCTCGGGAACGCATATGGATGGCGCCCCGCCGCACAGTGGGCCAGGGAGGAACCAAAGTGCGCCAAAACTCATGTTTGGGGATTTATTTTTTATAAATCCAGAGGAAATGTTTGGATTTCCAGGGATTTGCGCTAAAATTTTATTACCAACATTTTCTCTGATGTCTAAGCTTTAAGTTGATACCAGATTTGGCTGCCCGATTCTGCCCGTTATTATGTTAGAGCCGTTTTCCTTGCAACATTGCCCCGAAAATGTGTTTATTTCGGTCCGCGGTGTCAGAATAAGTGTCACGCGCCCCCTCGCGCCGTGATTTATGACCACGAATCCTTCATGATTCAGCCGCGGACCCCCAAAACCCACAGTTTTCGGGGCAATGTGGCAAGGGAAATCGGCTCTAACATAACAACGGGCAAGATCGGGCAGCCAAATTTGGTATCAACTTAAAGCTTAGACATCAGAGGAAATGGTGGTATTAAAATTTAAGCGGTACACTGCGGAGATCTAAACATTTCTTCTGGATTTATAAAAAACATGGATAATTAGTCCATTTTTCAGTGAATTACCCTATAATATATCATGAAGATTGTGTTTCTATTAATTTTAACCCATTCATTCAACGAAATGAACTATCAGGAATATGTGAGAGCAATTTCATATCAATAACTTAAAAACTTCATGTTGAATTGAAAGATTTATAAAATAAGTCACTTTTGCACTAAAACTGTGAATATGTAGGATTTTGCTGTTTGAAGTAGTAAATTTATACCCTTATTGTGCATAACGGAATTAAATATTTCACTGAGGTATTCCTCTATGTATTACCTTTCAACTGGGCAAGAAAAAAATTTAAAAAAAGAAATCACCCAAACTTAGTTTTGGCGCACTTTGGTTCCTCCCTGGCCCACTGTGCGCCGCTCGCAGACTTTTTTCTTTCGAGTCTTGCGCATCTCTCTCGAAAAAAAAAAATGAAAATCGGACCAACAGTTACAAGGTCACGTGACCTTTTGTCTTTTTGGAGACGCTTATGATTACTTGAATATTACTTAATTTCTCAAGCCCTTTCAAAATATTTTCCTACTCCCCTCATTTTCCTTTTCTCAATATTTCTCCCTTACCCCAACCCAACACTTTACATCTTCCTCTCGCTTTCCCTCTCCCCCCCCCCCCTCTCTCTCTCTCTCTCTTTCTCTCCTTTTCTCTATTCGGACAGGTATTGAATGGGTGGGTGTAGACTCAGTTGGTCGAGCTGCCGTCGCCTCCATGTCTGTAGGAGGGGGCGCCTCCACCAGTCTCGATACGGCCATCAGGGAGCTGGTGTCGAGCGGCGTACCCGTAGTCGTAGCTGCGGGAAACAGCAATGCCGATGCCTGCAACTTCTCTCCTGCCAGGGAACCTTCGGTAGGGTTTGTTCTCTTTTATACAGTGGCGTAGCTAAAGCGGGGAGGGGGCGGGGGTATGTGCCCCAATCAATTAAATGACACAAGAAAAAAACCCTGAGAGAATCAGATAGAAAGGAAAAGGGGAAGATCATCTAACCCCTTCGCCCTCCCCCAAGTCACTCTATGGCCTTTATCCACGTAATACTTTGGTGCTACCCCCTCCCCAATGATACCGATGCCTTCTTTAATAATGAATAGACCCATACCACGTAACTTCTTTGTTAAATTCCTAAACAGGACAACGTTAAAATCATAGAAATTATCAATGACGTTTTCTGTATATAATAATCTACTCTTTCTTTGGTTCCCTTTTATTGTTTCTTATTTTGTCAGATCCCCCCTAATTTGATTTCCTTTCAACATAAAATGTTCCAGTATATTAAAAATCCAATGTTACTTTACATAATATGGATATATTCCTTCTAGGCTATAACAGTAGGTGCATCCACCCAAACCGACTCGATTCGTAGTTCGTCCAACCACGGATCGTGCGTCGATATCTTCGCCCCTGGTAGCGAAATCACGTCGACTTGGTATACGAGTAACACGGCCACTGCTGTGCTTAGCGGCTCATCTATGGCTTGTCCTCACGTTGCTGGTAACAATTTATTAACTTTTTATCCTTCACTCTTTGTTTGATTTCTACCCCTTGTGTTTGTGTTGTCCATATTCTCCTCCTTTCCTTTTTTCTTAACGTTTTTTTGTTATATATTTCCCCTTTTCTATCTCATCTGCTGTATGTTCCTTTTTAGATGATTCATTTTCTTCTTAAGACTCCTTGTTATATCACTGACCTGGTATGAGAACCAGTAGTGTCTTTCAAGAAATACAAATTTCAATCCAAATTCAACACTAATTTAGACCCGTTATCATTAAAGCGACAGCATAATGTCCATATTTTGCCAGGTGATGCCTTTTGAGGCTCAGAAGGAAAAATGTTGATAAAATAACTTTACTGTATCAATCAATCGATCTCCTTATATGCTCTATCATTCATCAAATAATGCAAGTTGCTTTTTTTCTAAATCTCATAAAACTATGTTTTATGTTAAATCTTTAAAAAGTTTTATAATAAAATGGCTTAAATGGAATTACCAGAATTCTAAATTCAAATCTGACTTCCTCATTTTATCTGCAAAGTGGTTACCAGATGGTGCTTTAATATTCTTGTGACATATGATCAAATGGAGGACTCATATTCCAAGATCTTGTTTTATGATTCTTATGCTAGAAATGTTACGAGTACTTTTAACATAAATGTGTTTTCCACATTACATTGATGAGTACCCCATCGTCAGATACTTAAGCCGTACCGCCCTAGTTTGACCAGGAGGGATTAGACCTCCCTGCATGGTCACCAACAGGTGGTTATCTCACTCAAATAAACTCTCAATTAAAATAAGAAAAAGTGGATCATGGGGGACCAATGGTCACCAATTAGGCATTGTTTGCTATATAGAGGGCGCAAGTAGTTTTAAGTAGTGCAGTGGGGCTTTAAAACTTCCTTCTTTTTCCTTCCTCCATTTAGGTGCTCTTGCTCTCAATGGACGAGATACAACTAGCCTTCTAGATTCTGCAACCAACGATGTGCTCCAAGGTGTACCCACCGATACACCTAACAAACTCCTGTACGTGCAGTAATTGGTGTCACGGAGGACTCCAGTATTAATCCGAGCAAAGAACAGTATTTCTGGTTGTGATATTACCACAAAGTGAACATGAATTATGCCTAGAATTCTTGATAGCATTTATGGTTAACTTGCACGTAAACTTTGGATTACAGATACATTTCAAAGCATGCAAATCTGAATAAATGCAAAGCAATTCATCAAAATATCAGGAATATAATGCAACTTTATTTCAAGCAATCACACAAACTTAATGTAGCTTTTACAAAATGCACGACTTTCATCTCCGGTGTTTTCTGTACCCAAACTAAACGAAGACAAAATATTACAAATATACATCTAGCATGAAACCATGAGCCCGTTTCACGAAACTTGTTATCGGTGATAAATGACAGTCTTTGTTATAAGCTACTGAAATCCATTTTTTTCATTCGTCATTGAAAAAATGCTTTGTGGAACGGGTCCCGGGTACAAGGTTAGGAATGCCTTCTTCATGTCTCCATGAAGCAAAAAATTAGCAGTACCGGTACTTATAATCTGTGAATGCGACAGTATTGCCAGCCTACAGCTAACATGTATCAATAAATGATAATGCAGTACATTACATGTACCCAATTGTTTTGAAGTTTAACTTATGCATTTCCATCAACTCACAATAATTGAGGTTTAGATCCTGTACAAAAAAGATACTATTGACATAATTAGCATTCTATTCACATATGTACACGTACAAATAGCCATATTCTGAATTTCATTCAACTAGTTTCCTTTGAATTATCCCCCTTATAAGCAGTATAATGCCATCATATTATCTGTTGAGAGGCAGAACGACTCAACTCCAGGTTAAAAAATATGCCGCTCAGTCTCAGAGCAAACAATATTCATTTAGAATGATGGGGTCAATTTCACACCATCTTGAAAAATTAAGCAAAGTTGATCCAATGAACGAGGTTTAAAGGACATTTTGCAGGCAATGTGCAATCATAGTTACTCATCATATAAGAATATATTCATAAGGGATAAGACATGACATAGTAATGGATGACCGTTCAACCAATCTAAACATGCTAATGCATTCCACTATAGTGTTATCATCAACATTGGAAATTTTTTTGGAAGAAGGTGTTTTATATCTCTTTATGAGATCCTAAAAACAGCTTTTTTAAAGATGTCAAAGTTGAGTGGATGCCGAAATGAGAATCATGGGTTTGAATCCCCAAATTGCTCCTGTCCTTTGGAAGACATCAAATCTACAACATTTGCCACTTTCCAGCTAGGTGTGGTGAATAGTGGGTACTTTGAAATATAGGAAGAAATCACTTGAATGCTGTGAGCACCAAAAATGGTAGATGAGCTCCAGTCATATCCCATCTCCGTTGCAGTCTCATCACCACAAGTGACATCACAACCCGTTAATAGTTCATATCAATAATTTAGCATTCAGTCTTCCGGGAGGTCTAGTCTTCGATGGAGAAGTTCGGATGGACAACCAGTAGAGGGTCCTCTTCAGTAATCATCTCTTCACCCTCTACGGCGGGGGTACCGACTCGTCTTGTCTTCAGTCCTGTCTTGGCTAGCTCAATGATCACATGATCCTGGAAAATAATACAGAGAATATTCAAAAAGAATTTGATGAATCCACGATACCAGAAAATAATTCCAATAGTACAATGACAACGTACTGGATAGTAATCCTCCCTTTTTTTCTTGTTTAGTAACGATATTTCCAATTTAAGTCTAAAGACCTTCAGCAACAAAATCTTCTTTGCATTATATGGTTTATTAGTCCAGAGGAGTGTTTCACAAAGACTGAGATCGACTTTAAGTTGGACTTAGGTATGGCAGGCCGTTCATGCCACTGTTTGCTCTCACCATTAAGATCTTTAGATAATATTTTTCCCTTCAATAATGAATTATCAATAAATGTAAATTCTGTAGATTTGTGACCATGATTTGTAAGTCCCTCGAGAGACCAATGCCAGTAAATGTTGAGAGATAACAGTGGCATGAACGGCCTGCCATTGTTAAGTCCAACTTAAAGTTGATCTTAATCTTTGTGAAACACCCCCCAGATCCACCAAGGTTTTGATGTAACAAGCAATTTCCTTGGTCCCAAGGAGTTTATTATCATGAGGTTCCACGGAAAAACACCAACCGGCAGTGTAGACAATCATCAAGGCTTAACCAACCTTCATACAATTTGGCCAAGTGGTTTGATCTAGCTACAGTTTCCCCAATCTTTAAAGTCATTGATGAATAATAAAATACAGTCGAACCCGTCTACAGCAACCTCCCAAGGGAAACAAAAAAGTGGTCTTTGTAGACAGGTTCCTTTAGAACATTTTTCAATGAGAAACCATTTTCAAGGCAAACAAATAATGTGCTTGTTGTAGATAGGTGGTCTTTGTAGACAGGTGGTCACTAAAGCAGGTTTGACTGTATAAAGTACATTGCAGAAGAAACAAAGTATAAAACCTACCCTATGAACCAGTCTGTCGATGACCTTCTCGACCTTGGTCTTCTTCTCGATGAGCTCCTCTTCCGTCTCAATCTCCTCCTCCATCTCCTTCAGGTACCAGTTCACCACGTCACTCTTTCTTACCCCTTCAAAGCCTTCCTCTGAAAGCAATAATACATGAGTTAATTATTATATCTATTTGGACGGGATAGATATCACGCACGTGTCGCATAGTCCCATATACATCTTTCTGTATACAGTGCTTGTAACTTTACCAAGACTAGGCCAAATTTCTTATCATTTTGATGATTCCAGAACCTTGCAGTACACACCAATACTTATATGCTAGATGATCAACCTTTTCTGATCGATTCCACGTTTCTTTCACAATGCAATCGCATTACCAGAAATGATCTTGATCTTTAATCCTCAAGATGAAAAATGTTACCTATCAAATCTGTTCAGACCCAAATTCGATCATGTGATCAAAAGGCAATCCATTCATCTCCTTTCCTACACATATAATTAATCAAATGTAAGAATTTTGTTTCCTTTTAGCTATAAATGATATATATCAGCAAAAGTACAATATCGCTTGATGATTTGTAAGTTATACTCTCTGCATGTAGAGTGACATTAAGATGTTGAATTTTAGTGAATATACTTACCACATACTATCAACAATGACATAGTCTGTGGTAGGTTAGTCTGTGGAATGACAATAAAATTTCTCACAAAAAACTGAAAGAATACAATTTGAATTCCATTCACACTAAATATTAATTTTGATACCGTTTCTCTCTCCTAAAAAGTAAGATATACAAAGACGTTACAATGCACCCACCTTCCTTCTCCTCCTGTTGTCTCATGTAGATAACAAGTAGGTTTGACGTCATCTTGTACTCTTCAAACGACATGTGCAATCCCTTCTTCTTGGAGGGCTAGGAGCCGCAGAATCTTGCGTCGTCTGCTCCTGGGTGGGAGGCGTGTCCGTTTCCATGGCTTCCACCGGGGTCGCTGTATCCTCGTCCAGTTGGGGCCCATCGTCTTCCTCCTCTTCAAAGTTGATGACCGGTTGTTCGACCCGGATGATGGATTTATTGAGGAGACGGAAGGCCTCCTTCACGTGCTTGGGCTGGACCTCGTCCTGGCAGTGTAACCTTGCCATTCCCTCCGAGAGGCGGATCATGCTCTCGAGCTGACGGACGGTGATGCGCCATGACGACGTGGTCGACCCGCTGTCTCGCTGTCTCAGACGACGGTATTCATCCACCATGAAGTCCTGGGATTCCTTGGTGATCTACATTGAAAAGAGTTGGACATTCAGGATTGGACATTGTTTCCTACCTTGGCCTACAATCTAGATAACAACCTTGAACTAAAAATGCAGTCAGAATCAAATTGTTCTGGAACATCTACCATGAATCTTCCTTAGAAGTTTAGTGGTATTTTCTATTTCACATAACACAATTTTCATTGTTAAAAAGTCAGTTGAGAAAATGACTTTTGGAACTGTTAACAATATGATAATAGCTATTTCCATCTTTACATTGATATATTTCTACTTAACATACTTCAATCTAAGCACATGTGAATTAAATATATTATTCACCTCCTCTGGCAATTATACATAGTATTTCTGACTTGCAGATATTTACTTAAATTTGAAATTCATGATATTCCAGTCAGAGTAATGAAAGATCATTTGATTCAGTCCTAAAGGCCATGAAACCTCCCAAGATACATATCATCTGTTCAGAGCCAGTAGGGCTTAACTCTGTGTAAAATGATACCATAGGACTCAACTTTGTGTAAAATGATACCATAGGGCTCAACTCTGTGTAAAATGATACAATAGGGCTCAACTCTGTGATATGAGGCAATGCCCCTCTGGCTCCAAACATGACACGTGAAGACATTTGGCAAAGAGACTTACTGTTGGCTTGAACTGTCTGGCAAACATGAGGTATCTCTGCATGTCTTCTACCGAGTAATGCCTCTCCACACTCTCCTCCCTCCTAGCATGCAGGTCCACAATACGTCTGGCAATGGCATAGTCGGTCACCTGAGGGATCATTCAGAAAGAAAAAAATCATTAGAAAATGGGACCCTAGAAATATTAATTATCTAAATGATATCTCTTCTCCATCTATCAGTTTCTCTTAGCATATAGGTTTAAAATTAACTTTCCATACATACATAGATCATGCAGTCAATCTGTAACACTAGGGCCACTATTCTGCTCATTCATTCAAACCTGGCACTGTGACAAGTCATATAGAACAATGGGAAAACTTGGCCTCAGTCTAACATTCCTTGGTTAAACTTGACTTAAAACCAAATGTAAACCCAGCAGGAGGTATACATCTTAGTAGAATATATGGGCTTGGGAATTATTAAAAAAAAAAATTCTTAAAGGCCATTGTTTAACAACGTTCCAGTTTTACAAATCTGAGATGCGTGGCCCAACGTGTTATCAGCGTCTGTGTTATGGTGTAATATTAAAGCCCTTCATTGCGCTTCTTAATGATCGCTAAGTGCTTCAAAAAAGTAAAAATCTTTGAATGACCGGTTTTACCATACTCATTTCCCCAATAGACTGTAATGCTATAACAAACTTTTCAAACCAATCATAAATATCTTGATAATCAGACAGGCGATCGGCTTGTAAAAGTCATGGGATTCCTGACTGACCTAAAAGTTTGTAGTTATGATTGCAGCATGAGCTAAATCCAGGATTTTGTTTAGAATCTGAGGCAAAGGAATAATTAAGGATTAAGGAATATCTAATCACAGAAAAATCTTGAATGTTGACTACATTTTGTCTCATTATTATAATATTTCAGTAGTAGAGATGAATAAAGTTGTCTAAAGAACACTTGCCTCATTGCATTCATCCACAAGGATGAAGAAAAGGTCGAATCTGGACATGATAGGAGCGGACAGCTGGATGTTCTGCTTGAGTGGTTTTGTCTTGTCATAGCGCCCTCCGATGGGGTTGGCAGCTGCCAGGATGGAGGTACGAGCGTTGAGAGTGGCCTAAAGAGAAAGAAGAAACAATATCAATCACAATTAAGATAAACTTGAGTTCTGGTAAAAAAAAAAAATGAATTTTCACAGAATCAAACAAAACTTACACTGAATGTTGAAGATTACAAATAAATGTCATTTGCCAAACAATTTTGGTAGAAAATGTAAATTGGCACAGTAATGAGCATAGAAAGATAAGGAAATCAAGGTAAGTAGGTCCAACACCATTTGTGTAGTCCCATATACATCTTTCTGTGTATAGTGTTCGTTACTTTACAAAGACTGGACCAAATATATTATGATTTTGATGACTCCAGAACCTTGCAGTACACACCAATACTTACATACTACATGATCAACTTTTTCTGATCGATTCCACAATGTTTCTTTCACAATGCAATCACATGACCAGAACTGGTCTTTACCTTTGATCAATATATTACAACCACTACGATATACTCTACAATGGTAACACCTCATGGCACTTGTCTATATAGTCTGAAATGCTCTAGCGGTACCTCCTATTATGAAATCAAAAGCATGTATTCAACATCTAGTGCCATTTCTGCATTTAATGTTACCTAACCTTCACTATCTCACTCTCTCTCTCTCTCTTAAAAGCTTTGAAGTTAATGATTGGAAAAGCTGTGTGTACTAGTTTACCCACACTGTGTGGACATAACTATGTTTATAGATAGTGTACTTGGGTAACCATTCATCAAGATCCTTCTGTACATGCAATGAAGATGTCGCTCAGAGCTCAGAGCGAGAAGGGAATTAAAGATAAAATTGAGTTCTGGTCATGCGATTGCATTGTGAAGGAAACGGTATGGAATTGATCAGAATTTTTTTTATCGTGTAGCAAATAAGTATTGGTGTGTACTGCAAGGTTCTGGAATCATCAAAATGTAAAAAATTGGGCCAGTCTTGGTAAAAGTAACAAGAACTGTACACAGAAAGATGCATATGGGACTACTACACAAACATGTGGCATAAATATGAGGTCCTCATTTTTAAGCTCTTACATTTCATATTTAGAAAGTGAAGGCATTTGAAGAGCCATTTTTTTCAGGCAACATTTTCTCTCTGATGTTCTTCCTCACTTGCATAATAACAATGAAAATGCTCACAAGAAAATGCTCACAAATTATTTTTCACCTCTCTCCAGAACTCAACTTTCTCTTTAACTCTTTCTCTTTAACTCTATGTACAAGTAGTTGAGTAATTCTAGCTTTCAACAGATGATATTGAGTTTGGCATGGTATCGGCCATATTTCCTATAACCATCCCTCATTCTCTGCCCCTCCCTCCACCCCTACCCAGTAAATCTCCCCATCATCCATCCCTCCCTCTGCTGGGATACTCACCTTGACGCCAGCCTTTGTGATGGAGATCGTCTGTTGTTCCATGGCTTCATGTATAGCCACCTGATCCTTGACGTCCATCTTGTCAAACTCATCGATGCAACACACACCCTGGAGAGCAAAACAAAAATCATTCAATCAATATTTCTTACATATTTTCTTACTTTACTTGTTGCATCTTTTTTTCTTCATCAGTATATTCACAGACATGTATATCGTTAATGATTTTACACTATGAATTATTTGTTCAATTCAATATCATTCACACAAGGACTAATTAAGAAATAATAATACAAATAAAACACTTTTGTAATCTAATAAACCTTCTCCTCATTTCAATCTTATTGTATTACCATACTCGTGTAAATTTTAGATTATGTAATTTGTCAAATATTCACTTTATCTTGACAGAATACACCGAAAGCACTTGTAAAGTTTGTGTGCATTCCATATATTGCAAATTCTACATTTGATTTCTCTTAATATTTTAGCACTACACCTTATTTGGAACTTTGTTCCTATGAACATTTGGTAAAAGTGGTGTCTTTAAAGAGAAGGTCGAGTCCTGGGAGGAGGTGAAAAATAATTTGTGAGCATTATCATTGTTATTATGCAAGTGTGGAAGAACATCAGAGAAAAAAATGTTCCCCGAAAAGAAGGGCTCTTCAAATGCCTTCATACTCTAAATATGGCATGTAACACAGCATACAAATCGGACAAATTTTTATGACACATGTTTGTGTAGTCCCATATACATCTTTCTGTGTAAACTGCTTGTAATTTTACCAAAACTGGGCCAAATTTCTTGTCATTTTGATGATTTCAGAACCTTGCAGTACACACCAATACTTGATTGATCGACCTTTCCTGATCAATTCCACACCGTTTCTTTCACAATGCAATCGCATGACCAAAACTCAACTTTATCTTTAAAGAACACTTGAATCCAGAGTTTACTTACATTATCAGCCAACATCAACGCACCAGCCTCGATGACAAACTCTGATGTTTCTTCATCCCTGACTACGGCTGCTGTGAGACCTGCGGCAGAGCTGGCCTTTCCACTGGTGTATACTGCTCTTGGACTAAACTCTTCAACAGCTCTATCAATACAAATAAAGAAGGAAATATATGGATATGGTTGGCCTCTATGATATGTCATTAACCCTTCAGGGGGGTGTTTCACAAATCTTGTCATCAGTGACAAATGACAGTTTTTGTTATAAGCTACTGAAATCCTCGCTCCTGATTGGTTATCAGCAGATTTGTCACTGATTTTTGTCATTTGTCACTCATTTACAAACAATATTACAACTGGCGTTTCATGAGATAAGCTTGAGTTGCAGTGCATGCTTTCATTAAAATAAATAAATGAGTGTTCCTGATTTTCAAAGTCAAAATTCAATGTGCATTTTTTTAAAATTCCACAAAGATATAAGATCTTGGTCAAAATGCCATAAAAATACAATATTCACGCTGTTAACCCTATTTTAACTGGGCTATTTCAGACCAGGTTTTTACTTGGGGGGGGGGGGGTGACCCCCCCCCCCCCATAAGATCTTGGCCATTTCATTGCCGATCGCCGCGAAAATTTGCATACATGTCAAGTGAAGTTCTTGAAAAATTCACTCATTTGCATATTTATGGTAATTTATGCAAATAAGGTCATAAAATTAACATTTTTTGCCCATAAATCATACATTATTCATATTTAAGCATTCTTTTTCACTACATATATTTGTTAGGCCATTTGGAATAATAATACAACACAAAAAATTGAAAGAGCCAGGTTATTCCATATGTTATCTCTTGTTTTGATAATTTCTTATGTATTTTATTGTTTTTGTTGTTTTCTTTTATTTATAACTACAATTCAACTATTTTGACCCCAATACAAACACCTTAACTTTAAACAAGACTAAATAACCAATGTTTTATCTCTTTTTAGGAAAAATGACATTTCCATATGTTTTGTACACAAATCACGGGATGACATGCAAAGACAAAAGGTCACATGACTTTGTAACTATACGTCCGATTTTCGAAAAAATCATTTTAAAAGATGCGTAAGACTCGAAAGAAAAAAGTCATGAAAGGAAATTTTTTTTATCTGCCGCAGTTTCGGAGTAGTCGCAAAATTTCTACAGGGGGGGGGGGCTCAAATTGACCCCCCCCAGTTAACATAGGGTTAAAACAACCTCAAGCAATGATCCAACAGTAATTTGATTTTAAATTTGAATTTGAAACTTTTATTAGGATTAAGGAAAGGAGAAAAATAAAATTACTTGAATAACTAGATACTACTTTTTCTACTGCTGAACAAATGGGATTCATTTTTAGAAAGATAAACAGGTCTTACTTGAGAAGCTGGCTTTTGGCTGTACTGGGGTCACCAACAACGCACACGTTTACATCACCACGGAGACTGGTTTTTTCCATCGTTGTCTTGGGAACTCCCCCAAATAACATCAGCAGAATACCTCTCTTCACTTCATCATTACCTGCAGAAAAATTATATAATTTTTTTTCATGAAATATGGCTAAAACCATCAATTTCCCTATTTTTCACATATTTTCCCCACATCCATCAAAAGTAAGGAATGCTAATTTGTGATCCAAAGATTCCTGAGCATCATTTTCTTGAGCGAGTTTCAACGATTTAGACTTGGATAGATTAGTCTATGAAAAAAATAACATGACAATCCCCACTTGGCACTTCAAAATATATTCATGTATTATATGACCATCAGATCACATATTCTCCTAAATGCTGAAATTCAACAAATTTAAATATTCCTTGATGCCATCAACTTCCATTTTCAAACCTCATAATTCGTATTTTACAAGTCTTCATTAATTTCTTGCTTATAGTCGCCTTTTTAAAAACATTTCTCATGATGAATGGCTGGGAAGACTCATTACGATGTCGTTATGGAGACTTATTTCTTCTTCTTATTTTCATAAGTGATTTATGCCAACAATCATCCTTTTTCATATTTCTTACCATGAATGGTTGGGAAGAGACTCGTGATGAGGTGGTGGTAGAGGTTCTTGTCTTGACTCATTTCATAAACCTTCTGCCATTCTTGATCCGTCATCTGTTTCTTGATGGCTTCCGCAGTCATCTCCTCGCCTCGCATGTCTCGTCCACCAAACTGTAGCAAGGGTGGAAAAGTTTTGATCATTAAAGGCATCGTTTAGCAATGTAAAATCTGAGATGCATGGCCCTACGTGTTATTAGTGTCTGTGATATGGTGTAACATTGAAGCCCTAGAAAAATTGCGCTTCAAAATGATCATAAAGTGCCTCAAAAAATTAAAAAATCTTTGAGTGACCGGTTTTACCAGACTCATTTCCCCCAATAGATTGTGGTGTCATATAACGGTTTTTGAAATTTCAATCACCAATCATAAATATCTTGATAATTAAACAGGCGATTGGCTTGTAAAAGTCATGTGATTTCTGACTGACCTTAAGGTTTATAATTATGATTGTAGCATGAGCTAAATCCAGGATTTTCGTTTAGAATCTGAGGCAAAGATACCCAATCCTTTAAGAAAAGTGTTGATCACTTGAGCTATTCTATCAAAAATAAACTCTACATTTAAATTCAACTTCCAGTTAAAATTTCTTTTTGCTAATCCACAGGGACTTATTGCACGATTTCATATAAAACTGGCAATAATATTAAAGCTTACTTGGCCGGGGTATAATTTACTTCTCCAGTGTTTTGATGCTATGACCTTGTTAGCCAAGAAGGCCAACCTGCAAGAAAAAAAGGTCCGTAACACCGATGGCTCTTGAATTTCCCTCCTACTACAAATAATGTTGTGAACTCCCCTCCCCCCCCCCCCCACATCCCAGAAGAAAAAAAACTATTCTCGACTTACCCTTGGGTTCGATGCTGTGACATAGTTAGCCAAGAAGGCTAACCTGTAAGATAGATCCCTTACACCTAAAGCCTTGAGTCCCCTCACACCCTCTTGATCAAACCCTGCACCACCCTTACCACGGGCTGCTGTCTCTGCACGTGCACCTGTAGAAGAGGAATAGAGTTCATTTACAAACTAGGTATCCACAGAAACAAACAATGGCCATATTTTAAAGGGGAGGTCCACCCTGAAATTAAGTTAGTTTTAATAGGAGTAGAAAAATGAGAGAAACAAGTCAGTGAAAGTTTGAGCAAATTCCGATTAAAAATAAGGAAGTTAGGATTTTTGAAGTTGTGATCAATCAAACACAAATTGGCAACTCTATGACGTATCATGCGAGCTCAACTTCCATTTGTTCAGTACTAAAAAACTCTAAAATTTTCATTTTCCCTCAAGAAAAATTTCAACCATACATGCACCCTAAATATAATAATTGCAAATATGTTTCTATACTCCCCCTGCAAGGATATTCCGTCATCAATAACGAAGAAAACATGATTTTATGGAATATTATGCACAAAGCAAATGAAGGAGAGCTCGTATAATAAGTCACAGAGTTGCCAATTTGTATTTGATTGATCACAACTTCAATAATTCATAACTTTCTTATTTTCATTCAGAATTTGCTCAAACTTTCACTCACCTGATTTTCTTATTATTCTGCCTCTATCGAAACAAACTTATTTTGGGGTGGACTTTCCCTTTAAGATCTGGTCAACAAAGACATTTACAGAGGTTTGACCTAATACGAATTTAATATATTTGCTAAAGAAAAATAAAATGAATTTCATGATGTTTTTGAGATGAAAAAATAGAAGTTACAACCTTGATATCATCTATTACTGTTTGACTACGAGAAAAAAAGCGCAAAAAATATAGACTTCAAGGAAAGAAAATAGTTTTCCAATATGCAAATTAATTTTTGCAAGATAAAAAGGTATTTTTAAAATCTTGTCAAAACTACAACTCAGAGATTTCATCAGTGCAAAGCGTGAAATTCTAGCAGCTTCTCTTCACTAGTCAAGTGACATTTTATAGGGAGTGTAGCTTAGCAAATACTGATAAACGCCATCTTCGTCTTCTTTTGGACAACAAATTTCCCCAGAGTCGGGCCACAGGAAAGACACGTAGTCTCGTCAGGCTACACTCCCTCTAACGACAGTCCCACTGTTGGTCTGTGAGCATACAACCAGCCCACTTCAACCACTTCAAACTTACCTGGCATGGAGAGCGTCGATACATCAGGTACTACGATGAGGGTTCCGGTGAAATCACATTTATCGCCTGCCTGGGGGCGCTCTACGGCTTCTGCTCGCAAGACAACTTCAACACTGCAATTTGATCAAAATTTAAAAACGTAATATTTGCTGGAGAGGTTGGTTTTAGTCTTTGGATTCATTTTAGGTAAACATAAGACACTTGCTGTTAAACACTAAAAAGAACTGTCTTTGAAGTATAGTTTTTTGTAGGAACATAAATCTTAAAAGTGCCAGCTAGATGTAAGTTTGTTTTTGTGTGTGTGTGTCAGTGTATTTCATTTTTAAAACAGTCACATCACAATGATCAGATGTTACTGGGGTAAGAATGAAACAGAATTGCTCTGCCTCTGCATTTTACTGAAACAAGGGAACATGATATCCCATGCCAGTGGTAATCAAAGGCTTCAGCTAGATGTAAGTTACAAACCTGCTCGCAAAACATAGAGCCCTTTACAAATATTCTCTTTGATGCAAACACGTTTTTCTATCTAAAAGACAGAATTTCAGATTTAACTGCCTACATCACTCGTAATGTTCAAAACATTATCTGAGATCTGGCTTTCTCTGACAATTCAAAGGCATTGAAGTACAAAAATCATCATTCCTTGAGCACTAGTATAAATTTTCAGTTTAATTATCGCATGTATCTTCTTGTAAATATCTGGAGTGAATTTCCAGGGTCAATTACATGCTATCATCATCAAATTCAAATTTTCAATCTTCACTTATTTCTAGATATCATAGATGCTTCCTGAAATAGTGTTTGGAAGAACAACATTTAAAGGCCGCCTGTACTAGTTTGGCTATGAGGGATTAGATCACCCAGGTGGTCATTGACAGGTGGCTACTGATCTCATCAACTCAGCTCTCAATTTACATAAGAAAAACAGGATCATGGGGGACCAATGGTCACCGACCAGGCATTGTTTTCTATATAGAGGGAGCAAGTAGCCACAAGTAGTACAGAGGGGATTTAAATTAGAAATCAGATTTGATGTATATACCTGCGTGGTATGCTTCCCCTTGGTAGCTCTGCTTGTGTCTCTTGGATTCTGACCTTCTGGAAGTCCACAAAGCGAGACTTGTTCGTGTCCAGCATGAAACGGCTTCTGTTGGCACATACTGGATTCCTGCATATGGTGGGCTGCAATTGCGAACACAGATACAATATAAATTAATTAAAATTTAAGATATAAATTTAAATAGATTTTTTCACATCAAATCCATTTTGCAATTATCAATTAACAAAACTACAGTCTGCCTAGTTTTTCCCCTTGAAAATGGTTTCTCATTGAAACATGTACTATTAATGAACCTGTCTACAAAGACCACTTTTTGTGTTTCCTTGGGCGGTTGCTATAGACAGGTTTGACTGTATATGGAAAAGCATATATTTTCAGTCTCTTCTACTTCTAGAGAGCAGACGCCAAGAGACTTGAGTTACGGATATCAATGACTGATATTAAATGACATATAGAGAAAATAATGTCTGCATAGGACCAGCAAAATATATGTCTTGTTTATGGGGACTATTAAAGTTTCTATCACTTTCTAGAAGCCACACAGTAGATTTTGGCTATCATGATGTATTACAACTCCCTATTCCTAGACTTATTCCCCCTTCATACAGGTCATTTCATCAATTAGAAGAAGAAGAAAGTAAATAGGGGGGGGGGGGGGGGGACATTATCGACATACCTGTGTGAATTTAAACTGCTGCTCCACATCTTTGATCTGTGTCTGGCAATCGAGACAGACAAACGTTCCACTGACCAGCTCAGGATGGACAGGATGAGTTCGGACGACTTGACCACTGATTCGAATCAGAGTACCGATCTTAGCCGTGGTCATCTCACGAACTCTGGAAAGGAGAGGATTGTTTGGTTAAAAGCAACAGATTTCTAATTGAAAACAAATTAATATACAGTCATAACTACTTTAGCGTCTGCCTATAAGAATACTACATTTTTGTTTCTCTTGATCATTTTTATATGAAACCTACTGTAATTCAAATGTAACAATAAAACTCACACACAGTTGCTGGAACAGTTCTAATCAACATGTTTGACTATATTTGTATATAATTGTACTGTCCATAATCTAAATCACCATGCATTACGTTCAAGAAAACGGTCTGATCAAAGAAATAACTGGCAAATCTTCCAAAGTCACTCCAATCTTTCAAAGTTGTTATCACTGATACAAACTTTTCCAGTACATCATTTCAAATGATGTCACAAAGACTGAACATTGATCAATCATTATTCATGTCACACAACAAACATAGAAACATTGACTTACTTGTGTCTGGTTGGTAAGTCTTCAAAGGCAATGTAGAACTCCTTGTTAGGTGGAACCTGTGTGTGATCACGAGCAAAGTTCCTCACCGCTCGGCAGAGATGAGAATACACTCTGAAACAAAAGGACAAAGTCTATTAATTTTTTTCTGAACTCCCAAAGTAAACTTGACTAAAGAACAACATGAAGACACACATGTACATGTACATTATAGAAGAACAAATAGCGTGACCAATAGTAAAAATTGATATTTAATTCATTTGGTCTTTTTAATCAGGCTATTAGCAAAGGGCATGTCTGGACATCCAAAAGATTCCCATTTCTTGTGGAAGATTCCCTGAATAGTTAAGTTTAATCTACACTGTACATCATTTGATAAATGCTATTTTTTTCTCGCTGAACACCCGTATTTTCAATATGGACACCCAATTTATAAATCCTGGCTACAAGCGCATTTTCAGTGTAACATTTCCAAAACAAAAACAGTGTTTCTTATTTGAAGAAATTCCTTTGCTTCTTCAACCTGGGACTTGTGTTTCTTTAGAGTCAGATTAACCCACCTGTAGTATTCCTCTTGTATGGTGGTTGCAAGCTGTTGATTATATTCCTGGATGTCTTCATAGCTCACGTTAAGAGTATTCCTCTCTGGTCGGATCAACTCCTGGACATCTCTCAAATATTTCACATCATCGTCCACTGTGAATCTGGAATTACAAAGTATTAACATTTGATTTGCATACTGTGAGATGCTAAAAACTCCCAACTCACAACCTGTCCAGAGTATTTCTCTCTGGAATGATCGACTAAGTTAGGCCAATAGGGGTCTACCGTCTAGATCTAGATTTTAATAATAATTTATTCTTCTCGCATTTATAAACTTTTAAAGCCAATCATCATATATCTAGACTAGACTAGTCGACACCTAGATCTAGTAGGCCTAGACCTATGTCTAGACTAACTGTTAGAGTCTACATTACTTTTCAGCTCTGCATGATTCCATGTCAGTCATATAGTCAGGAGGATCTAGACCTCTAGATTTGAAATCCAGGTGAAACTCATAGACGAAAGATTTGCATTCAATTAATTAGATCTATTGACTAAAATCAAAAAGGACCCTAGCTTCATTTTGGCAAATAGATTTTGCATAGATCTAGAGTCTAGTGCTCAAGTCCTGGGTACTGCAATAGACTAAGACGTGTTTGTTTTTAATTTGTAATTCATTGTCATTTGGCATTTGTCGGTTTTATTTCTTTAAATTTGTTTACAACTTCACAAGCCAACAAGGCACAGCTCACATTCACAACTCAGAATAGGGTCTAGGAAGAACCATAAACAACAGATTACTTAGATCTTTTGACCGTTCCTAAAGTAGTGAATTAGATGACTTTTAGCCTTGGCTTTTGACACAAAGAGCGTGGAAAACAGTAACGTAAACAAAAAAATATAATTCATTCCATGTCACTCATCATAGACTAATGTTTTTCAATCATCACTGAAAAATGAAAAAACTCACTCTTCTAAAAAATCTTGAAACAGCTTCTGACATTTCTCTGCAACGTCATCCTTCACTTGAGTAATTCCGGTTCTTTGATCGGCAACATCCATCGTTGATAAGAAATTGAATTTCTACGTAAGAAAACAATCCAGCAAATGATTCTCTCCTAAATGTTGTTACCTAGAATCTAAATGTCGTAGGGCCTAGAAGGTCTATGTAAATTCACGCGAAGTTAACTACACATGCACTTCAGCTGTCTGTACTGTCGATCGAGATGGATTCATCGCACAGCTCTTTCGCGCCACGGCACCCATGTGATTTGTTTTGTGCGATCACATCTGAATAGCTTACTTCCTACAATCAACATCCTTTTTTCAGTTATTTGTCTAAATATTTTCTCATAAAATACATAAAAATGCTTCATTTGTTATTGAATTTTTAAAAAAATCACTGTAATTACAAATCATAAATTATTCAGATAAATGAATACAAATTTTGCCTTTGAAACAAAATCATTTGAGGGAGTAAATTTTGCAATGGAACAGCAACAGGCGGGTAATTTTCATTTCTAAAACGTAGATGGCGTATGTTTAAATGGCAATTTGTGCATAAATTATCGCCAACGAATCAGATTAATAATTTTCCATCATTTTTCTATCACTTTCCTTACCAAAGAGTTCATAGCTCAAACATAGTCAATAGATATGTATGTAAGGAAGTAATATCAAAAAGTTGTAGAGTAACTGAGCCACTTCACAACTTGACTTGTTAATATTTTCTAAACTAAGTTTAGTATCACTTTTGTATAACAATTTTAACTTGTAATCAATTCTACACATGTTTAAAAAAAAGGATTTATGATACACTGTTTATCTCATTTTATATTCTATATCACAAGTAGTGTACACTTTAACAGGTTCATGGTTGTTGTTGTTTTTTGCACTCGCATACCCTGAATGGGGGTCAAAAGAGTCATTGAAATCAACTCGACAAAAAAACTTTGACCAGAATTTTGAAATCAACTCAACTCAAAAAATAAACTTTTACCAGATTGAAGGGAAATGCTGGATGTAGTATGAATAAAATCATGAAAACGTTGTTTACCATTAAAAAATTAAAATGAAGATATCTTGCAACATTATGAAAAGCAGCATTTAAATGTTTGAATATCAGAGGCTATTCTGTGAAAAGAATAGTATTTATAATATAGATTTAGGTTGTGCCTGAAAGACAAATTAATGAAAAGAAATAGGCCTACCAAAGTAGAAGCAATAATCAAAGAAAAGGGAGAAGAAAACTTGAGATTATTTGAGCACTTTGCACTCACCCATTATATCATAGTCTTGTTCTCTTAGTGCCCCATACAATCCGAACCCCCCCCCCCCACCACTGTTCCCCCTCAATTACTGGCTCTGTGCCATGCCACTGTGTAAAAGGGAGAGACAGCTATTACCTAATTCAAAGTAAATGTGAACTGATTTGACAAGAAACAAATAGACTGTGTTTGGCATCATGCATTCTTTATATTTATTCCAAAAATATATACAAGCAAAAACAACAAAAGTATATATATATATGTACATGAGTTGTACACTGGCAAATACAATGTAAATTCATAATCACACTGCACATTTTAAATAAGCTTGGGCTACATTGCAAATCCCAGCACCAATTACCCCACCCAATATATACAAATTAAGATGAAATAAAATCATATATCATATAGAGATCAAAGAAATAACAAATATATTTGTGTAATTCTTCAAGCAAGTAACCAAGCAATAACTTCAAGAGGCTTATTATGAAGAAGAAAGAATTTTGAAAAAGTGTGAAACTAATTATTTCACATTTACATTTTCCACTTGTTTCAAAGAACACCATACGTTTGTTAACTTTAGACAATATCAGAATTTACTTTTTACAAGAGATATTTTGTTCTTTCAATTCACTGTAACTCAACTATGCTGCATTGGTGAAAGCTTGGAAGACTATACATCAATTGACCTTCATACAGCGTTTAGTTATACGTTATAGACACACTAACCTGCTGATTGTAACAAAATCAAATCAAATCAAAACAACATGTCTTCGATCATTCCTTTTTTATCTTGATTTCCCTTTTTCATTAGATTTAGGGGAAATAATTAACAAATAAACAAAAACAACAAAATATGTAAAGCTCTTAAAGGTAAAGACCAGTTATGGTCATGCGATTGCATTGTGAAAGAAACGTTGTGGAATCGATCAGAAAAGGTTGATCATCTAGCATCTAGCATCTGCAAGGTTCTGGAATCATCAAAATGATAAGAAATTTGGCCCTTTCTTCGTAAAGTTACAAGCACTATACACAGAAAGATGTATATGGGACTACCCTATATCTCTCACAGACCATGAGAGAAACAAATTTACCAAATATATGAATTAGCAGGCGGTTCCCCGGCAAATTTTTTATCATCATGTATTAGTCAAAACATATTCTTTCACATGATTGGTAATGAGAGCTTCCATTTCATTTTTTGAAATTGGGGCGTTTCCAATACTGGTCCTTACCTTTAAAAATGAGTAAGAAATATCTTTCACAGTTTTGGCATTAAAAAGTTGCACAATGAAAATTAATCATTTCTATTTTCTTTTTTTAGTACAAAACACAGGAGACATCTTTGCAGGCAAGAAAATGGTTTGCAAGTTTTTGCATTTTTTTCTAATGCATAACGTACTCTAAATTGTCTAATTCTGAGAAGACGCTGATATAAGTTGACCTGATGTTTTTGACACCCAATATGTTTTACCGGTAGACAAACGTTAAAAATATACAAATGCAAAATACATTAACAAATCAACCTGATATTTTAAACCATTTGCCTAAGTGACATATTCCTATATATATATACTTTTACTAGCTAAGAGTAAAAACAAATAAGGCTTTGAATATAGGGCTGTGACTGATTTTATCTTATAATGTCTTGTCTCTTCTGAAAGCCAACAAAAAATCTTTTAGCAATACTAAATTGTTATTTCCTTCAAGAAAATAATTCCAAGAAAGATAAAGTCAGGTAATAATATAAAAGAAATATCTACATTTCTGAATTAAGTTTGAAGACCAACAAAAGGATGGCAATTTACTCATCATCCTGATCAGAAGAGAGAATACAAAACACAAAAATATAAAACAGCATGAAAGAATATCTAAACATGCTCAACTTTCTTTCTAAAACTTTTGATAATCGTTGAAAATTCTTTGAGCTGATTAATTAAAAGACCGGATACAGCAAACACACATACAAAAACAAGGGAAATTCTCTCAGCGGTCTCGCCTGCATTACGCAATTCAATATGATGAAAAATTGAGGTTCAAACATTATTTATAGGCAGGGTGACCCATTACAGAGCATATAATTATACTAATCTTGAGATGTAAACTATTTCCCCATCATACAGATAATTTCAAAACAAAATTCACTTCGTTGTAAATCATGCAACAATGTTAACAACAGAAATATTAAAGGCACACTATTTCTGTCCATAGATATCATTTTGTTATATTATTCAATATAGAATATAAAAAAAACACTCTTTGATATAGTACTGCTTCATCAGTGTAATGTAAGGTGAAAATCTGGAAAAGAAATCATTACTTCAACCCAAAATGTACATGAGATTTTACAACTGAATGCAAAGCTAGAATTACACAAAAACTGTTGTGCAAACCCACTTTTTGTTTATTTCTTTGTACATTACATACATACCGTAATTCATTCATAATACTCTTAAACTCATAAAGCAAGTTCCTGTTTGGCACTTCTGCTTCATCATATGTAATAGAGGTATTAAATATGAATTACATTACAACTACAATATTCTTAGACAAAGACAAATTTGTTCTTCTTCTAGATATTCAGAAGTTTCATGATTTGGAATGATGGAATTCGATGTAATAAGATGAACAATGGAAAAAGGCACTGTGATCGATAACATATTTTACAAACTTGCGTTGTGAAACAATTTTATAAACTTGGTGGCATCGTAAACATGATCATGGCAATATATTTTTCATAAGGCAATGGTCAATAGGGTGGTTTGAATTCTTGAAAATAAAGCTGTTAATTTGATTCATAATAATACTAAGTAGAAATTCATAGTCAATCATCTCCACTTCTTAAAATATGACATTGTAAACCGACCATTGAGAGCTAAAAGGGCATTAAATCTATGTTAAAAAAAAGTATGAGATAGTGCCCTTCTAGCTTTCAACAGATGATATAATTATTTCAATGTATATGATTTTAACCCGTTGACTCCTGAATTGTTTAATTCCCATAGGCTTAATACAGGAACCACCCGATTCCAGAAGTCAATGTGTTAACACACTGACATAGTGTAAAAATGTAAATATAACCATAAAATGGAAGTCTAATACACAAATTGGTAGAATATACCCTTTTTCCAAAGCAAAAGGACACTATACTTTGCATGCACATTTATTTTCTAAAGCTCTCTTAGACTCTCTTTGATATAGGCGATACTTCAGCTTGTTGTCGTTCACCAAACTTCACATTTCCTTTTCGGGTTCATAGGGGTCCCTGATGGACAGTTGAAGACATCTGAAAATACTGGCATGTTTGAAACAGCACCATTAACCCTGCATGATATAAAGGAGTAAACAAGGAAATCAATTATCATCTATAGATAGAATAAAATAGCAGAGTAGAATACATGAGTAATATCTTCAAATAATGTTCCTTTTTGTCATCTCTGCATACATTCTTAAACCCTGTTACTGCTCATATGGAAGATAAATTTCGCATAACAATTCTGAAGTTGTACGTAGAGGTTAGTTTAGATTTTTTCGTTATTAGATGAATGTTTACTTGAAGTGGCTGAACGATCAATGAAACAAAGACTTGAAACTCAGAATCTTACATACTCTTGGAAACGGGTGTATTATAATAGTTCTTAAACGTATTGGCACAAAAGTCTTTGCAAATTCATGTTACTTATATCACATCATTACAATTCAGTTGATAAGAGGCATTTCTCAAACTGGAACCTATTATATACCTCTATTTTGGTGATACTATCCATGTGGCTTTTTCAATACTCAGAGTTTACATATTCTCAACTTTTCATATGTAATCCCAGCGCAATTAACCAAACAATTAGGCATTGTGCCATTGTAATATTTTGTTACACTATACAATGGTTGGCTTTAAAAAATGTTAAATCTGAGATGCATGTTATCAGTATTTGTGATATGGTGTAATATTGAAGCAGTAAACAGACTATAACAAAAATATCACACACAGCAGTTTAAAGGTATAGACCACTTCTGGTCATGCGATTGCATTGTGAAAGAAACATTGTGGAATCGATCAGAAAAGGTTGATCCTCTAGCATATAGTAGGCGGTTTTCCCGGCAAAAGTTGTATCATCACGTATTAGTCAAAACATATTCTTTCACATGATTGGTAATAAGAGCTTCCATTTCATTTTTTGAGGGGGGGGGGGGGCGTTTCCAAAACTGGTGTATACCTTTAATGATCTATTTTGCAACTAAGTGAGTGGCAAAGAGGGGTATAAAACTAGAGGTGTGCTGAACAAATGTCATTTTATTTTTTCTGCAGAAGTTGTTCCTTACGGTGTTTTTTCATCTTGTTTGAATAGGACCTTGATGGAAATCCTGAACCCTCACCTGAACTTCTCAGCTGTATGAGTATCAGTCAGGATGGACATCTCCGCACTCTGAGGAGTAGCGTAGGAACACCAGACCTGGCTGAAGCCCACAAAGAAGAGCTGATCCTGAAACATACCCAGACCACTCAGCAGACCCATGGTGTCGTTGAATGTCTCGCGCCACTGCTGGTAGGCCTGGTATGCTAGCTTCAGACCGCCGTTATCTGCGATGTTTTCACCCAGTGTAAACACACCATCCACCTGTCACAAGAAGAAAATAGTTGCACATTCATACAGCACGTGATGTGAATACTACAATGGTTTATACAATTATATCGTTATTACCCCTGAGGGCTGTTTCACCAAGACTAAGACTGACCTTAAGTTGGACTTATCTATGGCAGTCCGTTCATGCCACTGTTTGCTCACTGTTTACTGGCATTGGTCTCTCAAGGGATGTACACATCATGGTCACAAATCTACAGTTTTTGATAATTCATTATTGAAGGAAAAATATTATCTAAAGATCATACTGGTGAGAGCAAACAGTGACATGAACAGCCTGCCATAGTTAAGTCCAACTTAAAGTTAATCTTAGTCTTTGTGAAACACTCCCCTGGTCACTGGATTTAAAAGGCTGTATAAAAGTTCGCACCATCTCCACCTCTTACAAAGTATTCCAAATATGCAATCCGAAAGGTATTTTATATAGCGTTTCTAACTAGTACCTAATCTCTTCTGGGTGTGAGTGACAATACACATTAAATGTCTTGCCATAGGAAGTGAGTGCCAATGCTGAGACTCAAACCACACACCATGTAGTCTGTAGGCCAGTGATAGACCATAACACCTCTACAAAGAAAGACTTAAATATGTATAAAAATTACAATTTCTTTGGAATGTATAAGAAAATACCTTCAATAGCATAAACACAGATCTTAACCTTTGTAAATCTACCACTTACTTAAACAATAATATTGTTTGTTCAGACCTATAAGGGCATTATGAATTATGAGTATATGAGTTAACACCCTTCTGGCTCCAAAGAGATGATATCTGTTTTGTTTTTGCTTCTTTGTTTTCAAAACCAAAATCATCATCTGGAATACCTCTTTTGCAGAGAACTAAAAATAATTGACTTACATGTTTATCCCCAATCTTGTAGCTTGAATACTGGTCTACCATACAGTCCGTCTTGTTCTTATAGGCTAGCGCCGAGGCATTACCCCACCAGTCTCTCAGGTTTCCATCCTTGTCAAACTCACGACCGTGGTTATCAAAACCGTGGGTCAACTCATGACCCATAACCATCCCAATGCCACCAAAGTTCATTGACCTGTAAACAGAAAATGTGTCATTGTTTTGAGTATGATGTGTATGATCTGTGTTCAACTTTAAAACAGATTCGGTACATTAGTCAAACTGAACAATGTTTTTTGTATCAGAAAAAGTTTTCAACTCAAATGGACCGATACAATTCTATATTAAACCACAGTCAAGTGGACAGAGGGATTGGGTATCTTTGCCTCAGATTCTTAACAAAATCCTGGATCCTGGAATCCCATGACTCTTACAAGCCTGTCTGATTATCAAGATATTTAAGATTAGAAATCGAAATTTCAAAAAACATTTTCCCAATGGTTTTTATAACACTACAGTCTATTGTGGAAAATAAGTATGGTAAAACCGGTTTTTACTTTTTTGAGGCACTTCATGATCACTTTGAAGCGCAATTTTTTAGGGCTTCAGTTACGACATATCACAGACACTGATAACACGTAGGGCCGTGTATCTCAGATTTAATATTGTTAAACGATGCCTTTAATACTTACATTGGACGTGATACATCATAGAATGGAGCTTGGAGTATACCGGAAGGGAAGACTATCTCATTGAATGTTGCTGAGTAATAAGCATTCACCTCTGATGGTCCCATGTGCCATCTACATTTCATATTGTGAACAGAAGAGGCATTGGATCATAATATCATAAATAATTTGAACACGCACACAGTTTGATTCATTTCTTAATAGGGAAATAGAAGAAACTGATTAATTTTTAATTAATATATGATTTAATTGTGATATGAGACAAAGACTATGTGATTGCTCAATTAAGCCACTAATATTGATATCATGTTAGCCGACTCTTCATGAAATGTTAGAGGAAGAGAAATGGGTGGGGAGGATAAATGACATCCTTGTATTTAGATTACGACTGTCTTGTTCTTGGGTTTGAACAAAAAAACTGGTTGAAATCATGCTATAGTAGGTATACGGTAATCAAACTAACCATTTTAAAGCACTCTTTCATGGATAATGATGATTCACTACATTGAAATCTTGTAGACAACCATGGCTTAAACATTATGTGTACCGGTAGGTCAATTGCAGAATGTTCATTGCCTATTCAAAATAACAACATTAACAAAAATGGACCTGGATTCAATATAAATTCATTCACCACAGCAATTTAATTGTACTTTTGAGATAGATTTTGAATTTGATGTTCTGAAACAACACATACTCAGTCTTGTCAACCGGTTTATCAAGAAGGTCTCTCAAGTATAGCAGAGAATAATGCCCGACATTCATGGCATTCTGGAATACGCTAGTTGCTGTTATGTTTATCTGAAAAATGAGAAATAAATACAATTACAGAAGTCACATAAGGTGGGGTGATAATTAAGAAAGGAAAGTTCATAAATTTTCTCTGCAAAGCCAACAGCTTACTGGTATGGTAGCAATCCATAAGTAGGTCAAATACTCAGTCAGACATTACTACTGAAACACCAAAACCAGATGGAAATTGGTGAATGATATGAAGTCGCAGAAGTTCATGAAACTAAAAGGTTGACTTTTGCCACAAAAAATGCCACATCATAACCCCTAGCAGGTATGGATCACAAGGCATAATGAGTACCTGACAAATCACAAATCAATGTCCTTTGGCAATACATTTTCCTCAATTAACAAAGGTGAATCCCCCGCCCACCCCCCCCCTCCCCCACCCCACTCAGTGTTATTTAGGGCACGCGTATGATGTTCCCTCCCTTTGACTGCACCCCCCCCCCAAAGGTCCAGTGTGTAAAGTCAATACGGGCCAATTTTGTTTGTGTAATATGAGCCAGACTTTGTTGCGTGAAAAGTACCCCTTTACCAGAGAGTTTGGGGAACATGAATGTGGTCCCTCCGTTCCCGGAGTGGGGGGGGGGGGGGGGAGGCCGGGGGTGAATCACACAGGTATCGATAAGAAGAATTTCCTTGAGTGCCACAGCACCTTATCAGAGCAGCAGGGCTAAAGCTCTTTTAGATGTATGAGTATGACGTTATATGCCCTATATAAGAGTAAAACAATAATAGTATTGGTATGTCACCAAGGTAAAAGGTTGGAAGGTGGTCTCCCATATCTTCCTCACTTACATCTTTGAAGTACGCATCTAACTGGACAGTGTCTTCAATCCAATCTGGGAATCCTATCTTAGGTTTGATTGCATAAGCTTTCTCCTCTGCAGCCTCTTTAGTCGCATCATCCATCCAAGTCACATTGGGTAGGTTTCCTATGAAGGCATCTTGTATGTAATGGATCAGGTCCTGGGTCTGTAATGAGAAGTCAAACAAGAGTTTAGCATTTTAGTGACATACTAGAGTTCAGACTTATGAGGCCGCTGACAAATATTATCTTCCATTGGTTTTGAATGTGCAAACGCCAAAGCCACTAAAATATGGCCTTGACCGGACTTGACAATACTATTGCATCATTGGACAACCTTGGAATGTTTGGATATCTTTGGACATCGATGGTGATCATATCCATTTATATATTTTCTAAACCTAATCAGATTCTGCCAACTTTTCTAGGCCAGTATGAATTAGGAAATATATTTTACAATCATCATCATCATCATCATCATCAATAGTGATCCGTCAATTTATGACAGGTTCAGTGACCCAATCAGAATTCTATATCAACTGTCTCTCCAAGTACCTCAATCTTGAGCCATCCAATAATCAGTATTATTAAACTATTATTAGAATGAGTCTATACACCAAGGCAACCCACATTAACCATGAAGACATGAAAAGGAAAGGGATATTTTAAACCTCAATATCTAACTTATGGTTCACCTCATTCTTGAGCTGTGGAGTGACAACCTCTCTGACAAAGAGGGCTCCTGTCACAAACGCGAATGTATTGTCCGTCCTCTGCAAGCACTTCTGCCATAGAGGGACAGTAGTGTTGGATCCACTGAAGACGCTGCTGTACTTCAGAATGATGTCTTCATAGACCTTGGGCAGGAATCTGAGAGTGGGCTTGACAGCATTCCAGGTCAGGTAGTCAGCGAGAGTTCTGCAGAATAGGACAATGCAATGTAGCTTTAGGGTGAAACCTAGTGGCATTGTACAATACATGATGCAGCAACAAGGGCTCCATGGGAAACTCTAACAATAATCAAATTCCTAACTTCAACTGAAGACCCAACATTGTAACTAATCCTCATCCAAACCTATTACCCGAATGCAACCATTAAATTAATAAACTAGATGGAATTTTGACTGCGTGCAGTCGAAAATGATGCCTCCGCCATAGACCAATTTAAACAAGTTTGGAGTTTAAATCTCCAGTAGTTCTTGAGATATCATGATAACAATCTCAATGTATGGAATTTCATAAGTTGACCTCTATGACCCTTGACCTTTGACCTACGTGCTCCAAAATGTAATCAGATTGTTTTCCTATAGTGATACACACTATCACTAAGTTTGAAGTTTAAATCTCCAGTGGTTCTTGAGATATCATGATAACAATCTCAATGTATGGAATTTCATAAGTTGACCTCTGTGACCCTTGACCTTTGACATACGTGCTCCAAAATCTAATCAGATCGTCTTCCTATGGTGATACATACTATCCTTAAGTTTGAAGTTTAAATCTGAAATGGTTCTTGAGATATCGCGCTCACTAACAAACTCAATACAAGGAATTTCATAAGTTGACCTCTGTGACCTGTGACCTTTGACCTACGTACTCCAAAATCTAATCAGATCGTCTTCCTATGGTGATAAATACTATTCCCGAGTCTTAAGTTTAAATCTTAAATGGTTCTTGAGATATTGTGATAACGGTCAAACGGGACGGACGGGCAACCCGAAAACATGATGCCTCCGGCACCACCTTCGGTGGCGGAGGCATAAAAAGCCAAAACAAATGTCACTGTGACAAACATCAGAGCACAAAGTAACAATATTGTCCGCACAACTCATTGTGTACCAGAAGGAGTCTCGCCTAGAACCATGGCTCTACCTCTATGCAATAACATTATACTTTCTCAAGAATTAAACCTTGTCTGTTTTCACGCAGGGGTTTTTTATACCACAAGATTTCCATAATCAACCTTAATAGATACTGGACTGCTATTCAAATTCCATCACAAATACTATGAAGAATAATATTATTAACCAAAGCATGGATATAATTGACCTACCTTTTGTCAGTTTGCTTCAGAAGGTCATTCAACTTGACAAAATAGGAGAAGGTAGGTACTAAGATTTTCCGATCTCGAGATATTGCGGTAGCAAACATCTCATTCATGTAATAGGTCATATTGATCTGGAAAACAATACAAACAAGAGTTACGTAACGATTGATGGTTTCAAGATGAAAAATGAAATACGAAAGTCATGAACTTTAAAGTGTCGATGCCATATTGATAAATTAGGGAAGGGGTTGGTGGCAGGCAAATTGAACCTCTAAAATGTATGAACATAATCTCCTTAAAATGTCTAGAAAATATATAATACTTCTCCCAAATTAATATTGTATATAAGAAATCATTAGTCAGATAGGATTATTATGATGTGCTATGAAAACAACGTTTTAAACTAGTTTTCATTGTTATGATAATTGGCGATGGTTTTGTTTGCTTTTCCATATCCCAGGAATGTTATTATCTGTATTTAAAAAAAAGTAAAGAACACATGTGTGCACTACATGATACTGAATTTTCTGAGTATTAAAGGAGCTACACAAAGAAAAAAAATCACTACAACTTATAATTAGAACAAATTATGATGGAAAGATTTTCTCTTGAAAAACACCAATAATATGCTGAGAAATCATATAGATATCATGGAAAGGCGTAAAATACAATTTTCAAGACCCTTCTTAGACCCCCGAACGCCCCTGAACGTAACCAAACACCCGAGCGTAGCGAGCTCTGAATAGTGACGTCACACACTGGACAAACAGCTCAGTACCGGAGTCGCGCGTGTATTAGTCTGCAGCTAGCCAGCCGTGTCCTGTGTGTGACGTCACAAATATTGACGCTCTACAAAGGACTGCTGAAGGCAGAAAATCTGGATCTCAAAACTAACATTTTTGAGAGTTGATTTTTGAGAGTTGTAATTCTGTATCTATCTGGGTAGCATTTCACAAAAGTGTCTTAGGTACAAGTTCACCAACATCCCATTAAAACTGGGAATTGTAATTACCACACGTTTCAAGGGGACATCAACACTTTGACAAACAACGGTTTCATGAAACAATGCCCTGATAAAATCTTGACACTTACCTGAGGAATAATATCAGCAAACTCTTTCACAGTAACTTTTGTGTATGTTTTGGATGGATCTCTGACAAGGTTTTTAGGCATGTATATCTGTGTTGAGGATAAAGGATGAAATCAGATGTACTCTACAATAGATTTGTTAAATGGAGTATATGATTGCAGTAAATGATAACTGTAGATAACTGGCATTTAAGACTTATTGTATAAAAGGCTTCAATTTAAATTTTAGTTTTGTTTTCATTTCCATTCGAACATTAATATAAACAATTATGACATGAAATCAATTTAAGGAATCCAAGTACAATAAAAAAAAGATGAAAATGTCTGTCTTAGAAAAAAAATATGCTATCAAACCAACTATCTAACAAACTATACTTTCTACAAGAGAAAAAACTGCAAATTCGTAATGCAATTGTAATCAAATGCAAAGTACCTTTATAATGTAATTTGAGAAAATCATTTCATGATAACAAAACTAAGTTTCGGTTTTTCCACTGTTCCACTACGTTACAGAAAATCACAATGGAAGTCTAAAACAACAAAATGGGCAGCATTTCAATCTCACATATTTCTTTTCCATCTTCTATTATAATCACACAAAGCAAATACTATAATTTGAAGAAAGATGCTACTTACTTTACTGATATTAGCTTCAAACTCTACTATGTTTCTCATCCTTTCTAAGGCAGGTGCATAAGTGGAATGGCTTGTTATATTTTCTAAGACTACACTTTCATCGTCAGTGAGAGAGAGAAGCACCACTACTTTGGCTCCAAGTGCTGCATATGCTTCCTCATGTGTCTAGGAATGAAGATAAAAATATGTGACGAGAATGTGAGAGAAAATATGAATGAAGGAATGAATATGGTAAATTTCTTTCCAATTAACCTCCAACACTAGGTTCATTTACGCAGCCAAAACACCAATTTGAAAAAAATTGTTGATTATTTTGTTGCTGCTATTTACACTACAGGAAAACTCCCCCCCCCCCAACAAAAAAAAACAAAAAAACAAAACAAACATTGATGCTTGAGATAGGACCCTTAATTTAATACAGGCATAGATACATGTATACTTTCTTTTACTCTAATAATAATCATAATTAGGTGTTTTGTTATAGTGCATAACACATCAAGCATAATCACCTGTATCTATGCACTTTATAGAACAGCATACAGCAGGAGTGGAAATGGTGCACTGGGTTTATAATTATGAAATGTTAAAAAGTGCTAAACAAGTATGTTTTTAAATTACTTCTGAGCTTGTTGTTTGTTTCTATATTTCTAAGGTATTCCTGTAAGTTATTCCATAAAACAGTGGCTGCATATGAAATTGACTCTAGTACAGTATATATTTTAATCAAACGGTAAATTATTCAAATAGAAATACAAACTTACTGTGACATTATCAGAGTAGAGCTCAATTGCATTGAAGCCTATCCCATCCTGGACGAACTGGATGAGAAAAATATGGGAAAATTACTAAATATCACACAAAGTCATTTGTTGCAAGTACCACACAATAAGTACCTGAATTGATGGACCATGAAATCCCTTTTCGTTGAGACAAACAACTTTCAATTCTAATTTTCTCTCCTCTTCAGTTTACATATAAAGGATGAACAAATATATTGCGAGGCCAATTTCTTTGTCATAATGTAAATTTACATATGTCGAAACTCATGTCTATAGTTTGTACCTTTAACTTTATTTCCTATTGTATCTTTATATGATAAAAATGGTGAATTGCTGTTTGGCCTACAACCAGTTTGACTACTACACATTTAGTCTATTCCCCTATGGTCTCCACCAAGCCCATCTGCTATCCACATTTCCTCTACATATCGGTTGGTCTAATCTCTGATTAGTCTACTACCCATTTGGTCTATCCTTCATTTAATCTATTAACCAGTTAGTCTAATTCTCATTTCATCACCTGGGGGGTGTTTCACAAAGATCCTAAGTAGAACTTAACTCTAAGTTGGACTTAAAAGTTATGGAAAGCCATTAGCATCTTTGAAAATATTTTGTAAAAGTTATTTTAAAAGGCATAAAATACTGATTCAAATCATAAATATGTTCTATTATCAAGGACATGTTCTTGATGTGGAATGAATGAGAAGTCTAAAATACTTGAATTTTTGCTTTTTAATATATTTTATCATAAGGCTACAAATGGCTCTCCATAATATTTAAGTCCAACTTAGAGTTAAGTTGGACTTAGGATCTTTGTGAAACACCCCCCAGGTCTAATAATCATTTGATGACTATTATTATTTATGATTAAATGTTTATAATACCTTATGGATAGTAGACAAATTGAGCATCAGACAAACTGGGAATTAGACCGACTGGAAATTAGACTAAATGAGCAACATACCAAATTGGTAGAAGACTCATCAGAGATTAGACGAAATAGAAATTAGACCAAATGACTATTAGCCTTAATGGTCATTAGACCAAATGCTAAGTAGACAAAATGATTATTAGACCATGGGAATATTAGACGGGCTGGGTGTAAGACCATATGGGAATGGACCAATTGGGTAGTAGACGAACTAGTTGTAGACCAAACAGCACTAAACCATGAAAATATTAAAACTGATGCAATTCGATTCCATTCACCTGTATGATCCCGACACTGGAATTCTTCTCATCGGGAGCAATCCCCATATCGAAGAGAGGAGACCCATCTTTAAGATGGATGGATGTCAAGTCTCTGGTGAGGTCAAATGAGGTTTCATCCCAATCGACGATTCCAGGTGTGTTCCGTGGTAGGATGCTCCAGCCACCAAGCTGGTTCAACAACTGTGAGATGAAGATGAGAAATAAGAAAATGATATGATATGATTTTGCATGTATGTGTGATCTAGGTTCTCTTGCTTCAAGAGCTGTGTTCAAATACAATTTTTAAAGTAAGAGAGTCCAGGTAGCAATTCAAATTTCAATCAAGAGGGTTAATATTTGAACATATTTTTTTTTATCTGAATGATTTGATTCTTCGACACAACTGTATCATATTTCAAATATGATCATGAAATACAATATTTCAGATAAGATCATGAAAAACTAAATTTAAGTTATGATCATGAAATCCAATATCAATATCAGGGTTTGTCATGAGATATACATATTACATGGAGACTTATGGATTAGTCTGAATAACATAATCATAATCATTAGCTTTGTGCGGGAGGGGGTGGGGCAGGAGAAAGGGGCTGTTCAGTCAAACTCTCTCTTAATCAGGATATAATAATAATAATAATAATAATAATAATAATAATAATAATAATAATATGTCTTGCTTTTTTTACCCAGGATGACCTCATATTAATACTGTTCTCCCTGAGGGCCATGCAATCATATCATTACCCCGGCTTTAGCCGAGCTACCATGAAAAGGCGCTCAAGCATTTCAGGTATCCATTTACCTCACCTGGGTGGAGTGTGGCAAATGTACATTTATGCCGAGGGAGTATACCTGTTTCAGTGGTGCTGAACCTGCTTGCTCAATGGCTGTCTCATTCATGCATGCATGGTAATAATCCTTGGCCTTCCTCAGGGCTTCACTGTGATTTCCATTGTATTCATATCCATCCTCTGCAAGAAGCTGCAGTATACAAGGCAATATAGACAGTGCAAGGTATTTGATCTAATACAATTAAGGTAATACTGAATACTGAATGTGGTTAACACCCAAAACATCATTATTCTTGATAGTTCATCTGATCAAAACTGGCAAAAATCTCCTTAGAATTGCAAAAATCACCTTGGAATGGCAAAAATCATGATTCCATATCATTACCCATACCGGTATATGTAAAAATGAAGACATCAATTATTTCTGTCCTAAACAAAAATAAAAATCATTTCACTGGTATTGCGAATGAATTGGTAGAGCAATTTGGATAATCTGAAAAAGCTCAAATACCAGTGCTGCCTTTACATTTTACATTTTTATATGTATGACTTTCTTTAAAGAATTTTCCCATGATGCCAGGAATATTCAATTGTCAGTGTTAAAAAAGAGATTGTATGCTTAGCGTATCGGACAGTTCACTATTCATTCAATACCTACCTTTAAAAGTAAATCATTATTCCGGCTGTAGACTTCTCCAAACGTTCCCCACTTGGAGTATCCTTCTGGTACTTTCACATTGGCTACCCAGTTACCACAGGTATACTCGTAGAAGTCCTGGCAAGGATCCACGCTCGAATTCATTGCACTCTTTACCGAATCACATACTGGGCATGGCTTCTGTGGAGAAAAAAAAATTAAAACTCCCGTTATATAGCTCAGTGGGGGAGTAGTAATCTTCTACCCGTAAGGTCCAAGGTTTGAATCCAAGTACATGCACTACAAGCAATGTACTAAAGGCATTACTCCTCAATTCCGAGTCCCACAGAAGCAACTAGAAATACCACCCTCCCCCTGGCTGATTGACTACAGGCAAATACCTGCTTTCTTGGCAGTCAGATAAATTAAAGGGGGTGTAGCAGACGAGACTATGTGTCTTTCCTGTGGCCTGACTTGGGGCTTATCCCGAAAAATAGTATAGTAGACTATGGACGACGCAACCGCAGCAATCACGTGCGTGCAACATACGCACACAAAGCGTGAGGAGAACTTTGGTCTGTTTAGTGAACGCTAGCGCGCTGACCATGTAGAGATAAAGTCGATGACTACCGTTTATGAAGTCCTTTCGTTTACCTGCAGTTGTCCAAAAGAAGACGTAGATGGCGTTAGCCAGTATTTGCCGAGCTACACTCCTTTTAAGTCATCATCCTATCATCATTACACAAGGTAGCCAAATCAACGCATAAAGTCCTTTGGATGGAGCCGGGGGGATCGATGATTGTTTTATCTGACTGCTGAGAAAGCATGTATAACAACCAGGGGATCAACAGCTTTAATTCCTCTCCGAGGGACTTGATAATAAGGATTAATGCCTTACCAAAGGGCATGAGCGTATTCATTGTCTTGGTTTTGAACCCGGGACCTCCCGGTTAAGAGACCACTGCTCTATCCAGTACTGACCCACTATGCCTCCTGACAAGTTGAAGATACACAAGCAAATATACACCCATTTCAGTGAGGCACAGAATGACAATCATTAGCAACACTCTTGATTCTTGGGTGGTATCACATGTATCATAGCACTGAATTCACATACAGCTGTTTTATGAAAACAACAAAACATGATGCATATCATACAGCGTGTCCACACACAAATTTTTAATCCCGAAACTCTATAAAGAAACGTCACATAGGTGCGCAGTTTGAGACTGCGGTCATGAAACGGAAGCAGAAATGAGAGGTCAGGTCTCCTTTCGCGCGGTCACGTTAAGCCCCGTCCAGTTATACCGTTCTAGTTTGACTAGTTATACTAGTTACGTCCACACACAACACATTCCGTGATTCTTTATTGATTTTTAGATCGAAACGATGCCCGCACCCTATTTTCATTATACAACATATCGTTAGTAAGCGTCCACACACACAATTTCATCGTATAACTATCCCAGAAGTTATACAATGAATTCGTTGTGTGTGGACACGATGATAGTATGATAACTTCCAGTATGACAATTTCCAGAAAAACAAATCATTTCATTTTTCCCCAGACATTTCATCATGTCTAACATCTAATTTTATACAGCATTCCTTGATCACATGAGTAACGAGTCTATGATTAATCAATTGCGATCACACTCGTTGGAAATATCTGTTGAATGAAGATGAAATTGTCTCCAATGGATTCATACACCAACAATGGATTCACACACCAACAGTGTATTCTGAACAGCTGGTGTGCTATGATGTTCCATCATTTAATATTTGTTTGACATTAATTAATTACATCATCAGAACTTACCACATAGTGCCTGGTTGTGAGAACTATAATGCAGGTGCCAATAATGACAAGTAGAATGAAAGCTACAAGCGTCATGATGGCTAAACAGCGATCCTGCTTCTTTTCTTTGGCTAGGGCGAACCTCAAACCAGGTCCTATTCAACAACAAAAACATATAAAAGTTTGTGAAAATTTATCATTTCATTGTTACTATCTCTATTAAATGTAGATACAATGTCATTCCAAAGCATTCTCAAAAATATACTTTTAAAATGGAGACGGACAGAACTGATTCACTTGTTCATAAATTGGTCTAAAATACTGATTGCGGATGTCATTTTAACATTTTAACAAAATTACATAGATTTACCTTCATAAGAGTTTTTGCGACCAGACATGACAACAGCTTTCTTCCAATGAACTTGAATGAAGCACCTTTACTCTTTCACTCTGACTTTATGTTTTTGATGATTTTCACATATACACGTAAACAATTGAAACAATTTAGAGAGAAAAAGACTAAATCTGCGGGAGCAACGACAGAGACCTGCAAGACGCCCACAATGACTGGCTGTTTGCGAGTGTTCTACAGATATCTTAATTTACACCTTGGCAATGAGGGTGAAGGTTTATGGTTACAATGTGATTTACATGACCCCTACACAAAAGATCATAAATGTTTACATAAAGTATGTGATTTATACTTTTGAGGTTGTAAAAAACAAAGATAAAATGATTTCGGTGTTACCATTCCTATTGGATCCTATAATTTATAGCTACATTCTGGTTTATGAATATACAGAGGAAGTCATATTTTTCACCACGCACTTTTGTATTTACTTTCTTACCGAGGATTACAGAGGTAGAAATATCCGCACATCATTTTTATTTGATTATAAATGACAGGTAATGGTTAAATAGAAAATCAAAGCAAAAGATTGTCAAATTCCTCAAAAAGATTTCTTAAAATGATTACAAAAAAAGAAGAGGAAGAAATTTACTGAGATAATAATCGTCTTCCTGATCCTCGGTCCAACCCAGCATTGGCTGACCTGCATCTTTTTCTCCGTTTGCTGTCATGGTGATTCCGTTGTTGTTCCTCCACCAATAGCTGCCACCGTTCTTCTTCCATCTTGCCATTTGAATAACAACTGCAGACTAATGATGTGATTGGCGCTGAAATTGAAGTAACAAAGTCGTGTATTAGATGTTGAAATAATAACATTAATATTGGCTTCTTGAATACCGGTAGCACTAAATCACTTCTATTCTTCATGCAATGCGCTCACAATTTATGATACCCTAACTAAAACAATCAGGAAGTTATCTATTTCAGTGCTCAGACTCGCCTAACAGTATTTCTAGAATTTCATCCTACCTGGGATTCATTTGCCACACCTGGGTATGGGGTGGCAAATATATATTCATGTCTTTCACATACATGTATAGCCATACCTAGGCTCACACCCACAAACCTTCATCTTCAGACAAGTCTTTAAACCACACAACTATGACATTTGTACAATCACACATTTTTGCATGTCTCATCCTCATCAGTATTTTCTCTTGGCTGATAAATATTGCATAATCCAGCGTTCAACATAACAAATTCAGAATTTTTTGAGTGATATTAAAATATCATGGTACAAAGGGAAGTCTTAATTTGGAGGTGAATATATAAATATTGAACAAAGAAATGCAAGCAATATTTGTGATATGAAATGAAGACTAATATTGATCCTTTGGCGTTGAGCCCTCTTGACTACATTTGTTTTCCTTTGCGTCAGATCTAAGACAATGCAAACAATGGTTACCGAATACTGATGTGTAGTTTAATTCACTTTTGAATGTGTTATATACCATGCAAAGAAGGTTATGTTGCATGCTCATGCACATATAACACATTGTTGAGTGACACCTGTTCAGCAAATAGGATACTCATTTTATATCACAAATTATGTCACAATAAAAAGAAATTATACTTAACTGTAACTCCAAGTTTCTGTACATATATGTCAAACTCAAACAATACTTGTTTGCTCTATACCTGTATGTACCAGCACAGTATAAGCTCATTTACAAATCACTGCCATCTGTTCACAGTAACACCGTGTTCTACATAATTTATCAAGTTATGCTGGTACATGTAAGTCTGCCATATCATCTTTCATTTCCTTTTCTTTTCATTTGTTCTTATTCTTCTTTCTTCTTCTCTATCCCCCTCTCTCTCCCTTACATGTATATCCCAGTTTATTTTGTTTTGAAGATAACTCATTAAAAAACAATTACAACATTAATCATACATTGATGGGGAAAATTAAATTTTAAATTGTAATACACCTTGTACAAAGATACACAAAATATATTCCTGTTGTAATAACACAATATAAACAGTATCCAAAAAGCACATCACATAATTTACAGACACTCACATTGAACATGTAGGATTTTCACAGAAAAAAAAAGGACTCCCTGTTCACAAGTACTGCACCACACATGAAAGCCACTTCAAAGAAAAATTCTGACATCAATCCATATATATGAGTTTAACCATAATAAAACCAACCTGATAACATACAAAATAAATGATATTTTACACAGCTGTACAGCTCTTTAAGGGCACAGACGATTATATACATTTATTTATACAATGATTGATGACACAAGCTCCCAGAAAATGCAACCTTTTCCCACCTGGCGCAACTAAGTAAACACCATGGGAATTTCGTGGTTGTTACCAGCTGTTCATATTTACACCACTTGTAGTATAAAAAACCCTTAAGAACGGCAAACATCAACGTACTTAACCCGTTGCCCACTGAATTCTCTAATCCCCATAGGCTTAATACAGGGACTAGCTGGTTCCAGTTGGCAGTGGGTTAAAATTAAATATAGTGTCATCATAGAGTGGTTTTGTCTCTCACATTTCAGTTCAGAAATTACATTACTACGGTAAACTTTTTTTCAGAACTTTGCCATTAAAGCTATTTCAATGTAATTTAATCAAAACAGCTTCACAAATGTCTCATTCTGAATATCAATGATTACAGATTGCATTTATAATACTTTATAACTAGCATTTGTGTAGATATCCAGGAACTGTTCAGCATTGAGTAGGAAGATTTTCAGGCGCTAGTGTAGTTCCGTATCCATTTTTTTAGCAGTTTAATATCCATTCTTAGCAAATGAATTTTAGCCCATTTTTTTTTACTAATTTTAATAATAATCATATATTGCATTTTCCACCTGAATTTGGATCACATCCGACATCGGGAAACCTTTGTTTAGGGCTTCGATGTCGACGTCGCCGCTCAGTACCGTCTCTACACTGTAGTCCTGCACCTCAAACTGAAGCTATCAGTCCAAAATTATGCAGACTTCTCGTATGGGCGATACCATAAACCATACGAGAAGTCCGCAAAATTTTGTACTGATAGTTTCAGTTTGAGGTGCAGGACTACAGCGTAGAGACGGTACTGAGCGACGACGTCGACATCGAAGCCCTAAACGAAGGTTTCCCGATGTCGAATGTGATCCAAATTCAGGTGGGAAATGCAATGATTATGATTAAAATTAGTTAAACATTGGAATGGATTTTTAAACTGCTAAAAAAAATGGATACGGAACTACATGTACACTAGCGCCGATTTTCATTCAATACCTTTTCCTGATTCTTCAATAGAATTATTAAATGACTAAATTTGCTTGACTGCCTTTTCTTCTTCTTGAGAGTTTATAACAAGATAATATAGTACAATGCAACTCCCAATGATCAGCTTTATGATTTTAAGTCTGAGACGAAAAGGTTCTCAGACTGTGAAACATACATGAGAAGTAAAAAGGTTTGGTTAAAGGAATTAGAATATAAAAAAAAACATACCTTTCTTCTCTACTTGATCATAATATGAATTTCATGACAATATTGTGTTTGTAATACAGATGCTTTTGATGTTCTGACCTCAATCTCTGAGTAACAAAATAGTGCCGTCAGTCCTGTCACTCCTGTGGAAGGAATCAATAAGAAATTTAACAACTATGGCTGGCCATTAATCTCAATCTTTTCTTTTTTTCATCATAGAGCAATCCAATTTAAAATAAGATTTAATACTCCACATATTTAATTGGATTTCAAAGAGCAATCAGTCTTTGAAATTAATATATATTTGTGTCACCACAGAAAAAAAAACAAGGGAAACGCTCTCGGTGGTCTCGTCTGCATTATGCAATTGGATATGATGAAAAATTGAGGTTGGAACAATATTTATAGGCAGGGTGGCCTATTAGCAGGCCCCCAAAATTGAAATCCTCTGAATATAATCAGCATTTTGAAGTGAATATTGACTAAGAATCATGAACAGATAACAACAATTGATTCATTTATTCTCATATTAAGTTGTGAAAAAATAATCCAAGACGACCGACCTAAAATGACCTTTGACCTTGTGACCTGGAATTAGTGTCACATGATTTGTGATACTTGATAACCCTTGGTACAAGTTTTTAAGAAATTTGAACAAACACTTTTGAAAATATGCTAAAAATTCAAAATCTTGATGTTGATGCCACAACGAAGTCTGTTGACCTGAAATGACCTTTGACATTGACTTTGTGACCTGAAATTCAACTCACATGATTGGGGATACTTGATAACCCTATAGTCCAAGTTTCATTGACTAAGGACTTATACTTTCAAAACTATATCAAAAATTTAAAAACTTAACACCTCAGGTTAAGTTTTTGATGTTGAAGCTGCCGTCGCCGCCGTCACCAGAAAAGCGGCGCCTATGTCTCGCTTTTTGCTACACAGGCGAGACAAAAAGCATTCTTAGAAGTTTAAAAGAATTAGAGCCAAGAGGCATTTTGCAACTTCCCGAGACTAGAATCCCCACACAGGTTTTAAGTTAATCACTAGCTGCATTTCATTATTTTGAACATAACCTTGATCTCAGAAACCATTTTGTTCTTTGAAAATATCTGCAGACTGAACGTTATCCATTGGTTTGAACTCACAAATGAAATAAATTTAGAAAAAAAATTGACATACAAATAATTAATTAATTGAACAGGAGGCGAGTTGGCTCAGTCGGTAAAGCGTCTGCCTGTTGAACCAAAGATCTCTGGTTTGAATCCCACCCAGGCAGATGACTAAAGCCTGCATGGTGTGTTAACGTGCCCCTCCCATTGTTTCATAGACACAGGCTATGTTAAAAGGAAAACACTCTATCCCTCTGATAGGACGTTAAAATGAGGCCCCATGTGGAGAAGAGTCACCACCTTTGCACGTTAAGAACCCATTGCACTATTATAAGAGTAGGGGGCAACCCCGGTGTAAAGTGGTCCACCTGCACACCCAATATAGTACGACAATACTCTGTAATTGAAAATTCGTCCAGACACTCTAATTGGAAGAAGAAGTCTAGCGCTGCACTGCAAAGATCGAAGATAACAACTTTCTCATACTTAGTTATCAAATATCAGGTTATTCCTCACATAATGCTACTAATAATGAAACATTCATACTCATTAACACCTGTCGATCAAGAATCATGAATGAAGAGGCGTTATCAGCAGCAAAGATATATTCACACTGCCAACAATGAACAGTGCAGTGCAGCAAATGAAAGTTACTCATATTTATTGGGACATTTGCAGTAGGGTCTAGAGTACATAAACTAAACACGCATGGGACTGAGCAATGGATAATGTACAATCCAAACCGGCGTCGATGTAAATGCTGAACAAGTAGAATTAAATTACTATTGATTTATAACATAGTTCCATACATTGAATATCAAGCTACATGTAGCATTTGTGTAATTTAAATCATAATTAGGCAAATTGTTTTACCTTCGTTTCTGAGCTGAGCTGCAACAAAGTGTACTGAAGCTGTACGCAGACGACAATCTTATATGATGGCAACTTCCGGGTGTCAGAGTACGAGTGACGTGAAATTAGCAAAGCCAAATAAAGGAGCACGAGCAGATTTTCTCGGAAAGGCGGCAAGTGCAGGAGCCCTGCGACATAATTATCATGTATAAATTATGAAAAACAATTTAACATCAAATCTCTTTCTACCAGTTTCTACGCATTCAAGTTTTAAAAAGATATTTGATTTGAAGACGTACTAAAAAGTGTAGGTCTATGCAATATTTATGCCTACACTTTCTAGTACAAATTATATAGAGAAGAGTGGCCTCATTTTGCCCCTCGAGGCATCTCTTTCTTCTTCTTTTTTTCATGAAGAGATTGTTGGGGTTAGTGTCCCAAGCAGGGGCGGCGATTTCTTTTCAAGACCGGGGGGACGAAATGCGAGGAACGAGGGAGGAGTTACGTAAAAAAGCAATTTTTTTTTTTTTTTTTTTTTTTTTTTTGGGGGGGGGGGGGGGGGTAGTTACATGCAGGCCCCGCGGAACGTTTTTTTTCAAAGTCGGAGGGGGGGGGGGGGCTAAAGTATTTGCAAACAGATAGATCAAAGCAAGTGGGGCGTAAATTGGCATGGGGTCCAGGGGCAGAGCCCCATGAAGCTTAGAGTTTTTAGGCAATAGATCAAAGCAAGTGGGGCGTAAATTGGCATGGGGTCCAGGGGCAGAGCCCCATGAAGCTTAGAGTTTTTAGGCATTTAATAATTAGGGTCAGATGAGCATATTTTGGTACCTTAATTGTGACACTTGCATGGAGGTCACTAATTGGAGTGGGCTCCATGGGGCGAAGCCCCCAGAAGCTCAGCGGTTTTAGGCATTAAATTACGATCAGGTGAGCATCCAGGGGCCGCCTTAGGCCCTTGGTGTGATCTAGGGGCGGAGCCCCCGGAAGCTCAGGGTTTTAGGCTTTTGAATATGGTCAGATGAGCATCCAGTGGTCCGCTTAGGGCCCTGGTGTGGTCCAGGGGCGGAGCCCCCGGAAGCTCAGGTGTTTGAGGCATTTATTTATGGTCAGCTGAGCAACCAGGGGCCACCTTAGGGCCCTTGATGGGGTACAGGGGACAGAGTCCCCGGAAGCTAAGGGAATTACCATGCCATTTCAGTAATAACATTTGTGAATTATTCACTGGTATCGAATTAGAAATAAACCAGTTCGAATTTTATCGGGAGGGCGATGGGGGGACTGCCCCAAGCCCGAGTGAGTGAGCATAGTGAATGAGAGGGCTGAGGGGGACGAAAGTGAGTACCCCCTCACAGGTTTTGAAGTTTTGTGTATTACAAAATTATATTCCTTGGCAAAACTATAGTATGAAAACAAACCATGTACTTTTTTCACACTTCACTTTTCTACAATATTTACTTGTACATTTTGAAGGATGTTATGCGAGGGAGCATAGCTCCCGAGCCAGGAGATTTTTGCATTTTTATTGGTCTAAACGCTGCACTCTTGGGCCCTCCAAAGCCTAATAGTGTGTTGAAGTCTTTAGTCAGTTTTTGCTGTACATTATTTTTTTGCACTTTTTCAATTTTTCCGGGGGGGGGGGACGATCTCCTCCTACAAAAATCGAGGGGGGAGGGGGACGTGTCCCCCCCCCGTCCCCCCGGGATCACCGCCCCTGGTCCCAAGTAGTAGCAGCCTAATATTGATGTAGACAAATGCTCATGTACCATTTTCAGCTCATTTTCTGTATGTAGATAGTTTAAAGGCCAGCCTGAAGACTTACCTAATGGCCAACTTTAACTAATATCATCTTCTTCTTTTTTATAACCATGTGTAATGTAATGTAAACAAAATTATATCTAAGTATAAAATTATGTAGCTCATTGTAAGCGCCTTGAGCACCCTCTGGGTGGATATGTTGCGCGTTATAAATGTCTGTATTATTATTATTATTATGTTATTACCTAAGAAAACAAAAAGTCAGTTGGTCACTCAGTAGTGTCTGACTGTGAAGTCTAGAAAGTAAACGGGTTTCCTTGCATAATTTGAATATTATAGGACACTGCTAGCGTTTAAATTCCTCATTACGTTTAAACAATTTCATTTCTTAATTTTTTTTAATCGAAACTTATTCACATACTCTGCAAAATTATTAATCCATCCCAACTTGTATGTCACTATGATTTTCTAAGTCTTTATCAGTACAATAGGTATTTTATTAGACAGAACCTTTATTTGGTTCTTTTGCAGTTTCCCATTTCATGTTCATTTGGTCTGAATTATGAATTTAATCTAATCTGAATTATGAATTGCATTTAATAACTTAGTCTGAATTATGAATTGTATTTTGGTCTGCATTTTGTGCTATCGCATCTCGTATTATCTATGTTCAAATCAATTGTTTATTCTGTATCCATTTGTTTCTTATTGATGTTTATAATCTGTAATTTTGTACTGACATGCAAACGAAACAAAATTAATTTCCAATAATAATTGGACAATAAATTTAAGTTTGAATTTGAATTTGAATTATCTATTTCTGTGCTGTAAACATGTTACTTTTTTACCCTTGTCTTTACATCTCTTTTTAATTTTGTGTTTAAAGTTCAATGTATACTTCTAGTATATTTTTTATTCTACATTTTATAATTATGTTATCGATGTACAATGTGTTTTCAATGTACTTTTTTGTAATGGAGTGAATAAATTAAGTTGAATTTAATTGAAATTACATATTTAAAATTCTTGCAAAGTTCTACAGAACTTATAGCCTATAATCTAGGCGGAGTGCCGAGCTTTTTTCTTTGCTGCTAGACTAATCTTAAACGTCTGATACGGCGAGACTACGAACCGTGAGCCGCGAAGCGACTCACGGTTCGTAGTCTCGCCGTATCAGACGTTCTGCTTAGGGTTAGTCTAGCAGCAAAGAAAAAAGCTCGGCACTCCGTCTAGATTATAGGCTACAGAACTTAATGTTGGCTGCAAATGGGACATGGTACCTTTGGATGACATGTGAAAGCAAATAGGCCTGATTATCTACATTATTTGTTTGGGTTTTAAAAAAATTCGGCATTTTAAAGCATTGCAAACTAAAACTCCAAGCGTGTGTGTGTGTGTGTGTGTGTGTGTGTGTGGGGGGGGGGGGGGGGGTACTTTGATATCCGCCCATTTTCAAGGGGGATGAGATATGAAAAGGGATATGACCCCATGTCCTTCGCCTATTGATACCCTTGAAAAGAGGGAACAAATGCCGTCCATGTGCTATCATTCTGGGTTTTTTTCAATTTGAAAGTCTGTTTTTCCCGATTGTTAATTAACCCTATCCTGTGTATTAAAAAGCAAAAGATTTTGATTATCATAATCGGTTTCATATCCCCTTTTAAATGGTTTGAAATGCCATCACATTTATATGCACTAAACTCATTATAATTTGAGAAATAATAACATTTCAATTATGTTTATACTTTTATGGGATGTCGTCTGCTTGGGCAGTATTGGTGCATTATGTGACGTCATTAAAACATCGTTTTTTGGCGAATCTCTCTTATACCCCAGATGCTATGGAAGTGGTTTTATTTGTAATTTTATAAATCACCCTATATGTAGTTGACCTAAACTTGCACTATGGCCATCTTTTGGCTTACCAGTTTCTAGTGATACATTATTTGACATATTTGTGATTTTCTTTGAATGTTCACCTTAAGGATACAAGAGGCAGTACTAGCATTGGGAGCTAAACAAGAGTTAAACAGGAAAGCAGAAATAAAATGTAAAGAAAGTAAATTAGAATTCTCATGTAATTTGAATTTTTCCCACTACTTTTCATTTCCTTTTCTCTCTCTTCTTCTTCTGTTCCTTTGACTCCTTTTTCTTTCTTTCTCTTCGTTTGCTTTCCCTTTTTGTCCTTCTCCTTCTTCTTCTTCTTCTTCTTCTTCTTCTTCTTCTTCTTCTTCTTCTTGGCTTCTTTTATCCTGTCTTTTTCATCTGCTTCTTCTGTTATCTCATTTTCTTATGTTTCCTTGTAATCTGACAGGTTTTTAAAGAGCGCTTCGATGCCGCCATTCATGACCGCCATGATGGTTACGGACCGGACAACATTCACCCTACCCTTTATAGATTTAGATTGTGCCTGAAAGACAAAATAATGTAAAGAAATAGGCCTACCGATGTAGAAGCAGTGGTAAGAGAAATAGGGAGAAAGAAAAGGGAAAGGAAAGAAAAATCATTTGAGCACTTTGCACCCACCCTTTATTTCATAGTCTTGTTTCGTCCCAATACTTCAAGCATGGACCCTATTAGGATAAGATTGGTGCCCCATGCAATCCCAAATCCTCTCCCTCCAACACCATTGCCCCCCTCAATAATTGGTCCCATGCTATGCCACTGTGTAAATTTATTTGACGAGAAAAAATAGACTGTGTTCGGCATCATGCATTCAAAAAATATATATACAAGCAACATAACAAAAACAGTACAATATATGCATGCGAGTTCTACACTGGCAAATACAAATTAAATACATAATATTACACTGCACATTTTAAATGATTTGTTTAATAGGAGCATGAGCAACATTGCAAATCCCAGCACTACTTCACCCAATTTATACAAAGTAAGATCCAATAAAATCATAAATCATAGATCAAAGAAATTACGAATATATTTTTGTAATTCTTCCAGTAAGTAACCAAGAAATGACTTCATTAGGGTAAATATGAAGAAGAGCAAACATTTCAAAGATTAAACAAAAGCGTGAACTGATAATTTTATTTTTCCATTGTCCATCGTTTCAAAGAACACCATCGATTTGGCTACTTTAGACAATATGACTTTTCTTTAAGAACTATTTTTGTTCTTTTAATTCACTGTAACTCAACTATGCTGTATTGGTGAAAGATTGGAAGACTATACATCAAATGACCTTCATAAAGTATTCAGTCACCCATATCTGCTGATTGTAACAAGAATAAAACCAAATGAAAACAACGTCTCTTTAATAGATAACTTCTTTTTTGATCTGGAGTTAAAAAACAATTAAAAATAAAATATGTTAAGCCATCAGTTATGAGTATAAACGATATCTTTCACAGTTTAAGAAGTGAAAAGTTGAACAAAGTTAATCATTGGAACAGGGGACATCTTTGCAGGCAAGTATATGGTTTGCAAATTTTTGCATTTTTCTTAAATGCACATTCTACAGTGTCTAATTTCTGAGAAGACGTTGATTTAATGTTGTTTCAAACCATATTCCAGTATGTACAAGATAAGAGTCAGAACAAACATGGTTCTGAATACAGGGCTATCACTGGTCACTGATATTAAAGTTGTCTCTTCTAAAAGCTAAATTTGATATCTTTTTGCAAAACAGAAGTCTTATTTTCTTCAAGAAAATAATTTCCGGGAAAATAAAGTCATGTTATAATATTTCATAAATATATGAATTTCTGCATTAAGGTTGAAGACCAACAAAAGCTTAAAAGGACGACAATTTATCCTGATTAGAAGAGTGAATACAAAACACAAAAATAAAACAGCATGGGAGAATATTGAAAACATGCTCAACTCTCTTTCTAAAACTTTTAATAATAATTATAATAATTGATTCATATTAAAGCGCTATTACAGCAGAAAAGAAACATAAAAATCATAACAATCAAATAAGGAACAGTAATTAAGATATTATATTTAGTGTTGAAAATATTTAGAGCTAGTTAAATAAATGACTAGATACAGCAAACACACGTACAAGATAAATGATTATTAAGTGATTAAAGCTACATCCATTCATGGATAACAAAAACTACAATGCAGACTCATTTTACTTCAGTCTAAATGACTACACAAAGACTACGTAGACATTTGCCTTGGCCTATAGATTCAGTTTAAATCCAGAGCACCATAGTGCTAGTCTTCAGATGTAAACCATTTCCCCATCATACAGATAGTTTCAAAAAGTCATTTGCTATGTTGAAAATCATGCAACACTGTTATGTATAGAATATTAAAGGCATACTAGTTATGTCTGTAGATAACATATTGCTATTATAACAACAAACTCTTCGATATAGTACTGCTTCATCAGTGGAATACAAGGTGAAAATCTGGAAAAGAAATCTTTATTTCAAACTCTTTTAACATTACTGAAATGTACATGAGATTATACAACCGAATATACAACTTTAATACGCTAAAACTGTTGTGCAAAGCAAGTTTTCTGTGTTCATTTAACATTTAAATATCGTAATTCATTCATAATACTCGTATTAACTCATGAAGTAAATTCCTGCTAGGCAATGTTGCTTTATCATAGATAATAGAGGTATTATATATGAATTACATAAAAACTACAATATTCTTATAAGGAAAATCAAAGGTTAATTAAACTATGATGCTCTATCATTTTGCACCTTCACCCTTTCAGTAATAGAAAAGAAGTTAATCTGCCCATTTTTTTCTTCATATTTTAGACAAAGACAAACTTGTTCTTCTTGATGTTCAGAGGTTTAATGATTTGTGAAGTTTGATATGATGGAATTCTACGTAACTTGAAAAGATGAACAATGAAAAAGGCACTGCAGTTGATAACATATTTTACAAAAGGATCCCTGTGGAAGAGAAAAAAGAAAAATATTTTTTTTTTTTTTACAAACTTGTGTTGTTAAAGATAAACTTGAGTTCTGGTTATGCGATTGCATTGTGAAAGAAAAGGTGTAGAATGTATCAGAAAAGTTGATCATAAAGCATGTAAGTAATGGTGTGTAATGCAAGGTTCTGGAGTCATCAAAATCATCATAAATTTGGCAGTCTTGGTAAAGTAACAATCACTTACACAGAAAGATGTATATGGGACAACACACATGGTGTCGGGGCTAGCTAGTACTACCCTGATTTCCTTATCTTTCTATGCTCATTACTCAGCCAGTATACATTTTCTTCCAAAATTGTTTGGCACATGACATTTATTTGTAATCTTGAACATTCAGTGTAAGTTTCGTTAGATTCTGTGAGAATTCATTTTCTTTTTTTTACCAGAACTCAAGTTTATCTTTAAACAGGTTTATAAACTTGGTGGCATTGTAAACATGATCAAGGCAATATATTTTTCATAAGGCAATGGGCAATAACAAATTCATGGGAGAGTCCATTTTTCACAGCAAAAGGACACTTTGGTTTGCTTGCACGTTTTGTGTCCTAAAGCTCTCGTAGGCTCTCTTTATTATTACTGCCCATACTTCAGCTTGTTGTCGGTCACCAAACTTCACATTTCTTTTCGGGTTCATAGGGGTCCCCGATGGACAGTTGAAGACATCAGCAAATACTGGCATGTTTGAAACAGCACCATTAACCCTGTATGATAATGAACCAAATGAAGAAATCAATTATCATCTATCCAACAGAATAGAATGTATGAGTAATAATATTCCTTTCAGTCATCTCTATATACATATTAAGCCCCGTCATTGCTCATAAATGAAGTGATAAATTCCGCAAAATAATTCTGAAGTTGCAAATAAAGGAAGTTTAGTTTTACATAAAAGTTAGTTTAGATGTTGTCAATATTAGGTAAATGTTTATGATAATAGGTCTTAAAAATAATGGTTTAAAATCTGCCTAAGTCTTGTAACTTATATGACATCATTATGATTCAGTTGATAGAGACGTTTCTCAGACTAAAAGGCCTATGATAACCACCTATTTTGATAGTACTTTCCATGAAGCTGCTTCAATCTTCACGAGTTTCCATATTCTCAGCTTTTCATACGTAATCCGAGCTCAATTAATCTAAAACCAGTAGATGGATCTTCGAATGCGCGAAGTCGAAAATGATGCCTCCGCCACAGACCAATTTTATAAACCCAAACATAACCAATGTTTAAAATTCAAGTTTAATTGTAATCCATTAACAGGTTCTCAGAATATTGTGATTACAAGCTATTTTTCACATATACATGCATGTATGACTCTTTGATTTTTACCTCATGAACCTAAAATCTAATCAGTTCATTGGCTCTGCAACAGGTAGGCATTTCGGGGGCAAATTCGCCCTGAGCCCCCGTGTATTTTTGTCACTGCTCTGCAAGACACATAGTCCTTAGTTTCATAGTAATCCTTCTGTCGGTTCTAATGAGAATGCGTTCACAAGCTATTTCTTCATACAAAGTGAGAGTCCCGTGACCTTCCGACCTTTGACCTCGTGACCCCTAAATCTAATCAATTCATTATCTCTGCAAGATATGACCCACGTTTGGCGGGAATCCATCAATAGGTTCTTATAATCAGGCACGTAGCCACGGGGGGGGGGGGGGGGGGGGAAATTCCAAGATCGGTTGAACTTTTTTTACCGGCTTTTTTTTTACCTCGATCGATTACAATATGTGCCCCCCCCCAAACATCAAACTCTGGCTACGTGCCTGCTTATAATAAGGCATTATGCCATTGTAACATTATATTACAACAACAACAGTTGGCCCGCGATAGGGGGCGTAGCATGATGTCTTTCCCATGCCTGACTTGGGGCCAATCGGGTATACGGACGGCGATGCAACTGCATGATTCACGTGCGTGCAACATACGCGAAACGGGCTCGAAACCGAAGCGTGAGGAGAACTTCGGTCTGTTCCGCAAACGCTAGCGCGCTGACCGTTAATCAAGTCCATTCGTTTACGTGCAGTTGTTCAAAAGAAGTCGTAGATGGCGTTAACTAGTATTTGCCATGCTACACCCCCTTTAAACCCCGCTTACACGAGGCAGTAAACATCAAGAAGAAAAAACATCAGACAGAGCGGTTAAAAGAACCATTTTGCGGGTGAGTGAGTGGCAGAGAAGGGTGAAAAACTTGAGCTGTGCGAAAATAATGTGCACTATGCTCATGTCATTTTATTTTCCTGCAGCATTTTTGTCTTTACCGTGGTTTCTTCATCTTGTTTGAATTGGACCTACTAATACAGAACACTCACCTGAACTTCTCAGGTGAATGAGTATCCGCCAAGATGGACATCTCTGTATACTGAGGTGTAGCATAAGTACACCACACCTGGCCGAAGCCCACAAAGAAGAGCTGATCATGAGACAGACCTAGACCACTCAGCAGACCCATAGTGTCGTTGAACGTCTCACACCACTTGTGATAGGCCTGATAAGCAAGCTTCAAACCGCCGTTATCAGCGATGTTTTCACCTAGTGTGCGTACACCATCCACCTGCCGCAAGTAGCCCTAGTAAAAAATAATTAGGAAAAAAAATATTTAAAAAAATAGGAAAAAAATAAATAAAATTTTCTCGTCCCCAAAAAATATATTTCAAATAGCATAGTTTTGGAACAAAAAATAGGAGAAACATAAAACCACAAATAGTTTTGAAATATATTTTTTCCTATTTTTCTCGTCCCCCCAAAATATATTTCAAATAGCGTAGTTTTGGAACAACAAAAAGGAAAAAATAAAGCCACAAATAGTTTTGAAATATATTTTTCTCCTATTTTTCTCGTCCCCAAAAAATATATTTCAAATAGCATAGTTTTGGTACAAAAAATAGGAAAAAAATAAAGTCACAAATAGTTTTGAAATATATTTATTTCCTATTTTTCTCGTCCCCCCAAAATATATTTCAAATAGCATAGATTTGAGTTCCTAATCTATTCTATTTAAAATACGTTTTGAGAGGACAAAAAAAAAAGGGAAAAAATAAATTTTGGTATTTATTTTTTCCTATTTATTTTTTAATAGGGAGAAGAATGAACAAGGGATGGCAAGAGGAAATCACGAAAATATTTCGAACATATTTCTTATTTAGAACGACAAACCAAATATATTTAAGAGATATTAAAAAAAAAGTTGCTATCATTTGATTTGATTTTATGATAAATGATTGCTGAACTATATTGTTCGGTCAACTCAAGTTCTATTGTGTAGCACATTGTTGTACGATATACATATGAAGGTGTTATGCATGCATGTACAAAACAATACTTTTGTAAAATCTAATGATCGAATCCCCCTCCATATATCATTCCCTATATTCCCTTCCCTAGTAAAAAAAAAAAGATTAAAAATGGGAATATAAATTTTCTGCTGTACAGTACAGATAATGAAATGCACACAAATTTCGATTTCAGTTTGAAATGTTCGAACACTTTAATATTACGTGAAAATATCAAATGCAATGTACATGTACACCCTTTGGTGAATGAGAGTACCAAATAAACAAGAAGCCTACAAAACTTCTAAATCATAAATATACCAGTACTAAGATAACTAACAAAACTTTGCTAGCATTTTATTTAGAGAATTTTGGATTCAAAGGTAATACCAGTACATTTATCAGCTAGTAAATATATGCATGAATATATATCTCTGTCTAAATGCTGGCTGGCAAACTGATTGGCATATAATTATATACCCGTCTTTTAAATGATACAAATATAAAGCAAATGTACTAATACTTTGTATTGTAGGTCTAAATGTAAGACAAAAACACGAGAGAGGAATTTTTTCCCCCTTAAATCGTTTGCTAATAACTGGTCAAATTTGCAGATAAATGTGAACCAATATTGGTTCACATGAATACCTCAATAAAAGGAATATGCAGCTTTGTCAGAAACTAGGGGTTCACAAGTCCAGATCTTCACCCTATCACCCACAAGGAGCTGGAATTGTTGAACGAGCAAATCGTGTGATCAAAGAACAATTAGCACGATATATTGCAGACCAGGGAGGAGATTGGGATAGTCACCTCCATCAGCTACAGCTTGCTTACAACTCAGGTGTCCACTCGACTACATGACTCCTTACTTCATTTTCCATGGCAGAGAAGCCAGGGTTCCAGCAAATATCACATGCCCAGTCCCAGCCGAATATGCCACTTCAACCGAACTGTATGCAGTCGACCTTCATCAAAGACTCAAGAAAGCTTTCCAGTATGCTAAACAGAAATCACAGATTGCAAAAAGGCAGCAGAAGGAAGGATATGACAAGAAGATTCGTTCCATCAAGTACAACATTGGTGATTTAGTTTGGCTTCATGATCCTACGAATGCTAGGAACAAACTCGATCCAAATTAGACAGGACCGTTTTCCATCCTATCCCCATCAGAAGATGGACTGAACTATAAGATAGCAAATATCCACAATGAGAGAAGTCAGAAGGTATTACACCATAACCGCCTGATCTGTTCAGATCTAGACTTCCTCGACAGATTAAGAAGCCGGAAAGATTTCGCAATTTTCAGCTCTGACGGATTTTTGGAACTTGACATTTCTCAACATGTGCTACAACATATTGACCATGGATGTTTGAATTTATGGAAGAAATAGCGTAATAACTGAAAGTTTGGATTTTTGCTGAACTCATTGGATTCCGCGATTTTGATAATGAGCGTTATAGTGAACTAATTCCACACTCAACAAGGAATTTTGAACTGTAAGAACACAGGAATTATTGTGAGGAACTTTTCATACTTTGAGGAACGTTACATCATATTGTGTCTTCAATGACAAATGAACGATATTGGACTATCAGCAGACTTTGATTTCGACGATTGCGAACAAACTTTTGAACTGTGTAGTTGCAATAACGACCTTCGTCATTGCCTTGTTTTCGTTCACATTCTGCCCCATTAATATTCTCCTTTTCCTTATCGTCAGAAAATCGCATTCGTTTTGCACGTAGTGATTGTTATTCCTAGTTAGGTACTTTCCTCATGTTCTTTTCCTTTCAAATTTCATAGGCATAGTCTCTAACATCTCATCGAGGTCACTACATTCTTCGATTTTCGAAATCACTCATGCATAACCGTCCAGGCGCCGCTTTGTCCGTTTCTGGTCCATTTTAAGGCCTTTCTTTCTTCCTTCCTCTCTCCACTATCCTAGATCCTACAAACTTCTAACAAATTCCTTTAGATAGTCTATGTTCTTTCATCTGCGACGTATAACCTGACCTTCAAAATGCCATCTTCGTACTCAAAATTCAAATCTGAAACCGACTCCGTCAAAAATCTTTAAAATTCTTGAAATATGGACCCCTACAAATCTAAAAAGTGAAATAACCCTTTTTTTTTTTTACCAATTCCGTTTCGTCTCATTTTCTCGCAGTATCTGTATTTCATAATTGCACATAGCCATGCCAAATTTTACGCTCCAATGGCTATGCAAAACATAAATAGCGCTCTCTAAAGTTTTGGGAATTGGCTTTCTTTCTGTGGCCGTATCTCCATTATGCCTTGGCAAACCCGTACCCGTTTGGATTTAGATACTTGAAGATATGCCCTTTCCAGCCATATATAAAAAAATTATATACCTAGCTAACACTGACCGACTTTGCGAAAAATGCACTCCAAGTATGCAGTTTTCAAGAAAACTGAGAAATAACTTCAACTTGCTCTAATATTACGATCCTTAGACCTACGCCAATGAAACCTGGCAGAAATATGTATCCATATTCGTGACAAATGTCTGCCAAGTTTGGTAAATTACGATGACGTCAGCGCAAAGTTATCGCCAAAAATGATGAATTTACTATGCATTACGTAATAGCGCGTTTATATGCGTGCAGTACATTGCGCGCATATGACAATTGGTGTTTAACTGACCGCAATGGAGTGCCCTTTCGAATGATACTAAGTATGGTATATGTTCACACAGAAAATTTTAAGTAAATCACATTTGAACAAGGGTCACTATACGAATTCCGCCGAGTATCCGCCCAATTATAACACGTATCGGCTATGACGTCATTTTTTTCAGACAGCTTTTCGCCCCCTAAACGTCCTTTTCTTTCCTTGAAATTTCGCAGTGACATTCCGAGTTGCAATACGCAGGGCACCTCGAGGCCGGATTTAAAAAATTGGTCAAGGGGGCCATTAAGCCATTTAAGACGCCATATTTTGTCCTATAAATCTATTTAAAATCACGTGTTTTTATAGGATTATCATAGAACAAAAGAGAGTTGTTTACAATAACAACCATGAAATTCTCTTTCCAATGATACCAAATACGTCCGATAAAGAGACATAAAGAGAGAGAGAAAAAAACACAATTAAAGTCCGGTCATAATACAGATCCTGTACGTTTTCCGCCCATGTATTACACGCATTGTCTATGGGGCAAATCGGGTTCACGCTTCTGAACCCAGAACGATCTTTATTTTTCTTGAAATTTTACAGGCACATTCTAAGAGGCCAAGTGCAGAGCATCAAGAAGCCGGATTTTTGAAACCGGTCAAGCATGACATTAAATGCTATTTCATACTCTACGTAACTAGTCCGAAAGACGCTCTTTCGTTTGACACGTAAAAACATGGCGTCATTGCACGCACATCGTTCTGACACGATTTCATTTCTAGTTTACACTTTGTTATTTTTCGAAGAATCTTTGTATATCGAGCGTGATAGATCTGTTGTCATCTATATGGCACACTATCGGTTCTCTGTTTCACTTTGTTTTGATGTTTCACTATACATGATGATGTACACTTAGTTATTATTATTATTTTTAATATCTGTGTTCATTTTGTTGTTGTTATTTGGATGTTTTTTTGATAATTTTGGTGAAGAAACAAAATTAATCTTTGTATTGTTATATTTTTGTTGTTGCAAAGGACAGATTGATCCTTACTCTATTTAAAGACAAGAAAAAAAGTTTTTTCTGCAATTTTCAGATTTTTTTTGGGGTATCCAGGAATCACTGCGATTTTTGAAACCAAAGAGATTTCATTATATTTTATATACATGTATATATATCTCTATATATATATTTTTTTTTTACAGTAAACGTTGATTTTGAATGGTTACTTTTTATGGACCTTGTAATACGTCAATGTATTGCTACTTGTGATGATGGTGTAAGAATGAAGAAAATGATGTTATGATTTATTAGATGAAATACCAGTTTCTCACATGAGGTTAGTGATATTTGGTTGAAATAGAACATTGAGCATGTTTGCTTAGACTACGTAGCTCAAAATGTTATTTCTCTGCTATGTATAAGGCAGTTTATGATATATGATACATAAACATAAGAGAAAAGTTTTCATGTCTCGAAAGTGACAGATTATTGATTTGAATGTAAGTACACATTACTCGTGTACATGTATTACCATTGTATTGGTCACATTCCTACAAGCCTTGAATATTGGTATTGTGAGCTTAAGGATGATATCGAATTTTATTGCAGCCATTACTTCACAATTTTTTTTTCTTTTCTGGAACAATGTTTAGAATGTTTCAATTGCTTCATCATACCAAATGAACAACAAAAAGTAAACAAAAATTGAGTGGTTTTTGTTACATATAATGCTGAAAGAAGTAGCATGTTTTATTTGTTTGTTCAAATATGTTGATAGTGGAAGTTGCTCAAAACGTTCAAAATTATTCTTTTGATGTCCAGCTTATTTGGGAATCAGTGTTTAAAATGGGGACATTTTATTTGTGAGAAGGATATTGTTTGTAGAGCTATATTTTGAACAGGACAATATTGTAATGTAGAATATGTATGAAAGCATCCTATCTTGCCATATTTGCATTCTTCTATCATCAAACTCTATTTTGCTCATTCCATCACATTCAATCACCGTCACCATTCCCTCTACATGCTCTCGTGCATGTTCACTCTTCCCAACTTCAGTCTCTTTTATTACTCCTTTCACGTTTATCCTTTTATGTTCATTCTTTGGTTTATTGTTCTTTACAGTATGATTGGTTAAGCTTTATTGAATATTCATAGCAGCTTATTGATATGCACGTACCTCCTTTTATTTACCAGCTCTGTTGTTTGCATATGTATTAGTTACTGTTGTTACACAATGTACATGTAAATCCATGGCGATATATAATAATAATAATAATCCGGTTTTTTATATAGCGCTCAATACACCGATCCAACGATGTACCTAAGCGCTTTACAGATATATTATTACCCCAAATAAACCCTCGGGTTGCAAGCATGCATTATCCCAGGCAGTTCCCCACATGCAAGCATGGAGTGAAGATGTGTTTGTTTGTTGTGCTCTGCAAGTTAGAGACCCGCCGTGCCTTCGCCATGCCTTAGCCCTATAGGCCACCCTACAATATGAAGAAAGGGTTCCAAAAAGTCATTTGGCGAACGGTATCTGAATTTCAAAGAGAAAATCACATTTCCAGAAAGTTCTTTTTCTGCCCTTTCATATGACACCTCAGTCAGGAAAACTGAGCCAGGAATAACAAAATTCCGTTAATCGTATTCGTTTTCACTAAGAAAATATTGTAACATAACTAGCCCAGTAATTTAGTAAGACATAGAGGGCGTTATAGATAATTGTGAAATAAATATATGTACATCGTGAGATGTCAGTCAGTCAGCGTTGACCTGTCGTTGCGACAGGTGCGTTACCAGGAACGAGTTACTTGAACTGCAGATATACTGTGCAAGTGTTGTTTCTTTAGTCCTGTCAGACATTCAGTGATTGCGGGAGTGAGTAAAATGAGAGCTAGTCCACGTTATTCTTATACGATAAACTTTTGTGAGAGCCCACTGAGAGATATAGTTGATGAATGATTGTCGAGAGCGTGGACGGGTTTTGAGAGACTGCAAGGCAGAACGCTACCCCGGCAGATCGAGCCCGGTTACGCCACAATATCTTCAACAACATAAAAACAGAACTTGACCATTGTAGATCTACCACTTTAAAACAAATATATCATCTGTTCAGAGCCATTAGGGCATTAACTCTGTGTGTTGAAGTATATGAGTCAACGCCCTTCTGGCTCCAAAGAGAGGATATCTGTTTTGCTTTGCAGCTTTGTTTTTTTAATACCAAAATTTCCATCTTGTAGCTATAGTACTGGTTTACTAAACAGTCTGTCCTTTTCGTATAGGCTAGAGCGGAGGCGCGACCCCACCAGTCTCTAAGGTTCCCATCCTTGTCAAACTCACGACCGTGGTTGTCAAATCCATGGGTCAACTCATGACCCATCACCATCCCAATGGCTCCAAAGTTCATTGACCTGCCAAAAGAAAACGTGTCATCATGTTGAGGGATTGAGTAGGATCTAAGTTCAACTTACAGATTCGGTACATTCTCCAAGATGAACTATGCATTATTCTATCAGAAAAAGTTTTCAGGATCTCAAATGGACTGATACAATTCTATAAGAACAGTCAACTGGACAATGGTCTGACCGATGAGGATAATGATTAGTTTAACTGAAATTAGTTCACAAATCAGTCTCCTGAAGATTACGTGGAACACGGATTGTATATATGACCTATCAAAGAATATGTGCTCAAGGTCACATCCCAGTGAATCAGATATACGTGTCCTTCGATCCTGGTTTTCTTGGATCACTGGCATATCCAATACTTTAGGAAACTGATTTGAGAATAAGTTAAGATTAAAATGAGAAGTGTCCTTTAAAAATACAGTTTTGTAATGATTCATCCCTTCAATACAGCTCAAAAGAGATTTGTTTAAACAAGAAATCTGAATAAATCTAGTACAGCATATGAATAAACAGAAGTCCTCTAGTCATCATTTCATCTTGTAGACAAAAAGGTCTGCCAGTACAATCTTTTATATCTTTGGATGGGATCATGTTACTTACATTGGACGTGGTACATCATAGAATGGAGCCTGGAGTATACCGGAAGGGAAGACCATCTCATTGAATTGTGGTGAGTAGAATGCATTCACCTGTGTTGGTCTCGCGGGCCATCTAACATTTTATATTGAACAAAAGTGACATCGGATCAAGAGTCATTAAAAATATTCTCAAACACACACAGGTTGTTTCATTTTTCGACAACCATTCCACATTTTATATTTATGGTTTGGCTTAATGATTTTTAATTCAAAGCCCTCAAAAATATGCTAGATGCCTGAGTTGACAGGGCAAAGATTCGGCACACACAGCGTCCATTTTTGTTTCATGACTATATTGCGTTTGATGGCAGGAATTTAAAAAAGAAAAATATGCTTTGAAATTTTTAAATTGGCAACACGTTGAGAAATTCAAAATCCTTGTTTGTCAAAGTGATTGGCAAATTTTTCGTCTCTTTGAAAACACCCTCGCCAACTTATATTGTTTTCAGAGACATTACATTTTATTTTAATTATGTAGCAGTAAAAAAAATTAAAAATTGTTGTCAGTTCAAAGGACAATATGTGATCAACTTTAATAACCTACAAACAAATCCTGTCCTGAAAGGGTTAAGGAAATATAACAAACTGATTTCGATTTATTTTCAATGAATATCCTGATAATTGAGATTTGAAACAAAGACGGCTCAATTAAGCCACTAGTATTGAAATCATGCTAGCTGGCTCTACACTAAGTGGTAGGGGAAGATAAGTGACATCCTTTCATTTAGTAGATGTATGACTGTCATATTGGTGGTTTTTAGAAACTGGTTTAGGTATTGCTATGGTATAGGTATAATTTAGATTTAGATTTTATTTGACTCTATCGACCCCCGTCAGGATTATGAGAGCACAACATATTTACAATACAATACAGAAAGATATATAAAACAAAATAAGATATAATAATAAAATACATAGACATGATAAAAAAAATTATATTTCTAAAACACAATAAACATGAGCTAAAAACTAAGTATACACTATACAAAGTTATTAAAGTTATAAGTCTAAAATATCACGTGGTTTGGTTTGTTTACCACTACGAGTAACTACACTTTTATTGACAAAAATAGGACTTTGCCCTCAGCCTTGGATCCAACGAAAATAATTATATTATTACTGTTATGAATCTTATTATTATTATTTTAAATTATTTATTCGGCAAAAACAAAGAAAATCATTGAATACAAAACTAGAGTACATTTGGAAAAAAAGTCACATGGATGCCGGGAAAAGAAAAAGATTAACTTAATTATAACCTGAAGGTCTTCTTTTCCAATCCATGTGACTTTACAGAAATGGTAACAATAAAATGGTGAGGTATTACAATTTATGAATCACTGTGTAATCAACAACAATCATTGACAAGATAAAACCAAAAAGACAAAAAAAATAAAAAATAAACCCCTCCCCCCCCCCAATTTTTTTCAATTGTTTAACACTAGATCTATTAAACAATTTGTCCATGTGAAATGTGCTAGGGTTACTCACAACAAACTGTCAATCCAAATATAATTACCTTTTCAACCACTCTTTCATGGCCGATAATGATTTACTACACTATATCTGGAACACAACTGTTGCTTAAATAATGTGTGTAGGTCAATTGTAGAATTGTCATTGCCTATTCAAGATAACAACATTATCAAATGGACCTGGATTTCATGAAAATTCATGAAAGACGTTCACCACATTTTAAGCAATTCGATAGTACTTTGAGACAGATTTTGAATTCAATATTCTGAAACATCACATACTCATTCTTGTCAACCGGTTCATCAAGAAGGCCCCTCAATTTTTGCAGAAGATATCGCACAACATTCAGGGAATTCTGGAATACACTGGATGCTGATATGTCTATCTGTGTAGGGATAAATAATTACAATTACAGAAGACACATAGGGTGGGGGTAATAATCAAGAGTTTTTTCTGCATAGCCAGAAAACCGATATCTAATTTGAATGGCCAACAGTTTCCTTACAAAGGTAACTTAATCCAGCAAAAAGAGACTTGGTATACATATCAAAGAAATAAATCTAATTTAAAAAAGTATTCTATTCATGTGGTAGTGATCAACAAATTGGTCTAATTCTCAGACAGTCTTATTAAAACACCAAAACCAGAAGGAAGCAAGACATTTTTGTGAAATTTGTGAGTGATATATAGTCTTTTGCTGCCAAAAAATGCAACAGTTAACATTCTGTCAAGGCTTCTAGATTTAAAGTATGTTATAAGATTATAACCCCAAGGTGGATAACATAGGTATCGATATGAAGAATTTCCCTGAGTGCCACAGCACTTTATCAGAGCAGCAGAGCTAAATCTGGACAAAGTTTTTCTGAGCTCATTCAGACTACGATGTGATATGCCTTACACACAAGTAAAACATTGATACATGTATCATTGGGATGTCAACAGGGCGAAAGATTAGAAGGTGGTCTCCCATCTCTTTGACTTACGTCTTTGAAGTATGCATCTAACTGGACAGTGTCTTCGATCCAATCTGGGAATCCTATCTTACGTTTGATTGCATAAGCTTTCTCCTCTGCAGCCTCTTTAGTCGCGTCATCCATCCAAGTCACATTGTGTAGGTTTCCCATGAAGGCATCTTGTATGTAATGGATCAAGTCCTGGGTCTGTAATGAGAAGTCAAACTTTGGTTTAGCATTCCAAGGATCAATGGCGGATTCAGGGGGGCCCGCCTCCCCCCCCCTCTGGAAAAAAAGAAAAGAAGGAACAAAAAAGAAGAGGAAAAAAGGGGAAAGATTTTTTTTTGTGTGCTAAAGAAAGCAACCAAAAAAGTAACTTCACCTAGGGCCCTAAGTCAGGCACCTGGATGCTCATCTGACGGTATTTTAATGCCTAAAACCCCTGAACTCCTGGGGGTTCCGCCCCCTGGAACCCACACCAATTAGTGACCTACCAGAACCACAAATAAAGTATCAAAATATGCTCATCTGACCGTTATTAAATGCCTAAAACCCCTTGACTTCCGGTGGCTCTGCCCCCCTGGACTCCACCTAGGGCCCTAAGACGGACGGCTGGATGCTAATCTGACGGTAATTTAATGGTTAAAACGCCTGAGCATCTGGGGTCTCGGCCCCCTGGACCTCACGCCAATTAGTGTCCTGCCAGTGTCACAACTTAGATATCAAAATATGTTCATCTGACCGTAATAACATGCTTAAAACCCTGAGCTTCCGGTTCTCTGCCCCCCAAACCCAACCAATGGCCCCAAGGTGGCCCCAAGGCGGGCCCCTGGATGCTCCTCTGACCGTAATCTATTGCCTACCACCCTGAGCCTCCGGGGGCTCCGCCTCCTGGACCCCACGCCAATTCGTGACCTGCCAGTGTCACAAATTAGGTATAAAATATGCTCATCTGACGATAATTTAATGTATAAAAACCCTGAGCTTCTGGGGGCTACACCCCTGGAACCAAAACCAAATTGTGTCCTGCCAGTGTCACTCACAAATAAGGTATCAAAATATAGTCATCTGACCGTAATGTATTGCTCGAAACCCCTGAGCTTCCGGGGCTTCGCCGCCAGGAACCCACGTCAATTCGTGACCTACCAGTGTCACAAAAAAGGTATCAAAATACGCTCATCTGACAGTAATTAAATGCCTATACCCCCTGAGCTTCTGGGGGCTCCACCCCTTGACACCCGCGTTCAGCGGGTTCTGCATGTAAGAGTGGGGTGATGGGGAATTTCTTTTGTCTACCCCTAAAAAAAAAAACGTTTCTGCCACTGCCAGTGTCACCATTACGTACTAATATTTGGATCGCATAATTTCAAATTTGGCCCCCCCCCCCCCTAAGAAATCCCGGATCCGCGCCTGCCAAGGATGATATTGCATCACAATGACTTGCAGGAGTTGAGACACACAAAGTCGCTGAAAAAAAAGTTATCCTCAATTAGTTTTGAGCATGTCAATTTGTTAAAGGCCAATTAAGTCTGTATGAGGCCGCTAAAATATGTCCTTGACCGGACTTGACAACACTGTTGCCTATTTCTCATTAACTGCTTAGCTATATTTTCCTAATAAAGAATACACTTTAAAGGTACTATGTCCCATTTGCAGCCAACATCGAATTCTGTAGAACTTTGCAGGAATTATATGAATATGTCACGTGGTCCTATATGTGAAATTTAAATGTTAGCAGTGTCTTATTATTCAAATTATGAAAGGAAACCCATTTACTTTCTAGACTTCACTGTCAGGCACCATGAAGTGATTGACTGAATTTTGTTTCTTCTTTGGTAATAACATACATAAAATGAGCTATAACGGTAGATGAGCATTTGTCTACATCAATAACCCACTTCTTGCAATGGCCAAAATTAAACTAATTGAATGTTTCACAGCACAAACGTACGACCATTCGATGAAAGGGTCTGAAAATCAGACTATTACCCAAATGATTGCAATCACTAAAGTCGATTCGACAACTAATGCTCGTTATTTTCCCACTACAATACATTTTCAAGCCTTTTCGTTTTGAGGGAAGTTCAAAATTAGTATTATCTTTCAAATACCGATGGAATTTAACCTTTTCTTGGGGGGGGGGGGGGGGGGGCCTGCAAATGGGATATATTACCTTTAAGAAGAAAAAAAACTCATCTTTGAAAAAACTATAATACACCAGTTTACGGTTGTGTGCGCCATTTCAAACAAAGCCAATGACCTAGAGGTCATGTATTTATGCGTAAATTAAGATTGCGCCCATGCAAATTATGATGATATCACTGCCTACGCGCTGCGTTGTGCGCGCAAATCATCATTTGCATGGGCGCAATCTTAATTTACGCATCAATACCACTGGTCAAAGGTCACTGGCCCTGAATTCAGGGCCAATGACCCGAGGTAAACGGTCTGCGCATGCGCACTGATACAACCGTAAACTGATGTATTGTTTAGTGCTTACTACTCAAAACTTTTACCGTCATTAATGTTCAAAAGATTCTGCTGACTTTTTTTAGGCCAGTATGAATTAGGAAATTTTTTAAAGATTATCAGTATTATCAAATCAGTATCAAAATGAGTCTACACACCCATACAACCCCATTAGCCCTCATTTAAACCTCTCATTATCTAATACCCCATTCACAGTGGTTTTGAAATTTGTAGCGGCGTTGTAGCGGAGCGGCGACACGCCATAACACCGCTACAAATGCATTCACAGTAGAAAAGTTATCCCGCTGCAGCAGCGGGATAAATATCATGTACCCATTCACGCTGCAGCGGGTGATTTTTATTACCTCCGTAACAAACACGTGTATGCATGGCTCATGACCCGCGAGTGACCCCGATATGACCGGAAATACTTCAGCGCGGGGTTTTCGATTGCTTGAAATTGCGCGCGCTAGCTGTACTTTACACACTCTTCCTCATGCAGCTAGCTCGATTTAGCTATGGATCTACTTTTTAAAAAACTAGTATTTTTATTGCTTCCAGTCAGAATATTTTAATTTTTTGAAGTGTGAAATATTTTTATTTGGATAATTATAATATCTACATAATAATAAAATCAATTTGAATCCACTGGTTACTTTATTTCTATTTCACTTTATGTTCCCCATTGCTGGAGAAAAGAGGTCAGTGATAGGTAAGTAAACAAATCACACGTGTTTGTCGCGGTGTTATAGCGGAGAGCCTTCACACTGAGTAAACACCGCGACAGCAGCGGGACTGTCCCGCTGCTGTAGCTAGGCGAACCTAGCGATAGTTTGTCGTGGCGTTATCGCGAGGCGGTGTTATCCCGCGATAGTTTATAACGGGTCCGAGCCTTCACACTGAAGACAACACCGCGACAGCAGCGGGACAGTCCCGCTGCTGTCGCGGTGTTTGAGGCCACTGTGAATGGGGTATTACTTATGGTTCACCTCATTTATGAGCTGTGGAGTGACAACTTCTCTAACAAAGAGGGCCCCTGTCACAAATGGGAATGTTTCGTCGGTTCTCTGCAAGCACTTCTGCAAAAGAGGAATACTAGTGGTGTTGGGTCCACTGATGACGCTCCTGTACTCTAGAACGATGTCTTCATAGATCTTGGGGAGGAATTCGAGCTTGGGTTTGACTGCATTCCAGGTCAGGTAGTCAGCAAGAATTCTGTACAATAAAAGCATTTATTTATTCATTTATATTGTACAACACATGCTCTCGCAACAAGTTCTCCATGGTCGATTCAAACACTAATCAAAGTCCTACCTTCAACTGGAGACCCAACATTGTAACTAACCCTTATCCAAAAATATTACCCGAATGCAACCATTGTATGATGGCCAATGAAGGAGCGTTCACGTCATGGTCCCTGTCAGATGAACATCTGCGAATCCTTGAACCACACAACTCAAGTGCTATTATTAACTGCATGCATGGCTACCAACGACAATAATGACCAATTTGTTGCTAAGGCTCAAAGTCGAACTCATGGGCCTTTTTCAGGACCGGCCCTGAGTATCATCTCATCCATCATTGAAGGTCTTACAGGCACCAAACCCTCATCGCACAGAGACCAATGACCAGTACGGAAGTGCGATCTTTGCCCGCAATGGTCTTACTGTGGACAAATCTTCCCTATCAGACAGCAATAACACTGAAGTCCTTTCCGTTGACCTAATAGGAATCACCATAAACTCAGCCTACAAGCCACCTCTTGAGCCTTTCAACCTGCCCGGCAGAGCTACTGACGGCAGGATAGATGTGGTCATCTTTGATTTCAACAGCTCAGCACTACCTGGGGAAATGGAGAAATTAACGAAGATGGTGAACTTCTTGAGACATGGACAATTGCTAACCAACTGTCCCTCATTTATCATGCTAAGCTCCCCCCCCCCCCTCCACTACACTAAGCCCATTTCAATTTCCAGGGTTACCAGTTGGCATTAACTAGTTCATCAACTGGACCAGTTGAAACTAGCTTTTTCTTCTGGGATGTTTGCACCCACCCCCCCACCCCCTCTAATCCCAAACTGCTTCCGGCGCGCCTGGACGTAATTATTAGGTTTACAAACCATGGTCTCCAAGGTAGGAATAATCACGTTATTATAATAGTGATATTCCACTGACAATTGCGTGATTTAGTGTACGTGTTTTATAAGTGACCTAGTGCAAGAAACGTGTTAACACAATCACGTAAATGTCAAGTGTTTGAAGAACGTAAATCTGTTCAAGTCGATACCTTGATATTGACGTGATTTTCACGTGAATGTGTTTAGTGGGCTGGCCGGACTCCTCCCATACTACGCAACCAACCACCTGAGAGCTAACCCTGACAAACTCAGATAAGTGCATTCCACCTCAAGAACAGGGATGCCAACCATCAACTATGGAGTAGCTGGTATAAGAAGAGGCTGAAGCACACTCACAACTTAGTCTACCAAGGCATCAAACTGGATCGCTCCCTTACCTACAAGAACCATCACCAAGAAACAATATTATCTGCATATCTCCTTTTATGTAAAACTAGATTAGGGACCTAGCCCAGCTTCATGACTCTACTTCTATGCAATAACTTTATACTTTCTCAAAAATTAAACCTTGTCTGTTTCTATGCAGTTTTTTACACTACAAGATTTCCAAAAGCTACCTAAATTTAAATCCACACCCCAACAAATAAATCCAATACATGTATTTATATAGCTGCCTATACAAAGACAAATCATATCTTATTTTGAAAAGCTTCCCATACCTTTTCCCCAACCCCTACCCCCAATAAAGCACAAGTAGTAGTACCCTCTAATATAAAAATAAATCTAATTCTGACTTCTTTTTAGAACTTCTTTTATGGCCCCTTACAAATGCTAGGTAAGTTGTTTTGTTAGAAAGATATTGAGTTAACATTGAGATATAGAGTTTACCATCTGATTTACCACCGAGGGAGTGACTGGACTGTTATTCCAATTCCATCGCAAATAATATGAAGAATGATAAACCAAAGCATGGATATTGACCTACCTTTTGTCAGTTCGCTTCAGAAGATAATTCAAGTTGACAAAATAGTTGAAGGTAGGTACTAAGATTTTCCGTTCTAAAGGTATTGTGGTGGCAAAGATCTCGTTCAAGTAATAGCTCATATTGATCTGGAAAACGACACGTACAGAAATACAGAATGTAGCAATGTTGGTTACTATCATCTAAAATGGGGTACAGGTTAGATGAAAAAGAAAATATGAAAGACATGAACTGATAAAGTGCCAATGCAATATTGATAAAGGAGGACAGGGGTTGGTGGTAGGCAAATTTAACTTCAAAATTCATTAGCATAATCTCCTCATCAATGTCTAGAGAATATATTATATTTCTCCTACATTAATATTGTACACAGGAAATCGTGCATTGAAAACAACATTTTAAACTATATAGTTTTCACTGTTATGATAATTCTAATATTCGTTTTGGTGACTGCTTTGTTTGCTTTTCCTTATCCCAGGAATGTTATCATATGTATTGGAGAAAGTGAAGTACACTGTTGTGCATTATATGCTACTGAATATTTTGGGAAGGCGATCTGTAAATCTGTATCTACATGTTTCTCGTGAAATATGACACTTACCTGAGGTATAATAGAAGCAAACTCTTCCACAGTAACTTTCTTGTATGCTTCGGCCGGGTCTCGATTCGTAGGCATGAATTTCTGTATTGAGGATAAGAAATGAAATCAGATGTACTCTACAATGGATTAAAAGCAATCATAGTAAATGATAGAAGCAAATGATAACTGTGAATAACGGGCATTCTAGAGTTACTGTGTTGAAGGTGTTTAATCCGTGGGTCTGTTCAGGTGCAGAAACGAAATGTCTGTCTGAGAAAAAATGCTCTCAAACTTTAACAATCAACCTACTTTCTACAAAAGCAAAAAACAATTGTAATGTAATTGTACTGTAATCAAATGCAAAGTCATTCCATCATTTCATAAAACAACAAAATGGGCAGCATTTCAATCGCACACATTTCTTTGACACCCTGAATTGTGATCACAGAAAGCAAATACTATAATTAGAAGAAACATGTTACTTACTCTTCTGATATCAGCTTCAAAGTAGACTATTTTTCTCATCCTTTCTAAGGCAGGTGCATAAGTGGAATGGCTTGTTATATTATCTAAGACTACACTTTCATCGTCAGTAAGAGAGAGAAGCACCACCACTTTTGCTCCAAGTGTTGCATATGCTTCATCACGTGTCTAGGAATGACAACGGGAAAATGTGACAGCGTGTGAGAAAAAACATTAATGATCAAACAAATATTGTAAAATATCTTCCAATTTACATTCAACATTTGAGAAATTAAAGACAGAGTGAAACCTGCTTTTGCAACCATCTGCCTATATAAAGACCACTTTTCTTGTCTCCCTAGAGCAGTCTTTATAGACAGGTTTAACTGTACATGTATCTGCCACCCAAGCAGGCGCGTACGCAGGGGGGGGGGGGGGGGTGTTTGGGGGGTTAAACCCCCCCTTTGGTATTTTTATGTGTGTAAACCCCCCTAAAAAATCCCTAAAACCCCCCCCCCCTTTGGTTGTTTTTTTTTTTTTTAATTATTAAAAAAAAAAAAAAAAAAAAAAAAAATCACCCCCATGGCTGACCTAAGAAAGGTGGCCTTACCCCCCCCCCCCCAACGGAGCAAAATGTCAATTTTTCAAATTTTGAGACAAAAAAAAAGTGTCCTCTTACCCCCCCCCCCCCCCCCCCCCGCTTATTCAGCGGTCGGTTGAGTCGTTGCGATTTTTTGGAGACCAAAAAAAAAAAAAAGTGTCCGCTTACCCCCCCCCCCCCCCCCCCCCCCCCCCCCCCCCCCCCCCCACTGAGCGACTTTTTGGCCGGCGCGATTTTCAAATTTTCCTGAGTCGTTGCGAAATTTTGATCCCGATTTTAAACCCCCCCTCCCCCCTTGAAAAAATCCTGCGTACGCCACTGCACCCAAGTACTGTTTATTAACTCAGCAGCATATCTGTCTTTCTATTATCATCTTACCATTTGAAATTGTGACTTGATACGATCAGCCAAATGAAGAAAAAATGAAGAATTTTTTTTTTATCAATTTCTGCTTGTAAGTAAATGGTTCCGCAAAAGACAGAGGAGTCTTGTATTAAAAAAAATACCATCTTCCCAGAACTGGGAGTGAATTATTGAATGGTCAAAGGTCTGATAAACAGAGAGTCCTGGGGTGGGGACTTGGACAAGTATCAATCCTGAAATACCTAGTCCTCAATCGATTCCTTGCTAGGGGAAGCAAATCTCACACAAGACAGCAGGTGCGCTCTTGGGAGTATGACCTGTTCAATACATGTTTTTCCTTTAAACGCAAATATGCATATACATTGAAACCACACTAAGCTAACAATTAAAAACTAAAAACTCCCAATCTGAATCTTGAAAGAGGATTTTATGATGACCGTTCATAAATCTACTAGCACAGATGGGGTTGAGAATAGAGCTGTTTACCCAAGAGGAGCTCACTTTACTTTTTAATACTTGCTCTCTTTACATTTCATTAATCAGTTAATCAGTCAAATAGAAATACAAACTTACTCGAACATTATCAGAGTGAAACTGATTAATTGGATTGAAGCCTATCCCATCCTGGACGAACTGGATGAGAAAAATTATGGACAAATATGGAAAAAATATGGGAAATATTACAAAAAAGCCATTCGTTGTTTGTACCACACTGTAAGTATCTGAATCGATGTACCATGAAATAGCTCTCCATTTTATAGCCTAATTATCCATTCCCATTTTCCTCTCCACTTAAGCATTATATAGTATATACATGTATATCAAGTTTTAAGAAAAGCATTCTCATGATAACGTATCTTCAAGCTGTCAATACAAAATCAAGTTAAATCTCTCCATTTTGTTCGGCCATACCCAAACCACATTAATAAAAAACACTTATTTGATAAATCTATATATTCTCCTATACCATACCTGCCAAAATTAGAAAATAAGAAATCTGTACCATTAGCGGGGTCTGGGGGCGCAGACCCCAGTGGGGTCAAGGGGCAGCGCCCCTGCGGGGGTACGGGCTTTCAAGTACGTTTGTACATACGATGAAAACAAACCGATGCAATTCAATTCAACTCACCGTTATGATGTTGACACTGGTATTCTTATCATCAGGAATGATCCCCACTTGGTAGAGAGGAGACCCATTTAAAAGATGGACCGATGTTACAGCTTGGGTAAGGTCGAATGAGGTTTCGTCCCAATCGACGATACCAGGTGTGTTCCGTGGTAGGATGCTCCAGCCACCAAGCTGGTTCAACAACTGGGAGATAAAGATGGGGAATAATATGGCACGTATGCACGTTCTGGGTCCTCATGCATATGGAGCCGTGTTCAGATGCAACTTTATATGTATGAGAGCCCTGGTAGCAATTAAAATTTCGTTGTACATGACTAACATTTCAACACATTTGTTTTTATCTGAATGTTTTGATTCTTCAACACAACTGTATTAATATATTCCAGATATGATGCTGAATTACAATATTCCAGAGATTATCATGGAATACAATATTAATATCAGGAACATTAATATCACAAGGCTTGTCATGAAATATGAACAAAGAGACTTATAGATTAGTATGAATAACACACATTTCATTAGCTTAGTGCGAGAGGGGTGGGGGAAGACTGGGAAAGAGTGCCGGAGAAGGGGGCTATCCAGTGAAACTCTTTCTCTCTCTTTAACGAGGTTTACCTGTTTCAGTGGTGCTGAGCCTGCTTGCTCAATGGCTGTCACATTCATGCAAGCATGGTAGTAATCCTTGGCTTTCCTCAGGGCTTCACTGTGATTTCCATTGTATTCATATCCATCCTCTGCAAGAAGCTGCAATAAACGGGGCAATGGGTAAGTGCAAGGTATTTGATCATTTAAAGATACTATGTCCCTTTTGCAGCCAACATCAAATTCTGTAGAACTTTGCAGGAATTATGAATCTGTGAAATTTTACGTTAGCAGTGTCCTAATATTAAAATTATGCACGAAAACCTGTTTACTTGCTAGACTTCACTGTCAGACACTATTGAGTGACTAACTGGCTTTGTTCTTCTTTGGTAATAACATACATAAAATGAGCTGCAAAGGGTACATGAGCATTTGTCTACATCAATAACCCACTTCTTGTAATGGCAAAATTAAACTGATTGAATCTTTGCGCAGCACAAACCGTACGACTATTCGGTACAATGGTCTGAAAATCAGACTAATACTTACTGGCTCTATACACTATGAACATGACGGACAAAGAAAGAGGACAAAATATACAGTTCCTCATTCTACCCTCAACAATGGCTGTGGTAGACAAAGGAACATCCCTTCACTGCTATTATGTAAAATAAGTAGAACAGGTGAATATGCATGTGACACCTGTTCTACATATTTTTACATAATAGCAGTGAAGGGATGTTCCTTTGTCTACCACAGCAATTGTTGAGGGTAGAATGAGGAACTGTGTATTTTGTCCTCTTTCTTTGTCCGTCATTTTAATAGTGATAGTTCTTAAGTCGATTCGACCACTAATATTCGTTATTTTCTTAAAGACATTTTCAAGCCCCCCCCCCCCCTTTTTTAGGGAAGTTCTAAATTAGTATTATCTTTCAAATGCAGTTAGAATTTAACTTTTTCATCTTTTTGGCCTGCATATAGGACCTTGAAAGTCTAATACAAATATGGGAATACTGAACATGATTAATACCAATAAAATATCATTATTCTTGATATTCCATCTAAAACCATACAAGAGTTGGTAGGTTTCTCAACTTTATAAATCATGAGATATACTTACATTTGTTAATGAAGTCAGTAACGTATGGCATTAAAATCATGACTCCATAACATCAACCATATACAAGAAATTGTAATCATTTCTGTCTTGAAAATAAGCGGAATTATTTCTCTAGTATTGCAAATGACTTGATAGAGCAATTTGGATCATCTGAAATAGCATACCAGCGCTGCCTTTACATTAAAAATTTGTATGTGTATAAGTCTCCAAAAGAACTTTTCCATGACGTGCATATATTTTGTTTGTACATGTTAAAAAAAAACACGTTGTATACTTAAGCGTATCAGAACGTTCAGTATTCATTATCTACCTTTAAAAGTAAATCTTTATTCTTGTTGTAGACTTCTTGATACGCTCCCCACTTGGAGTATCCGTTTGGTACTTTCACGTTGGCTACCCAGTTACCACAGGTATACTCGTAGAAGTCCTGGCAAGGATCCACGCTCAAGTTCATTGCACTCTCCACCGAATCACATACTGCGCATGGCTTCTGTAAAAGTAAAAAAAAAATAAAAAACCCAAATTCGGCTTTCTTTAAATGTGATAAATGAAACGTGATGAGCTCAGTGCAATCTGTAAAAAATCTGTAAACAAGTCGTATACTAACCATAACAAATCGTTACATTTTTTGTTACGAGTCATTTACAGATTCTTGCGAGCAGTTGCGGATGGTTGCGTGTTCTTGCAAGCAGTTTACGATACTTACGGATTGTTACGAGCTATTTCCGGAAAAATTAATCCGTGGACAATCGTAAGAAGATTTTTGACATGTCAATAAATTTACCTCTCCTTTCACGGATCCTTGCGAGTGTCTGCTAGTTGTTGCGAGTTGTGACAAGCTATTTACGGATACCAGCAAGTTATTTACGGATGCTTGCGATTGACTCCGAGTTGGTAATACGTAAGGACTCGTACAGAAAATCCGTGTATGTGAAGGGGGTATTACTTGTAACAACACGTAAACAGGTCGTAAAATGCCAGTAAGTTGCTCGAAGTTATCCGTGACAACTTATTGTGGAATTTTGCCGTAAAAACATTGTAATAACTCGTAAATTTACATTGTAAATAATCTGTTGCAACACGTAATCATCCGTAAACTGCTAGCAAGAATCCTTAAATGACAATTTTTTCAACGATTTGTTTTGGTTAGTTTACGATTTGTTTACGGATTATTTACGGATCATTTACAAATTATTACGAGTGCTTACGTGTTGTTTGCGGTTTCATTTGGGTCGTGTAACAATGGCTTTACAGATTGTAACGAGTTATTGCGAGCACTTTACGTGTAGCTACGAGTACTTTACGAAAAGATACGTATACTTTACATATTCTTACGCATTGTTTACGCTTCGGGGGAAAGGTATAAAAGTTGTAAATTTGAACACTTCATTTTCAGTGGTTATTTTTTGGTATGAAATCGTAAGGACTCGTAAATACTCGTAACTAACACGTTAATTGCTCGCAGTTATCCGTGACAACTCGTAAAAAATCGTGGACTTTTGCCGTAAATACATTGTAATAACTCGTAATAATCCGTAGTAAACAGCTCGTAGTAACTCTATCTGTTGTAAAAGAGGCCAAATCATAAGGATCTGTGAAAGATCTGTGAATTTGTGCGATCCGTAAGAAAAATCTGTGTATGTGAAGGGGGTATAAAGGGGGTATAACTTACGAGTCCTTACGATTTTGCAGCTTTTATACCTTCCCCAAATCACAAACAATACGTAAGAATACTTAAAGTATACGTACACATAAGCACTTGTATATTCCGTAAATAATCTGTAAACAAATCGTAAACAAATCTTACACACAAATCATTAAAACAATTGTAACAAGTCATTTACGGACTCTTGCGAGCAGTTTACGAATGGTTGCGTAAATACTGGTAACTAACTCGTATTTAATTGTAACAACACGTTAACAGGTCGTTACTAATACGTAAGTTGCTCATAGTTATCTGTGACAACTCGTAACAAATCATGGAATTCTACCGTAAGTATTTCGTAATAACTCGTTGTAATCCGTAACAATTCGTAAATACTTGTAACTAACTCGTATTTAATTGTAACAACACGTTAACAGGTCGTTACTAATACGTAAGTTGCTCATAGTTATCTGTGACAACTCGTAACAAATCATGGAATTCTAACGTAAGTATATCGTAATAACTTGTAATAATCCGTAACAAACCGTAAATAGCTCTTAACAACTCGTAACAACTCTCAAATCGGTCGTAAAAATGGCCAAATCGTAAGAATCTGTGAAAGATCCATGAATTTGTGCGATCCGTAAGGACTCGTAACAAAAATCTGTGTATGTAATACCCCCTTCACATACACAGATTTTTCTTACGAGTCCTTACGGATCGCCAACTCATAGTCAATCGCAAGCATTCGTAAATAACTTGCTGGTATCCGTAAATAACTCATCACAACTCGCAACATCTCGTAGACACACTTAAGGATCCTTGAAAGGAGAGGCAAACTTTTTGACATGTCAAAAATCTTCTTACGATTGTCCACAGATTTATTTGTCCGTAAATAGCTCGTGAATAGCTTGGAACAATCCATTAGTATTGTAAACCGCTCACAACAACACGTAATCATCTGTAAACTGCTCGCAAGATTCCGTAAATGATTCTAAACAGATTCTTGTAACGATATGTTACGGTTAGTTTATGATTTGTTTATGGATTATTTACGGACTATTACAAGGGCTTAAGTGTTGTTTACGACTTCATTCGGGTCATTTTACGATGGCTTTTGGGATTGTTACGGGCCATTGCTAGCACTTTACATGTAGTTACGAGTACTTTACGAATAAAAACGTATACTTTACGTATTCTCAAGAAATGTTTACGATATGGGGGAAAGGTATAAAAGCTGCAAATTCGAACACTACATTTTCAGTTGTTTTTTTTAGGATAAAAATCGTAAGGACTCGTAAATACTTGTAACTAACACGTTAATTGCTCGCAGTTATCCGTGACAACTCGTAACAAATCGTGGACGTTTGCCGTAAATACATTGTAATAACTCGTAATAATCCGTAGTAAACAGCTCGTAGTAATTCTATCTGTTGTAAAAGAGGCCAAATCATAAGGATCCGTGAAAGATCTGTGAATTTGTGCGATCCGTAAGAAAAATCTGTGTATGTGAAGGGGGTATAAAGGGGGTATAACTTTTATACCTTCCCCAAATCATAAACAATACGTAAGAATACTTTAAGTATACGTACACATAAGCACTCGTATATTCCGTAAATAATCTGTAAACAAATCGTAAACAAATCTTACACTGACCGTAACAAATCATTAAAAAAATTGTAACAAGTCATTTACGGCCTCTTGCGAGCAGTTTACGGATGGTTATTTGTTGTTGCAGGCGGTTTACGATACTTACGGATTGTTTATTTGCGGAAAATCAATCAGTGGACAATCGTAAAAAGATTTTTGATATGTCCAAAAATTTGCCTGTCCTTTCACAGATCCTTAAGAGTGTCTGCGAGTTGTTGCCAGTTGTGACGATTTATTTACAGATACCACCGAGTTATTTACGGATGCTTACGATTGACTACGAGTTGGCGATCCGCAAGAACTCATAAGAAAAATCTGTGTTTGTGAAGGGGGTATAGATTACATCATCAAAACTTACCACATAGTGCTTGGATGTGAAAACTATTATGCAGGTGCCAATTATGACAAGTAAAATGAAAGCTGCAAGCGTCATGATGGCTAACCTGCAACACCGCTTCTTTTTTCTGCCTATGGGATGCCTCAAACCAGGTCCTATTCAACAAAACAAACATTTACAAATTTATGAAAATGTATGATTTAATTATTGCTATATCTATTAGGTACAATGTCAACTAAAAGCATTCTCAAAAATGTTCCTCTTCTTGCCACCGCTAGGCCGAGGGGCCTTGACTGCCTTCTTGGAGCCTTTCTTAGCAAATTGAGCTGTTGGAGCCATGATGAATTGAGGTTTTCTGGAGACGGATAGAACTGTGTTTTCACTTGTTCATTTAATAATCAGTCTGTTTTAAATACCATGATATGCAGATATCATTTTAACATTTTATTGAAATTACATAGATTTATCTTGGTTAGAACATTTGCGACACATGACAACAGCTTTCTTCCATTGAAGTACCTTTACTCTTTCACTTTGACTTTATATTTTTGATGATTTTCACATAAAATAATTTAGAGGAAACGTGCTAAATCTGTGGCGGTAGCAACACAGGTCTTCAAGATGCCCACAATGACTGGCAGATTGCGATAAGTGTCATACGGGTATCTTAATTTTTAGAACACCTTGAAGGAGAAAACAAATGAGTTTGAAGGTTAAAATGTGAACCACGTGACCCCTACACAAAAGATCATGAAAAATGAGATTTATAATTTTGAGGTTGTAAAAAACAAAGACAAAATGATTGCGTTACAATTCCTATCGGATTATACAGCTACATTCTGGCTTATGAATAAGAAAGGAAAGGTCATATTCTTTTTTATCTAGGCTCTTTTGTATTTAATTTCTTACCAAGGATGATAGAGGTAGAAATATCCGCATATCATTTGATGGTATAAATGACAGACTATGGTTCAATAAAAATCGTAACAAAATAATATCAAATTCCTTGAAAAGATTTATTAAAATTATGACAAAAAAGAAGAGGAAGAAGAAGACATAAGAAAGAAACAGATCCCCTCCCCCCCAAAATACTTACTTATATAATAATCGTCTTCCTGATCCTCGGTCCAACCGAGCATTGGCTGACCTGCATCTTTATCTCCGAGTGCTGTCATGAGGATTCCGTTGTTGTTCCTCCACTTAAGGTCGCCACCAACGTTCTTCCATCTTGCCATTTGAATAATAGCTAAAGACTAATGATGTTCTTGGCGCTGAAATTGAAGTAATAAACTCGCGTTTTAGACGTTGAAATAATCATAACATTAATATTGGCCTCTTGAATAGAACTTATATCCACCATACAATGTGCTCAATGCGCTTAAAAATGATACCCAAACTAAAATCAGGTAGCTTTCAATTTCAGTGCTCACACTCAAATAACAGTATTTAAAGAATTTCTTCCTACCTGGGATTCATTCACTACACCTGGGTATGGGGTGGCAAATATGCATTCATGTCTTTCACAAGGACATTAATGAAGCCATATACCCACATCAAGACTCACACCCACAAACTTTTCATCTACGGTTATTAAAACTAATCATATTTAAAACATCATAAGCTGTCCACTGGCACACTTGTTCTTCGTTAAACATATAATATACATGAGTTGATGCTTTTTTACAGGATGCGCGTTTTGAGTGGACAACACTCTTTACATATTCATTTACAGTGTGCATGTGGCGTGTAAGGCAATTCTCACAGGTATTGTTTGTTTGTTTGTATATTTTATTTTAGCACGGTGGCATACTTCAGCCAATGACTGTTCTTCAGCATGGCCTGCATATAAAAATCAATCACAATTTGTCCGTGTAAACGGAAATAAAACAAACAAACAATCAAACAAATAGGTGTGACAACTAGGGCTATTACCATGGTAACGGATCAAAAACATTAGAATGTTAGAAAAAGTAATATATTTGAAATTTAAAAACACGTTGAAAACATGTCTATATTTGTATTTAAAGCTTCTCACTCGATTTCAACTGCAAGTTATTACATGTGTCAGTCATATTTAAAAATATGAAGAAATGGAACCAATTACCCATATCTATAAATATTAAGTTCAACTTTATCCTTTTTTAAAAAGCTTTGTCGCAAATACCTATTAGAAAATATGTAATAATACAGTATTTTGTGTAGGTATGTGTGTATGCAGTTGTGTGTATGTGTGTGTGTGTGTGAGTGTGTATGTGTGCGTGTGTTGGTATGGTGACTGAATAAATATTTAATTTAATTCGTTTTCGCGGGGGCCCCATTTATGAGCAATTTGCTTCTTTGTGGTCCTGACCATATATTTGCTTTGTGTTGTATGTTTCATGTATTCTATTTCATATTGTGCGTTTTGCTTTTAGATGTATATGGTTTTAATGTATTCAATTCAATTGCTGTTGCTATGGAAACAGTCAGAAAAATTTGTATTAAAAAATTACCTTAAACTAATACATTTATTGTTACATAAATATTTGCATGATTCCAAATAATGATTTTCTGTTCGCTAGGACCCTTTATTTACTCTCTTTGTTTACCATTACGTAGGTGGTAGACGTGACTGCTAGGCTGTTATGGTAACAGATCAAGAAATATTTTAATTGTAGAAAATACTTTAATTGTTGTTTCGACAACATGAAGCAAGTGGTAATTGTTTCTGACCGTTTGATTATGATAAAAAGAAATAGGCTATTTGAAGCCAGGGTCTTTAAAAAAAATGGCTGTTGCCATGGAAACTGAATATTAAAGAAGTTGACTTCAGTGAACCAAACAAGAAAGGTAAATAATCAACATAAAATATATTATAAAATATAGTGTATAAATACCACATATTATTAATCGAACAGCATAAATACAAATGAAAGCATGTAAATCAAGGTATTGAGCTTCCAGATTGATTGCAATGTAATCTGAGCCATTTTTAGGTTACGATAAGTTAGACGAGAAATGTTGTTAGTATTGAAAAGGTATAATGAAATGCTCTAGTTTTTAATTCACAAGCCGTTTGAAGTTTTCTTTTTTTCTCTATACCACACGGTTTCACTCATATCCTACTGCGAATATAAAATACGGTAACAGTGGCAGATTATCCGGATGGGGGACACAGGGGCACATGCCCGTCCCCTGGAACAAAAAAGTTAACAAAATTTGATGACTTTTTTTCCTTCTTGTCACTGAATTTATGGACTATTGTCCCTTTTTACATGTTGTATAACTATAACAAGGCCTAGTATCAATTGTGACTACGAAATTAAGAAAGTCGTAACAGTTTATTAATCATTTTAATGGTAAGTTTGTTGCAGTAGATTAGAAATTTCAGATACTGTCAAAACTAAAATAAAAAAGGTCGAACAGAAGAAAAGAGACCCCCCAAAATGATCGGTATTATCATGCATATTGTATTACTTTGCATGTGACTAACCTGAGTTTACCATGCAATAATCACGTAATGTGAAACTGTAGTTGGAGGCAATTAAAATTGTCGTCAATATTCCATGATTACTATCCCGATATTTACTTGCATTTTTAGTACTAATACATGATATTAAATTACAAAATAAATATCAGAACTGAATCGTACTCTCTTCAGAATCTGGGAATACACCTATCATGCAACATCTTGGAACATTGGGCTAAAAAATGTATGCAAATTGCCCAATATTGCCGAATATTGAATGTGTTCTCTAACGACATGGGATCACGAATCTTCACCATGATCATAAACAGCAACAACAACTGTTCGACGGAAAGAGCTTTTTTAGGTTCATTAAATGCAAAGTCCATTTTCCTACCGTGTAATTTTTGGGAACCGCTTCGAACGAGATGATGTACATGTACCATACGTTACCAGAGACAAAATGCCTTATCCTTGTCCAGTGACAGACTTAAGAAATTTAAGATAATATGCTAAAATGTGGGTTAAGTCCACCTCATCATCATTCTCACAATACTGATAACATTTAGTCAAATTTGTAATGATATTTACTAAGGATTAGGATTTTTGCAATACAAACATGGATTGTATATAACTCTATATTCCCATGAGCTTATCATTATAGTGGCTATTGCTTAAATCAGCAAAAATTTAGAGCTAACGAGGCAAAAATGATATATTATACTCACTGTTTGGTTAGATCCTGCTAAATGCGGAATGAATCGTGGAATGATGCGTCGAGTCCTCTCCTCAGAAATATTTATCAAATTATGGCCGAGCTAAAAGGATTTACACATAATCTTACACAGGTCAAATAAAAGTAACTGGCAACATGTGACATGAGAGGTCTCTTCTAGAACGTGTTATAAAGGCGTTTACAATGTCTCTTTCGCAAGAATTTCATGGGTCATAAATCCAGTTTGACAGGCGCCAAAACATGCAGTGTGTCGCAGAAAATGATCTAGAAATCAATTCAATGCAGATGCCCTTTGCACAAATGTGCTTCGTCCCATCAGGTGCTCATGTAAAAGTGACGGATAACCCGTATGAAATGAAAGACATAGACTGCGTGAGTCAGTATTTCACCGTCTGGTATTGTGAAATTAGGGACTTTCGGGATTGCACGTCGACATGGTGGACTGCTACGTGCGACGTCCTTTTAAAGCATGACAAAGGACGTCACACGTAGCAGTCCACTATGTCGACATGAAAATGTAAAAGTCCCTAAGAGCAGGAAGCCGATTGCAACATGTGGTCCGAGAACGAAACAAAAAGTAATACAACTAGAGCTAACCAACCAAACAAAAGAATACATATCTCTCGCTCAGTGAGTCGGTTCTGATGCACTATTATACGGCACTAATTCATGATAGTCATTCATACTCATTAATGCCTGGTGATCAGCAGCAAAAATATATCCACACTGACAGCTTCACAACTTTTTGCCAAGCCCAGAGTCAAGACAAAGGTATTCATTATTTATTGGGACATTAATTTGCAGTACAACGCAATAAACTAACGCGCATGGGACTGAGCAATGGGTAACGTACAATCCATACCGGCTTCGATGTGAATGCAGACAATTGTAAAGAAATTACCAGTCATTTAAAACATAGTTCCATTCATTTTAAAGAGACATAATGGGCAGCCGAAATATTGTCAAAAAAATATGTTATGTGTTTCATTTGTGTAATTTTAATCAAAATTAGTTTATTGTATTACCTTCCTTCCGGGTTCATGAGCTGCTAAGACTGATGAACGCAGACGACATTCTTTGAAATATAACTTCCGGGTGTACGTTGTATTATGTACGTAGTCCAATATCGGAAGAAAGCTGAAGAAAGGAACAGAAAATATTATTCCTCTGAGAAAGGCGGCAAGTGCAGGAGCCATGAGACATAATTATCATTAACAAAAAATGAAAAACAATTAAACATCAGATCTCTCTCTACAACTTACTTCTCTTTAACTAAAAAAGGAGATTCGTTTTGGCAACTAAGGCCTAGACAAAAGAAGAGTGCACCCAATTGAAGGCCTCAATATTGTGCCCTTCATGGAATCTCTTTTTCTTTCTTGCTTTCCATAAAGAGATTTTGTGGGTAAGTGTCCCTAGTACCGTTCTGGTCCGCACGAGGCACACCCCGTTAAAATTCGTTAACATGTTCTCATAAGGGTAAGGGAAGGTAAATTAGGATGTAGGCCTAACTGTAGGCAGGCACGTAGCCACGGAGGGGGGCGCGGAGGGGCACGTGCCCCCCCCCCAAATTTCCAAGATCGGTTGAACTTTTTTAGACCCCTTTTTTTTTTTACCTCGATCGATTACATGTATGTGCCCCCCCCCCCCCCCCTCCAAACATCAAACTCTGGCTACGTGCCTAACTGTAGGATGTAGGAAATGACTGATAATTTTGATTGATTGACTTTGTTTATCAAGTATATTCGGATTTACATTATAAATTAGAGAAAATGATAGAGAAAAAATACATATATACCTTTAAAACAGGATGACCTGTGAATGCAAATAGGTCTGATTATTTATTTGTTTGGGTATTGAAAATACTCTGCATTTTAAAGTATTGCAAACTGAAACCTAAAGCGTGTTTGTTGGGGGGGGGGGGGCGGGTGAGAGGGGTGCTATGATATCCGCCTCCCTTTTTTTTTAAATGGGAAGGGGATATGAAAAAGGGATATAACCCTATGCTTGTTGATACCCTTGGCGGTAAGGGCCCGTTATCATACATCAACGAGTTTGACACTCAGAGAGATGCCTCAATTACTTTTCCTTAGAGACTCGATGTGATGAGGGGTTGTAATGTCAACTATTGAGCTAAAATCTACAAAAGGTCTATCCCGTTTACCAAGGAAATTATCTTCTTCACATTCTCTTCTTTTCTTTTTCTCCTTCTCCTTCCTCATTTTCTTTTTCTTTCTTTTCTTTGAAGGTGCTGATCATGGTACACATTTTTTATAATTTACTGCAGACGACACAGGTATACACCTGTTAATACACTACGTGCGTACACCACGCGCGCAGCTCAACTTTTAACCAATGACGTAAGGTATACCGCGCGCATACTTCTTGCGCATGTGTTTTCTACTTCTTTGATGACGTAGTGCAGTTGTTTCCAAGCTCATGTAGGAACGGTAGCGCGCAGCCAAACAAATCACATGTGAAAGGCATATTAAGCACATCTCCGCTAGCTCACTTGAACAAGTTGAAAACAAAAGCTGCCAGTATCAAATCACAAGACGAATACTATATTTTGAGGAAGGAGATTTATTATCATTCAAAGTTTCACAATGGAGAAACAAATCGAAGAAGCTTTTCAATTTTTTAAGGACAACCCCAAAGTGGCGGCACTAGCATTGGGAGCTCTGTTCGGGGTCGGTGCGGTGTACTATGGGTATGTTGCTGTTTCAACAAATTATTACGTTTAAACACATGCAAAGGTCCTGGAAGTAAATTGTTATAAACAGAGATAATGTACTTATCATGAGTTATATAGCTCATAAAACAATATAACAATGAACTGCTTAGTAAATGGGAGATATACCTTGGAGTTTATGTGAATTCGCACTGAATTTTCCATCAAGATCAGGCGTAGTCTTATGTACATGTATGTATTCGCATACATGTATCGATCATTTTTAAGCATATATCTCTTTCATAAGTGATTATTACTATTGTAAAATATATCAGATTGGTAGATGGGTATGAAAAGCATGGTCAATGGCATACAGACCAAATTTTGTCACATGCAGCAGAGTCAAGTAAAGGTGGAAAGCGCGGGAGTTCCTCGGAGGGGGCGGGCGGGGGCAAATTTCACCCATTGGGCGTTGACAAAACTGACAAGGGTGTTTAGCTAGATGGGTTCTAACCCACCTGCTCACACCTTGCGTGTGCCTCCCTGCAATCAGATGGCGAAAAAAGAGATCTAGAGAGATCAAATGCAAAATGGAGGGAGAGAGAGGGGGGCAGAGTGACGGACAGGGAGAGAGAGAGAGAGAGAGAGAGAGAGAGAGGGGGGGGGGGCAGAGAGACGGGAAGGGAGAGAGATATAAAGGTGAGAGACAGAGAGAGAGAGACAGACAGACAGAGAGAGAAAAAGAGAGAGAGAGAGAGGGGGGGTAGAGAGAGAGACGGACAGGGAGAGAGAAAGAGAGAGAGAGAGAGAGAGAGAGGGGGGAGAGAGGGGAGAGAGAGAGGGGGGGGGGGGGGGGAGAGAGATACAGAAAGAGAAAAAGAGAGACAGAGAGAGACAGAGAGAGAGAGATCTAAAGTTGAGCAACAGTTTAACCAGTGTTTGAACTTGAGTCTCACACTCAACAATATTATTTACTGGTTTTGATCGACACACAGAAAGTTCAAATGCTGTGGGGGTTCCCGCCAGCTGACCAGGCCACGCCCTACCGGTATCTCTTGCTATCCGGACCTCGTCAAGCATAACAACATCATGGCCAAGTACCTGACGGTCAAGCTCTACTCCAAGCTCTGTGACAGGAGGACCAGTACGGGCTGGACGCTTGACCAGTGCATCCAGACCGGAGTGGACAACCCGGGACATCCTTATATCATGACCGTTGGCATAGTAGCAGGGGATGAAGAATCATACGAGGTAATGTTCTCAATGGTGCAGCTGTAAGTTGTGATGTTCATAAGGAAACAAATTATATTTTATTATTTTATCGTGATATCAATACTATGCTGAATTAGGAGAATGCAGATGAAGATGTCAATCGTTCATAATGAGAGGAAACGCGAGGAAAGATAAGTAGAAGCAGGATGAAGGAAAGGTAAGGGACGAAGATGAATGACCTTTTCGCTGCAATCCGACAGAGTTAAAAAGGAAAGTAGAAATAAAATGTAAAGAAAGTAATCTGAGTTCTTTCACCGCTACTTTTTCTTCTCTTTCTTTCTCTTCTTCTTCTGTTCCTTTGATTCCTCTTTTAATTTTACTTTTCCTTTTCGTCTTCTTCTTATTCTTCTTCTGCTTGACTTCTTTTAACCTGGCGTCTCCATCTGCTTCTTCTGTTTATACATCAATGTCTTCTGTTTCCTTGGAATGTGACAGGTTTTCAAGGAGCTCTTTGACGCTGCCATTCATGACCGCCATGACGGTTACGGACCGGACAACATTCACCCTACCGACCTGAACCAGAACCATCTCCGAGCCGTAACTCTAGACCCCAACTATGTCCTCTCGTCTCGGGTGCGCACCGGGAGATGTATTAGAGGATTCCGTCTCCCTCCCGCATGCAGCAGAGCAGAGCGCCGAAAAGTTGAAGAGGTATGAACCCCCCCCCCCCCCCCCCGTCATGATTATCATGAATGTTGCTGTGCTTGTTTTTAATGTAAATGTTAACATGGTGGTGGTAGAAGAGGAGGTCTTTTAAACTGATTGAAGATATATTGGTTTGTGGAAGAAACATTTTCATTATCCTCACTCTATTTCAGGAAGGTTTTATTGTTTGCTTACATCATAATAATTTGATATGTGAATAATTTTTTAGGCATCGAACTTGAAAGATCTTGTAAAACGTATGAGGCACTTAACGGATTAGCATTCATCAAAATATTGTAACATGCATTCTGCAAATATGCAATATGTTTGATGCTTGACATAATAATATTGTACACTTATTGAACACTTTAACTCTAATGAAAGTGAATTTGAATTTTACGAAAGAAGAGTATAGTATACTCTTCTTTCGTAACATTCAAATTGCCTGTGCCTCTTTTCTTTCCTCTCACAAATAAATGAATGTTCTTAAAACCAGTGCTAATAACTTGAGGAGTGAGGTATTGACACCATTTGAGATGCAACACATGCAGGACACATCTGCAGATTTCCGATATAAAGAGCGGAGGAAGAAACAAAGGAAGAAGATAGCAATGATCGAAGTAGATGTTTGCAAAAGTGCTATTTCTCTCTTTAAAAAAAAAAATAACGACAATAAAAGTGAACAAACAAGTGTTTTGATTGTTGTTCTTTGCGAACATTGATTTTAGCATATTCATTTTATGATATAAAAAATATTTTATTCCCAGTATTCTTTTAATACGATGGAAACTGTGTGTCTAATCCTTTCACAGCAAAAACTGACAATGCGTTTATTGATCTGTAATAAATTCAGTTCATTTCAATTTCGTTTAGATTATAAACCAAGCTCTTGCCGGCCTCAAGGGGGATTTGGCTGGGAAGTATTATTCCTTGACCACCATGTCTGAGAAGGATCAACAGAAGCTGATCGATGACCATTTCCTCTTTGACAAACCAGTCTCTCCTCTGCTGACCTGCGCTGGCATGGCCAGAGATTGGCCCGATGCTCGGGGAATCTGGTAAATACTCCTAATACTTTTCTCCCACGTCCAGTAATTTCACATACAATTTTACTGATGAAGCACGCAAGATCAAATTTGGATGCTTCCAACTATATTACAAATGAGGTACAAGTCAAACATATGTATTTGACAGATAAGATAAGAGTATGAGACTTTGTGTACTGCAAATGCTTATTATTTGCGGTCGGAACAGAACACGTCGTTATTCTGTTCTTGGTGGTTAGTTTTGTATTTAAATCTATCCTTGATATTACGACGTTTTACTGAAACTATGCATGTTTGTGTTTTAGATAATTATGAAATAAAAACTATGCAGGTCGTCACAATACATGAATCAATAGCCAGGCTCTCCATCTCATACGAAAAGAATACGTCGTTATAATGTTCTTGGTGGTTAGTTTTGTATTTAAATCTATTCTTGATATTACGACGTTTTACTGAAAATATGCATGTTTTTGTTTTAGATATGAAATAGATATCTATCAGGTCGTCACAATACATGACTCAATAGGCTCCCCATCTCATATGCGAAGAGAATACGTCGTTATTCTGTTCTTGGTTTTTAGTTATGTATTTAAATCTATCATTGGTATTACGACAGGCACAACCATCAGAAGAACTTCCTGGTATGGGTGAATGAAGAGGACCATGCTCGACTCATCTCGATGGAGACAGGTGCCAACATGGTCAGAGTTTTCCAAAGATTCTGCAGCGGCTTGAATGAGGTATAATTATTGTTTCATATTCATCGATTTTCCGTCTTGATAAATAATTGTTATGATATCATGAACTTGCATATATGATGCTTAGTTGCTGATTAGGTAGTAGTAGAATTTATAATTTAAACAAATCCCTGCCGAATCCTTTGATCCCACAAAGTATGATTGTGTTGAATGATGAAATTAATCCGACTTTTTTTTCTCTCTCTCTTTCTCTCTCCCCCCTCTCTCTCTCTCTCTCTCTCTCTGTCTCTGTCTCTGTTTCTCTGTTTCTCTCTCTCTGTTTCTCTCTATTTCTCTCTCCCTCCCTCTCTCTCTCCCTTTCTCTCTTTCTCTCTATCTCTCTTTCTCTCTCTATCTCATAAATAGTTTGAGAAGAAGATCAAGCAGGCTGAGCATGAGTTCATGTGGAATGAGCATCTTGGATATATCTTGACCTGTCCGTCAAACCTCGGTACAGGACTCCGTGCTGGTGTCCATCTCAAGATTCCTCTTCTTAGCCAGGTATACCTGAACCCGTCCTCAAATTGATATAATTTAATTCCTTGTTTTGCCCTGTAATGGCAATATCTTTGCATCCATGCATACATAGCAGGTATTATATCTTCATCATCATAATAACGAACCAAATGTAGCCTTTCATCATTTAAACAACTCGTTGTTTTACTGTAAGCACCCTTTAATATTTTTTGTATTGCTTCATGGTCTTCCAGTACTATCACATTATTCCTTAATACATGCATTTGAAATTACGTCATTCCTGGGCAGTCGTACATTTCACCACTCAAGGTGAAGTTGCTTGGCAATGCGTAGTGGCGCCATCATCCGCTGATATGAAGATATAGATGTTTCTTTCCTCTTTTTTGTATATCGTTTTTGTTGTTGTTGTTTATGTTTGTTTGTTTTTTTCTTAAATATGTTATATATACCTTTTTTATGTGGGGTCATCATATCTGAACTATTATGGTCGTAAAATAAATGAATCCACAAATAAATCATATCACATCACATACTATGTGATGTGATATGATTTATAAAGTTTATTGTACAGAATATTCAACAGAAAATCTTATCACAGCACATATTTTCCAGAATATTCAACAGCATTCCAATTTAAAGCTTTTAATATTTTCCATTTGACACGGAAAGAGAAAAAATAAATCTGGGTCCTTGCGTGTCAAACAGTCATTGAAAGAATTATCTCTGACCGTCATAATTGAAGATTTAATGTGGTCTTGGCCGTGGCCTCTGATCGGGTCACGTGTACAAAACCGAGGGAAGGAAACATTTTCAGTGGCCTCGTACAACTCGGAAGTGATGGCCTCAACTATATCAATGGAATAAGCTCTTGGCATAGACGGAACCAATTTTTATGAATTAATTTGGCATGTTCTACAGGATCCAAGGTTTGAGATCATACTGGAGAGACTCCGCCTACAGAAGAGAGGAACGGGTGGAGTAGATACGGAATCAACCAATGGCATCTTTGATATTTCTAACGTCGACAGACTGGGCAAATCCGAGGTAATTTAAATTCTCATCTGAAAATGCAGTTCTGAAAGAATGTCACCGGGTGCCAGTGTTTTTTCGTTTTTATGTCTTCTTCTTCTTCTTCTTCTTCTTCTTCTTCTTCTTCTCTTTCTTCTTCTTCTTCTTCTTACTTTTCTCCTTCTCCTTCTTCTTCAACATCTTAGTGGCCATAATTCCAGTTTTTATTTGCCCAACGAAACATTTAAAGAAAAAAAAAAAGTTTTTCCCTTCTTTGTAAGAACGTCAGTTTGGGAGAATATCGTAGTTGACATGTCCCTATACAAGATTGTTGTTCATATGACCTCCCATTCAAAAAATGAGACAAATCTGATATGCTCTGACCAAATGTTTACATCATACATTTGTGTGTAGTCCCTCTGAATAGTGCATGCGATTGTATCATTTCGGTGATTCCAAAACATCAAATTGTCAACCAATTGTTATGTACTACATTACCAACTTCTTCCGATTGCGCCCGGACAGTTTCTTTCATAATATAATCGCATGCCCATGCAGAACTCAGCTCAATGATATCATCATGTTATAAACATTCAACGCACATTCTGGTTCAGTATAGTATATAGGTCGATTCCAACGAACGTGATTAAGTTTCCGGTTCATCTTACTAATGAGAAGAATTAAGTGATCATAGATATCCTTGTGTTAAATTAAAGGCAGCTCCAAAATACCACGCTCGAAATTTCTAATGCCAAGGTCTCAACGACAGACATCTCTTGATATTCATTTAAAACAAAAAATATTTTATATTTCCGCCATTTTCATTGTAAGGCTTAACATCTGTATTATTTTTATAGCACCTAGGGGGCGTTTCACAAAGATCCTAAGTCTAACTTAACTCTAAGTTTGACTCAAAGATCACGGAGAGCCATTTGTAGCCTTAAAATAAAGTATATACAAAAGCGAAAATTCAAGTATTTTAGATTTTTTATTAACTCAACATCAAGAACATGAATCACCTTGATAATATAGTAGAAAACATGAAGGATTTGAATCAACATTTCATGCCTTTTAAAATAACCATACAAATATTTTCACAGAAGCTAACGGCTTTCCATAATTGTTAAGTTCAACTTAGAAATAAGTTCAACTTTGGATCTTTGTGAAACACCCCCTGTTGTCTTTCACAAGGACGATAATATCATTCATAATGGAAATTTGTTTTTCTTTGTTTTAGGTCCAACTGGTACAGACTGTCCTTGATGGAGTCGCACTGTTGATCAAGATGGAAAAAGAACTGGAGCGACAAGGAAACATCTCCCAATATCTTCCCCAATAGTTCATATTAATTCATTACCAACGTTGAAATGTATAACTGCAACCCCAAAACAATAATTATGAATAATATTTTTTCTTAGTATAGTATAGTGATAGAATCACCGAGAACAAATTTAATCTCATAGCAATTCTGATAAACATTTTTATGTCTTAAGCTTTCAAAATTTAACAAGATCTGCCGCGGTAGTTAAGCGTAATTTGCTTGATATTGAGGCATTGCTTTTTACTTGCATATGTTTTTTTCCTATTAAATGGATTTAACATTTTAACCTAAATAGAAAACAGAAACAGAAACAAAAACAGAAACAAAAAGGAAGACAAAACAATACTAAAAGGCACTGGTGATTGGTGACATTATGCACATAAGATGAGTAACACCTTTAGTGCTTTTTATATTAAATGCTAAATCATAAGCAAACATACGACATAGAATTCGTGAAAAATCAAAATAAGACACTTGTATCAGAAAAAAAAGAGTACGGATTTATAATTTGTAATGAAGAAAAGTGAATTATTTGTTATTGTATTACATTATTGTCGAGGTATTTCAATGAAACAAAAATACGAATAAATGTGTTATACTCAACTTGTTTTATCACTGTATTGTGATGTTCTGCTACATCTGCATGTGTCAATTTAGTACCGGAGTGCTAATGTCATATTCGCTCATCGTCCGGGTTGATGATTTTGAACAACAAAGCCTGCGCATGAGGTTCACCGTGACATCATTTAAGCAACGGGCTGAAGCAGGGCAGATTCAATATTTGGGAATGGTGTGAACACCACACACCATGTATACATAGAAGTGATGTGAAATTTGAAATGTTCTTCATTCGTTTGAATTTAAGATACGCTTATCAAATTTTTTTCGAAAGATTTTTCGGACAAGAGACAGTGGTATGTAACTTCTCCCAGCTCAGCACATGCTCACAAAAGAAATGCATTCTTTTATACAATACCTCCACATTACCTTTCTTGTCCTGACGATGCTACAGAACATCTGACATAGCAACTCATATGTTGGTATTATTACTATGGTATATTGTAAACAGGTGGTCAGCTCTGGTGAAGCTACATACCACTGTCTCTTGTTAGCTCACTAATGAGTAACATAATGATGTCACAAGACGAATGAGATCTGGGGATCTTTAAACACTTTTTTTAAAGGTTGGAGCTTAGCAGATCTGAGAAAATTATTGTAAAAAATATTTGAAAATCTATGAAATATATTTAGATGTTTGAATAAAAAAAAAAGTATGAGTTGTATGGAGCCCTGTACATCAACAGGGTCCCGTTGCATAAAACTTACCATTGATGGTAACTTTGCCATCAATGGCAACTACCATGATGGTAACAGGGCTCAACTGCCAATCAGAATCAAGGTTTCCATGGTAGTTACCATTGATGGCAAAGTTACCATAAATGGTAAGTTTTGTGCAACGGGGGCCCGGAATCAACTTACATTTGGATATCACCCACCTTTAAACTATCGCAATTTCTCGCCCCCCCCCCACTCTCTCTCTCTCTCTCTCCACATTATTATCTCTCTTTAATCTATATAAGCGTGGTATATATTATTTATCTCTCTTTCATTCCTCTTCTTCTCTCTCTACCTCGATCTATCTGTATCGATTCATGATTTTCAACTTCCCCAGTGGTGCACTTGGTTAGCGCGCTGTACTTATAGACAGTACCCAGTGACCGTTTGGCTACGCTGTAGACATGCAGAGGTTGTGAGTTCAAGTCTCACCTGGGGAAAGCAGTTTTTTTCTTCCTGATGATGCTACAGAACATCTGACACAGTAGCAACTCCTACGTTGGTATTGTATGGTCCAATGTAATCAGGTGGTCAGCTCTGGTGAAGCTACATGCCACTGTCTCTTGTTAGCTCACTAATGATTGACAGTTGATGTCACAAGATGAATGAGATCTGGAGCATTATTTTTAGGGTGGAGCTAAAGCCTCGGTCTGAAATGCCATTACGAACTGCTACGAACGCCGTTCGAACGATTTTCAGACAATGGAAATTCGGGAAGACTATAGAAAAACAGGGAGATTCGTACGAAATTATCGTTCGTACGAACCTTTGTGACCGTAGCATTAGCAGGTCTGAGATAATTATTTGTATAAATATTTGAAAATTTATGAAATATATTTAGATCTTTCAAAAAGAAAATATGAGTTGTATGCAGCCCTGCACATCTACAGGAATCAACTTATATTTGGATGTCACCCCACCTTATCCCCATATCTAGCCCCCCCCTCTCTCTCTCTCTCTCTCTTTCTTTTTTTCTCTCTCTCTCTCTCTCTCTCTTTCTTGCTCTCTCTCTCCGATTCTCTTTCTCTCTTTCTCTCTCTCTCTCTCTTTAATCTGTAAGTGTGATATATATTCTTTGTCTCTCTTTCATTCCTCCTCTTCTTCTTCTTCTTTCTCTCTCTCTCTCCCTCTCCCCTCTCTCTTTATATTCTTTGTCTCTTTTTCATTCCTCTTCTACTTTCTATATCTCAATATATCCATATCGATTCATGATTTTAACTTCCCCAGTGGCGCAATTGGTTAGCGCGCTGTACTTATAGACAGTACCCAGCGACCGTCTGGCTACGCTGTAGACATGCGGAGGTTGTGAGTTCGAGCCTCACCTGGGGAAATCAGTTTTTCTTTTCCTGATGATGCTACAGAACATCTGACACAGCAACTCCTATGTTGGTATTGTATGGTCCAATGTAAAAAGGTGGTCAGCTCTGGTGAAGCTACATACCACTGTGTCTTGTTAGCTCACAAGTGATTGACAGATGATGTCACAAGATGAATGAGATCTGGATCTTTATTTTTAGGGTGGAGCTTAGCAGGTCTGGGAAAATTATTTGTATAAATCTTTAAAAATCTATGAAATATATTTAGATCTTTGAATAACAAAATATGAGTTGTATGCAGCCCTGCACATCTACAGGAATCAACTTATATTTGGATGTCACTCCACCTTTAAACTTTCCCCATTTCTCTCTCTCCTCCCCCCTCCCCCTCTCTCTCTCTCTCTCTATCTCTCTCTCTCTCTCTCTCTCTCTCTCTCTATAATAATAATACATGAGATGTATATAGCGCCATTATCCATTTTAATTAAATGCTCAAGGCGCTCTCTCCCTCCCCTCTCTCTCCACAGTAATATCTCTCATTTATATTCTTTGTATCTATTTCATTCCTTTTCTTCTCTCTACCTCTCAATCTATCCATATCGATTCATGATTTTAACTTCCCCAGTGGCGCAATTGGTTAGCGCGCTGTACTTATAGACAGTACCCAGCGACCGTCTGGCTACGCTGTAGACATGCGGAGGTTGTGAGTTCGAGCCTCACCTGGGGAAATCAGTTTTTCTTTTCCTGATGATGCTACAGAACATCTGACATAGCAACTCCTATGTTGGTATTGTATGGTCCAATGTAATCAGGTGGTCAGCTCTGGTGAAGCTACGTAACACTGTCTCTTGTTAGCTAACTAGTGATTGACACGTGATTTTACAAGATCTAGAGCATTTTTTAGGGTGGAGTTTAGCAGGTCTGAGAATTTCTTTTGTTTAATATTTAAAAAACTATGAAATATATTTAGATGTTTGAATAACAAAATATGAGTTGTATTCAGCCCTGCACATCAATATGAATCAACTTACAATTGTATGTCACCCCACTTTTAAACTTTTCCCCATTTCTCGCTCTTTCTCTCTCTCTCTATTTCTCTCTCTCTCTTCCCCACTTCTCTATCTCTTTCTCTCTCTCTCTCTCTCTCCCTCTCTCCCCCCACTTCTCTCTTTCTCTCTCTTTCTCTCTCGCTATCTCTCTCTCTCTCTCTCCACATGAATATCTCTCTTTAATCTATATTAGCGTAATAAATATTTGTTTGTCTCGATTTCACTCCACTTCTACTTCTCAATTTATCCATATCGAAAAATGAGTTCAACATCCCCAGTGGCGCAATTGGTTAGCGCGCTGTACTTATAGACAGTACCCAGCGACCGTCTGGCTACTCTGTAGACATGCGGAGGTTGTGAGTTCGAGCCTCACCTGGGGAAAACGGTTTTCTTTTTGGTTTCAGGGTACATAGGACTCCGATTTATATGCGATAAAGGCGCTTGTCTTTGCTTTGGATTGTAGACAATGTATAGGGGTTGTCGTATCGAGCTTGACCTAGGAAAAGCAACCTTTTTAATTTCTATAAAATAAAAACAATGTCTTCGGACCCTCGTTTTATCTTCGTTTTATCTCTATTCTTCGTATGACTCCACATGCTCACTTCATTATTATCTCTAGATTCTTCCATCTCTCAACGCTTTATTATCTTCGTATCTTCCTTTCTATCAGTTGTTCTCCTCTCTGTCTGCATACATTTTGTTCAAATTATTCGTTCATGCCTCACACTATCCTATACTTGTATATCCAAATTCATTCTTTTCGATATACAATAGTCAAAGTTTATTTCACAATGCTCTTGATTTACTCTACCCCATCAATATCGAATAAAATGCCATCGCTTACCCATGAAATTAATTTTATTTATCTGAATTCATCGTATTACAGTATTATTTGTAGTACATAACTTTCAGCGAAATAAGCGCTTTAGCGATAAACTGTCGTTTTGTGTAAAGTAGTCAAATATTCTTTAAACTGAATGAGCCTTGTTTATGAGACTACTTGATCTTAATTGTAAACAAAGTGAATATATTATAGACTAGGATGATTTCAACACCTAGTTCTTCGTTTTAAATGGTGTCGCAATGAACACATGAATTTCATTTGGAAATGCAGAATATACAAATAATTATTATGAGAAAGACATACACTCTTCAAGTTGTGATAGTTTTTTAAATTTTATTTCAATTGTCCAACTTTTTCATATTTTCAGGACGGGAGTAACGACAAGCTTTGCAATAACTGATTTTAGAGAGAAAAATATCAATCGAACTTTCTAATTTAAGCCTACTGGTACTCGTTAGGCTTACATCGACGAGCTCCAATGGTAGCATCTAACTATAAATGTATTTTAACAATGTTACTATATCAAAAGAATATTAATGGTATAGAATTAAATAATTTACTAATATTGTTAATTAATTCACCTTGAAATATTTCCAATTGTCCATTACACGAGCAAATTTTCTTATCGAATATTAATATTTAGAATGACACAAATCTAAATTAGGAGGAATTTAAGTCTCAATCTTCTCTTTGTTTCACGAATAAAACAACATTATCTTGATTATAGTTTTTATCTTGTAGATCAAAACTAAAAACGAAATACAATTATACAACAGAGTAGGTTAGCACATTCTAGCACCAATCTATAATTATAAACATCATGTGGTTCCTATAATTCTTAAAAACAAAATTATTTGACAAACGAAAGAAGTCTGTACTTCTTGGAAACAACTTTATGGACAAATAATGTTCGACCCTCCTATTCTGTACATTCATGATGAAGTCATGGATTCATTAAATTCTTAAGTTTTCAGATAAATTTATTGTTCTCTTTTAATATCAAGGTGAGATCGAGGCTGAAAAATATTACATTGAACCTCGAAAATAATGTATGGCATTGAGCGTTTATCCACAATGTAATACATTAATATTTTTCTCCACATAAAAATACTATACATTCAAGAATAAAATTACACGCGAAACGAAAACCAATTCAAGTCATTAACCGGTTTAATTAATGGAATTACAATTTCCTCAATCTTGTTAGAACGAATACACGAAATGTTTCAAATTTAAGTTCACTCAAATAATCTCGTATTCTTATATAATTTGCATTCGTTACGAGTCTCTAATATACAGACTTAGAAGCGGTTAATCATCTCAGAAATTGATATCTTTGTATCCATGAAAGAAGCAGTATACACATCCAGTATTAATTTACACTTATAATTCTTCTTCAAGCCAAAAGTTATAAGCGAAATCACGACATTATGAAACAAACTTAACAACTTACTTTTTCTTGCCTTTTTTCTTACTGAACATATTATATATCGTTCTTAATAAGCCCTTTTTCCATTTTATAATGAAATACAATACAGCAACTTGTCACACGAGCTATTTCAGGTATTTGTAATGCCAAAAAAAAAGGGAATGTACATCAAGCTGGAAAATAAGAGAACTTAAACCGAATATTCATAATCAAGGAGACTAGGAGCTTTGCTTATTTTGTCTGAAAAATGGAAGAAACTGAATGTTTGCCAAATCTCATTTCCTTTCAAAATGTATACATGTTTTAATTTTGTATTGTCTGGGACAGTAAATGGATTATTATGAACAAAGACAAGAAGAAAACGTAGACATTCACTGGATTAAAATGGGAGGGAAAGAAGGCTTGATTGTTACTACTTAGTCCAACTCCACATTGGATACTTATGCCATCGATTTATAGGGAAATCTGGGATAGGGTTACACTTCACATCACTCCAAAACTGGACAGAGTTCGGGAGGGGTTAACCACTCATCCTATGTTTGCCTTCTTTTCTCAGGGGTTCATGAATTGCAAATTGGACACTATCATGTGATCACATTTCTTCCACAGCTATACAACATCACACTCTCTACGATGCCGACGTTAAAGACTCCCAGCAGAATCTGAAGTATCTCAGTATTGGTTTTCTAAAGAGAACACACTATAAAAAGAAAATTGTACGTTTTTTGCTTTGTCCAATTAGGGTGTATATATGCTTAGGTTATGATACCAGAGTCGCACACTCAGAAGTGTTTAATATCAACGAACTTAACGAAGTGTTCAACCAAAAAATGAGACAGACCGACAATAAATAATTCTTATTTACAAGTGAAGATTCAATGCTTCTCACTTCTATTAATTTCTTATCACCTTTTCTCTCGATGGGAGAGGGCTTGCATGGAGAGGGGTTGGAAAAAGCAGGCCTATATACATCATTGGTAAATCTCAAAGCGAATAAATGTAATTATAAAACTCAAATTACAAGACTTCCGTTAGGCCTAAATTCTATTCATATATTCATACACTTATAGTACTGCAGTGTTAAACTTTAAACCGATTATACCAACCATTTCTAACTCCTTAGCATAAGGCTAAAAAGAATGAGAATCAAGCACTAACAACAACAACAAAAGTTAATAGACTTTTTAACCTTTTGAAAGCTTTATGAAAGGGCTCTGTGACGACGTCATCTATTCTAGCATCATCACAACTGTCGTTCAAACAACCGAATTTAAACTAGTTTACATTCATTAAAAGGTCACCAGACGACAGTTCTTGCCCTCTATCTACACGTTTTGAATAGCGGGGTTAACATTGGATGATCTGAGAGGGATACGGAGGCAGTTTGAAGTAGCTCGTGTGCGCCATTTTGATTTCTCCCGTGAGTTGTTGATGATTTCCCCTGTGTCCCTTTTTCGAGTTTTTGTTTAAACATTGACGACTGTTCCTTAGCTCTTGTAGCGTGCTTGTCGCATCATCTGCATATAAGAGAAGGAGAAGTGGAAAAAATGAACAGATTATTAACATGATTACATCATCAATTGTCAGCCCATTACGTGCCATAATTCCCAAACAGTGCGTGTTTTGGGTATACTTTTTAATATTTTGACATGACTGTTAAACTATTTAAAATTCCTTCCATGCATCATCTGCATAAGAGAAGGAGAAGTGGAAAAAAATGAACAGATTATTAACATGATTACATCATCAATTGTCAGCTCATCACATGACATAATTCCCCAACAGTGCGTGCTTTAAGTTGATCACAATTTCAAGGAATTTATAAAATAGTTTATAAGTCATGTCAAAATATTAAAAAGTAAATCAAGATTTAATTTTTAATATTTTGACATGACTTATAAACTATTTTTTAAATTCCTTGAAATTGTAATCAACTTTTACTTTTGCAAAATTGAAATTCATTTTCCAACTAGAATAATTAGAATTCTATTCGTACCGCGTACAGTTACTCTTAAATTAAGTAACAACTTAACTATTGAGGACAGTATTTCAAAGGAATTCGATACTTTTGTCTTTACCTATTATGATGATTTTGTATAATGATTAGGGATTGGGTGAGATTTGTTTTAATTCAGAAAATTGCAAAGTATCTTGAACAGATTCACAAATTTTTGAGGCCTTTTTCTTATATTAATTGCCCATAAGTAAATCCGAACATGTTGAAAACCGAATATAAAATATGCAGTGAAGCTTTTTTTCTAGTAGGATTTAGCAAAAGTTTACCTCAATTCATTTTTATTTAAAAAAAAATTGTATAATGTAGTTTTAAGAAAAGATCAGTATGACGCGTTCCGAGATTATATCTATCTATCTGTTGAGATATTGAGCATTTGATCTGAAGTGCCCTCCATTTTATTAATGGTTTTACCTGGTCCATTGAATTGAGTGAACGAGAAAAAAAGAAGAAGAAAGAAAATGAAAACAGCGTAAAACAGCCGATTCCATCCCCCCTAAACAAAAGAAAGAATAGCAATTCCGCCATGGGGGTTGCGTCTTCCAATGGTATTTTTTTCTCTTCTTCTTTATGGTATACATTAAATTTGCCATTGTATATTTGTAATTTCCCCGAGGAATGATACATTTTTGTACTCAAATATTAATTGAAATTCTATTCACAAATGACTTTGGTTCCTATCGATCGAGATCACACATTAATCCTGCTGCTGCTGTTTTTGTTGTTGCTATGATTGTGTTCAATCTATATTACTAGACTGGTCAAAGTTAATAATAGAAGTTGGCAAATATATGAATTGATAGCATTAATTTCCGTTGAAAAGTACAACCACCCGTGGGCATGCAACATGGACAAATTAGCACGACACATGCGGGCCATCTCATATAACTGATAATGATATGGGCCTGCCCGGCTGCGTGAGATGGAATGAATTCCGATGGAAAATAGAACTTTAGCCGCATTACTACCTCTCGCTCGCAGATTTACCTGGACAATGGCAAATGATGCATTGCTGATTTGACATATTGTGGCTGAATGATGTTATCATGTGAGATTTTTTTTCTCGACAGGTTTAAAAGAGAATTTCAGAGAGGCATCACAACTCGATAAAAGTGACATGATGATTATTATTGGGGGGGGGGGGGGAACAGCGTGAATGATCGCAATGTAAATTTTGGAGTTAGGAATAACTTCAATAAAGGTCACCAGTCTTTCTTTTATCTCCTACTTTACTACACTATACTAATAATTCTGTCTCTGACCAAAAAGAAAACAAATCAATCTTAACCTAAACACATGTCATTTGATTATTCATTTATTAATACGAATATTATTCTGCCTTTTGAAAAATAAAATTTGTTATTTTGTTTAACGTACGGCGCCACTTTGGTATTATCTCGGAAAAAAATGTGTTACATCTCGGGTGAATCTATCGCTTAAAGCCTACCTGAACCAGTTTGGCCAGGAGGGATTAGACCTCCCTGCATGGTCACTGACAGGTGGTTATCTCATCAAATCAGCTCTCAATTAACATAAGAAAAAGGGGACCATGGGGGACCAACGGTCACAAATTAGGCATTGTTTGCTATATAGAGGGCGCAGGTAGCTATAAGTTGTACAGTGGGGCTTTAAAAAGGTGCTCGATCGGTACCTAATCTTTAGACCAAAATGTTTGAAATTCTAGTGGAGTCTGAGGGACGGCAGAGAGTGGATAGTGTTGGGTCCTAGGTGGTGGATTAGGTATGAATGTATTTTGAAAACACCTTTGCCACCACCTCTGAATAATAATAATAAACAAGTAGTTTTATTCTTAAAAGGATCGCATATCCATCGCCTAATTCAGGCTGGAACATTGGCCCATCTCTCCCTTTCCACACATCTATCAAGCCCTCTATGACTAATCTAATGCATACTAATCACTCTTATTATTCCAACATTAGAAGTCTCACACCTATGTCTACAAAGACTGACGAAATTCAGCCGCGCGCCTTGCATTTGGATCTATAATCATACTCAATTCCCAGGAGGGTAGGGTATGGCTCAACGATGTGGAATCTAAGTTGAACCGTCTCGCTAGGGGCTGAGACGTCCCTTGTCCAAATATCGACTTTACATTTTATGACACTTTATTTTGGGGAAAGTGCAATTCCATCATCAAAATACGCAAAGAACCATATCAAATATAAAGTCACTGCTCGAAAGTTCTGAGGTGACGGGTGCCTGAATGCTAACACTGTCAACATCTTTGAGGTAGGGGGTGCATCCAGCCCCCTGCCTCATTATACGCCTATGAATGGAAGCTTCACCTAACCTCATATTGACACACTCTCTATCATTAGAGTGACAAGTATTCCCGTGATATGATACACAACATTATCAAAATGCCATGGTCTAGATATTTTACCGGCCTGTGAATGAGTGTGACCGAGTTTAAATCCCAGTGATAAAAACTAACAGCCTTTGACCAAACATTGATCTACTTTTGATACCCTTAAATAGGAGATGGTGGAAGAGTTGTAAGAAGTAATTCCATAGGGTCTAATTATGGCAACTCGGCTAAAAACCAGATATTGCACATCTCGTCATTAAGAAAAGTCGCTTTATCATTCTTTCCCAGTTGTAAACGTGTCCGAATAAAGGTTTTGTATTCATATTTTCGTCAAGGTTTGTGTTAAAAAAATAGAACCATCATTTTGTTTGAAAGACATGTTTGAGTGGGTGTGCTTGGATTTTTCCAGTTCTTTTCTACGATTAATGAGGAACTCAGGTTGTCAAACGTCACTATCAGGGGCGTCGATTTAATTCGATTTAACAAAAGGTTTATATTGTTCCATACAGTATAAATATAATTTCTTGATTTTCCCATGTTTAATTCACCTAACACTCGATCTAATGTCTGTTTTATTTCTGAAATGAATGAGAAATTGTGCATTCATTGAATATTGATTTGTTGAGGCATAAAGTTCATGATAAAAATTACTTTCCAAGAACTGAAGACGCTTAAGTGTTTTGTGTCATCCTCAAATTTATTGTCCCCTATAATACAGTTAGCTTTGCATAAGTCGAATTTTTCGGGACCGCAAAAAATAGTTCGACTTATGCAAAATTCGACTAAGGAAGTGTAAATATTGTGTTGCAAAGCTTGTTCCTATTCGACATTTCGACTTAGGGAAAATCATGGGGAGAAAAGAAAAGTCAAACTAATGTTGGCTGAAAAGAAAAGAAACGAATAAAAGGTTTTTTTAAAAAGAGGTATGACTAATCATAATCTTTAGTAAGGTATTTCTAATCGTGCCTGTACCTTTTCTATAACATCTGTAAACAACATGTCTTTCTTGTATATCCTTAAAATAAGAGCTCATACCATTACAAATCCATGAAAGGAATCTTTAACAAAAATATAAACTAAGTGACAAGAAACGAAACTTTAAAAGGGCATTCAGTAGGAAAAGATTAATCCTAACCATAAATTTGTTGATTATGATCCTACTTCGTCATATAACGCCTCAAAACAGCGTGTTTTTTTCTTAACGCATTCTCAAAGGATGAGTTTTGTTTAAGCCGATCTACAAACGCCCCAAGAAGATTCTTTTCTCAAGTGACGATTGGGAACGAGTATGTAATCGTCTCTTCGTCATTTTACAGTGTTGTCAAGACTAGGGAACATGAGAGGTGTATTTAAAAGCAATGATTGATGGAAGTAGGAGGAAAGCAATCAAGAGGGGTCCAAGGGGTTCATAATTAATCACACCAATAACAGTACTGCATAAGATAATCCACACAATATATACGAATGCGAATGGTTCATGATAAAACACGCAGTTTTATAATTATGATTATGATTGACTCAATTTTGATGCGGAATTACAATACAGAAGTTCACTACATTATGATAATTATTATGTACCTTTCTCCAGCCACTCACAGCCCAAAACGTTTTTTCTTCGAACATGGAGTTGAAGTTTGGACTTTAATTTGTCCCACATTCACATTAAAATATGATTACGATCGGTGAAAAAAAACACACGTGAAATATGTGTTGATATTTGATATAATTGTATGGATATAGGAGCTTGGCGTGTGGGATGGTGTCAAGTTATGTGTTTCTGAGGAAAGATGTATGTGTGTGTGTGTGGGTGTGGGTGTGTGTTCCGGGTATTGGAATAAAAATAAAATAGATAATTGTCAATCAGCAGTATCTATTACTTCCCTCAGCAATCCAATCCTAATCAATCTTTTTGCATTACTTCCCTCAGCAATCCAATCCTATTCAATGTTCCGGGTTGAATAAAAATAAAATAGAAAATTGTCAATCAGCAGTATTTTTTTGCATTACTTTCCTCAGCAATCCAATCCTGTTCAATATGTACATCGCAACCAGATGCATTGCATATTTCCTGCGATCAAGGGGGCACTGGCACTCATGTAAGGCAGGGGCATCGATCCTACTGGGGAATGAAATCGAATTAACAAGGCCAAATAATGTTCAGTGTGAGAGGTCGT